TGGATGAGACCTTAAGATTGTACCCTGCTGCACCATTCCTTGTCCCTAGGGAATCAAGAGAGAACATTACAATAAATGGTTACTATATAAAGAAAAATTCACGTGTCATAATAAATGCATGGGCAATTGGGAGGGATCCTAATGTTTGGTCAAGTAATGCTGAAACATTTTATCCAGAGAGATTCATCGATATGAAAATGAATCATCAAGGAGACTTTAGATCTATACCATTTGGTTCTGGTCGTAGAGGTTGCCCTGGGGTTCACTTGGGTTTGGTCACAGTAAGATTGGTTTTAGCTCAATTGGTGCATTGCTTTAATTGGGAACTTCCACCAAATGTTAGTCCCGCCAACGTGAATATGCAGGAGAAATTTGGGTTGAATATGCCAAGAGCTGAGCAGTTGCTGGCAATACCAACCTATCGTTTAGCTACTAAGAATGAATAGGTAGCAAAATGATGTTTGTACTTGGTGTTAATGACACATTGCCATGGAATGGAATAAGGTTTAATTGTTTTTTCATTGGAACAAATTAGTCATGTGATTTTTTTTTTATTATTCATGATTATGAATGTTATTTATTAAGTTATATTTATTTTTATCATTACAAATATGTATAACTAAATTTTTTTGTCATTAGATTAAGTATGAAGTATATTCTTATGATGTAACCTCTTCTACCCCATGGTAAGAAGCATTTAATTACACATAATCATACAAGTGAAAATAAAGGTAACCAAATACAAAATATTCATAGTTATAAATAATTAATAAAAGAAAAACCTTGTGACTAAAATACTCTATTGGAAGTAGAACTATGTGATGAGAAAGAGAAAAAGAAATAAAAAGGAGCTTGAAATGAAAAGTTTAAGATGTTGGTGTATAGAAAGAAAGATATGTAAAGTGTTAAGTGCCAATTCTATATTTATTACATAAAGCAAGAGACATTTTATGATATTTTATATGAGAAGAGTTTAAAATGATATGATCTAACCTTAAAAAAATATATAATCTGACTTCTAGGAATATATAACTTAACTTTTAAAAAAATATGATCCTATGTTAATGTGAAAGTTTTGAGCACTTGTGTTTATGTTAAATTTGAAATTAAAATTAAAATTCAGATTCAAAATTTATTCATTATTTATTTATTTTAATATTTTTCTTTGTAATTAATAAATTTTAACCAAATTGAATTGTTATTATTTTCTACAATAAAACTAAGAGAAAGTTAACTAGTTTAATACATAAAATAAAAATTTTAATTAAAAAATAGGTTAAATTCTCTTAAACTAAGCGTTCCTCGCACCAAAAACTTGCTTAATCTCAGAAAACTACAGTGGAAGACTACTAAAATATTTTCATCGTAATCTACTTTCACTCTCCCCGTTTTCTAAGATCCTACCCACTCAAACAAGTATAACTTACGCTCTAGTTCTAGAGATTGTTCTCGAGTTTTCATAAACATTTCAACTCAGTAGAAAGAGTCTCATTAATTCCCGCATCTTCACTTTAAATACCAAAATGGTGGCATTACAACCTATCAAAAAAGAAGGGTGCAGGGGATCAAGCAAATGGGCAATGGTAAAATAGGAAGAAGAGAACCACGACACTGAAGAGCAATACGAATATTAAAATATAAAAACGAATGCATTAACAGGAAATGTCTTAAGAGCATTGTGGGTGAAGAAGAAAGGGATAGAGGAGGCGTCCAGGAAACTTGTCTTGTTTAGTGAGGCTATGGGTAATCTATATGCAGAGGAAACAGGCAGAAAATTAATACTTTCTTAAGCCAAAAGAATGTCACTTCTGCTAACCCTATCCATAGCTATAGCACCTGAAAATGGAAAGCTGAGTCAAAGGAAGAGGAAAAGCAACAAGTTAAAAATGGTTAAGACGTTAGGGAGAAAAGAGGGTGCTTCACAAGTCTACAAATCCAACTTTATGGGAATCTTTATGTAAAACTTTGACCCTGAAACATTATGGTACTTGGAGAGCAAGGAAAAGCTAAAGATATAAGGTCTAGAATAAAATACCAGCACATTCTTCCAGAAATGGGGTGTGCTTTGAAAGTTCACGAACTCAATCTCTGGAAAAATAATGTTTTGAAACATTTAGCGACTTCAGTAGGAAAGCACACTTTACAGTGAAAGGATCTCAAGCACAGCAACCCAGATCGCGCCAAGAGGGGTTGTCGTTTAGCCTGGACAATCTCCTACACGAAGAAGAGCAAGGATAGGATCGACTTAGTGAGACTAATGAAAGAGCATCAAGTAAACAACCAGAACTAGATCTACTACTATGCTTAGAGACGCTAGTAGCGAGGTTCGTTCCACTGCTTGAAGAACCGCTAGAAATACTCCGAATATACTGTTAGTTGTTCTTAGCTCCATTATCACCGGCCAATAGAGCTTAATGAAAGCTATAACGAGGTTGCAAGTGATGCATTAAAAGCGAAATATAAAACTGAATTTATTATTTCTAGAATGGAAAAGAGATAATTTTTTTTTAAAAAAAGAATGATAAAGAAATTAGAGAGTGGTTAAATAAAGAAGAAATAGATGAAAGAAACGTAGGCAAAGAACATATCCATTTTTATCATTTGTAAGTTTTTTTAAAAAAATAATGAATGTCAAGATGACTTGCTTTTTATTTATCAAATTAATTAAAAGATAATAGTATAAAATATTATTTTTAAACTGGTGAGATATTGAAGTAACACTGTTCAGGGGGATTCGACGGGTCCACTACATTGGATATTCACACGCACAAATAAAAAAGAAAAAGAAAATCACGTTAAAGGAAATGTATGTGCATTTTTCCATTTAATTAACTTTTGTAAAAGCTAATTTTAATTTTATTTTCATTTTCATTTTTCCTATTGATCTTGAACAGCCTGAGCTTTTTGTGCTGCTGCTTGTTACTACAAGATTGTTTTGGGGGTCCATTTGGCTCACCTGAGGGCCCATTCGGACCACCTGGGCCTTCGGAAAATATAATAAAAAATTTATATATGGTAAATTTTTATTAAAATTATAAGATTTAATACATTAAAAATCACACAATAATATTAAATACAATTTTTAATAAAAATATTTGTATTTATTGATGAGTAATTTTAAATACTCATACTTGTTATGCTTAGAAATTTTTCTAATTATTAAATATTTCATTTAATAGAAGCAACAGTAGTCGTAGTATGGGAAGTTTTTTAGTTGAAGTTTGGTGTGGTTGACTTTGAGTTATTAGTTGAAGCGAGAAGAATGGTAGTTCACGTTAAGATTAGAAACGCCCTCTCCCAACGAAATATTCACTTACTAGTCTTACTTTACTCAGTGCTACAAACACAGGGCTAAACAATTATTATAAATAATGTTGGAGATTGGGGATAGGCCTCAAGTCACATTCACATTCACAGTGAAGTGAAGAAAGAGAGATGCCTCCGCCTTGGGGTCCACCACCAGGGCCTCCTCCCGGCGGTATCTGCAGCTGTGTATGTAACATTCTATCATCTTGGTGAGTTAGACTTTTACTGTAGTTTCAATAAAATCAAGTACTAAACTTGAAAGAATAATACAAAACAAACGTTACTAATACTTTTTTATGGGTCTATGGTCATATGGATCTTATTTGATGGCAGTTTGTATTGTCTTTGCTGCTGCTGTCTCCTGGAGAGTTGCTGCGGCCCAATGTTTGGTGGAGCTCCTCCTCCTCCTGGGCCCCCAGGCCCTGGTTTCTGATAATCGATACTTTGTATGAATGAGTTTCACGAACGAGGAGGAAATAAAAAACTGATAGCCTGTGATGTTGTTTAGTTTCTTCTACATTTGTTTTAAGGCCACTTCTGATGTCTGGGTTCTATTGTTCTGTTTCTCATAGTTCTCTGTTCTATTTAAGTCTTCAGTGTTTTTAATTATACCAATGCTGAATGCATAAAATAAAAAAGTATAACTGTCTCATGAGTGGACGCGTGAAAAAAAAATAGAGTAGCCAGAGCTAAAACCTCATCAGATGTAACAGCACCGATACTATAAAAACACTGAAGCATCTCCATATTAAAATCAAAATATATTCAAATACACTGACAGCAGTGATGTTACTGATTTTTTTTTTTACTTTTATAACAACAATTTTAAAGTTATGTCTACATTGATAATATAGAAATTATTACACCAACAACATCTTAAACTTAAAACACTATTAATTTTTTAAAAATTTTATTATTAAATTAATCTTCAAAAAAATATTATTATTAAATAAATTCTTCAAAAATCTAAAAATCATCATATGATTTTTTTGAAGACTATAAATTAGCAATATATTAAATCTTTTAAAAAGTTTTCACTAAAGTACTCTATAAAAGGCTGAAACAATAACACCTTTAAAAAATTAATTTAAAGATAATTAAATCTTTTGAAGACTAACTTGATTCCAAAATTTAAAGAATTATTGTGGTAATCTACCTCTATATAAAACGTAAATTCTAATTTTCAAAAGAAAATTGAAAACTATATTAAAGAAAAATAATTGAGCAATTTTATTCTTCATTATAACATGTAAATATCCTGGACTTAATATTCAATTTAAATTTTTCATAAATTTTAGTTATAAAAATTTCATTTAATTTAATCTAATTAAATATAAAACATTTTGTTAACAATTATAATATTCACTTTTTAAAATTTCATATCTATTAACCTTAAAACTAATGGTATATCTTTATTTTTTACTTAAAGATATATTTTAACTTAATATATTTATATAGTGTACAAAAAAACTTGTTAATGTATTCAGTCACTAGTCAAAGGTTTTTCGAAATCGTATCAACATGCTGACATCAGGCACGTCATCGTATCACATTCCAGCTGTGTAAAGTAAGTTATACACAAGATTGTTTTACCAGTGAATCGAATAATGCTATAAATAGGATTTGTAACCAGAAAATTACTCACTTAACGTTGAATAAAGATTGGGATTAGATTTTCAAGACGAGGAATAATGATGTCCAATACTTTTCAAGCATATATATATATATATTAAGCCGGGCCATATAGGCATTATTAAATCATACATGATCCAAAATTGGAGGAGTTTTTTCCTTTTAACCTAATAATAATCACTATAGTTCGCCTAAGCATTTCGAAAGCCAGAGTTGAACACTAATCAAGGAATCAAAGGACTAATTTAAGAAACTCATACCACTTCACCTGCAGTGCTGAGTGGATAAAATTGACAGGTAAGGGATCACACGATGTAACAAACTCGGAACCAGAGAGCTGGGTTCTTCTAAAGCTTTCAAATTCTCCGCAGATTAAATTCTTCCACATCGTATGCACAGAAACATGTCAAAATAACTCCCCACTTGAATTACGGGGCAGATAAAGGCACTAAAGTCCCTTTTATGTTGCTGAGATGACAGCAACTTGCAAAAGATATAGAATATATCCAGAATAGCAAAATCCTATCTATTCTTACTAGTCATCATCTTCTTCTTCCGATGCCTCTTTTAACCACTACAACAAGAAATGATAAATGGTTTACATAAGAAAGTAATGCACCTCATAGGATACCTGTGAAAAAGCAAGTAGCACAACCATGTTTCAAAAGTGTGAAAAAATAGATAATGATACTCACTTGAATTAATCTTTCGGCCTGCTTAACAAAAACTTTATCTGTTTCATCGGCTTCTTTTTTCTCATCTTCCCAGCTCAAAATCGCATCTTCTTCTACAATATCTTCATTATAGAAGTAGTGCAATATCTGAAAGCAATTAATAAGCCATAACAAGAGGGAAAAGCCAAATGTTGCGTGAGAATGTGAAACAGCAAACCGTTGTTACAAGGAAGAAGAATATGAGCAGCAGGGAAATTCTACAGTAAAAAAGGTCCATATCTCAATATCACAGAAGTACTTTGATGCCACCGACAGACTTAGATACACAATGATGAGAGCATGGGCACTTGTACGGACCTTTCGTGCTAAATTCAGTTCGTAACATTGTTAATTGACTAAATTTAGATAGAATAGTAATGCATAAATTGGGATTCATTTTAAAGTTGAGTCTGTCGTTATAGGTTTTCTATCTTATGGGCATTAAACGACCCACATGATAACAAGCCAAACTTATGAAAGATATAAAAATCCATTTGATAGCTATGAAAGATATGCAGCGACATATATAGTTCAATTTACAAATGTTCATACAAACAGAAGGAAGGCATATCAATCAATCTAACTTGCAGAAGATAAGCATACCTTTGTGAACAATGGAGCAAAATCCTTAGCAGATTCCAAACACATCTCTTCAAATTTAAGTATTACTTCAATCTGGAGTGAAAATTTGAAGACAGATGAGCAGAGGGAAGACCGCAAAGTAATGGAAATTGAGTATGAAGTAAATCACCACTGTGTTTGAGCAAAATTATATTATTGACAACATTAGATGATTCACAAAAAAAAAATTAAAAATAAAGATCTTTTATAACAACTCAAAAGTTCATTAAACTAATGAAGTGCTGCTACGATGTTTTGCATGATCAAAAGATCTTTCTTCCTTTTCTTTACCCAATACGTAACGTTTTTAAAGACCACCACAATTAACTATCATGATGAAATATTGACAAGGTCAAAGAATGGTCAGCAGAGAATTCAGAAGTGATTTTTATTGATACTGCCAGAGAAATCCTCATTTCAGCAGAAAGAACTAATGGTTTACATACTCCAAAAAACACCATGCATGCCAACATAGATATTTAATAACTATGAGAACAAGGCAACGGCACTATAGTCCAACCAACATGCAGAACAAAAGAAAGCATTGCATGTTTGATTGTGATTTTGTATTCGTCTTTGCCTGAAGCCTAGTGATGATAAAATCATGAGACAAAACAGTACATTTGCCAGAATGCTTTAGAAAAATATAAAGAAAATACCAGATAATTGGTAAATAACATTGCCACACAAGCAAACATGTATAACATAAACAAGTAAAGGGGAAAGAATTGGTTGACGCACCTGCTCGTCTATGTCAGTTAGATAGGATGTAAGAACCTTTTTCCATTTTGTAAATACAGCCTGAACATTTTGAAGCAAGCCATCTGAAAAATATTCATCCCAAACAATGATAAAATTGGTAAGCTACAATTAAGAATACAAAAGACAAACACACACACAGAAAAACAAATAACAATGAGTAACAAAGTCAATCAGTAGTAAAAAGTAAAATCAGCCAACACCATCAGACTCTTCCAAAAAACAGAAATTTCATGAAACTAAAAGAGTAAATTGTTTTTCAATGATTTCTCCTGGTATTTTCTTAAGTCTTCCTCCACCCTATTGAATACACAATCAGTTTGACTACCTTTTCTCAATAGAGGCTCCAATTGATTCATTTATCCCAATCATTCTGTATTCTGTAATTAATTGGTCTCTCTGACATAGTCAAGATGCCATGTTTTCTATGTTCAAACTCAACTAGATTCTAGAAATTATTTTAATTAAATAAGAAAGGAATGCCATATAAAGAAACAAATGGAAAAAACTAAAAAGATCAAGTAACAATAGAGAGAAGGGAGAAGCTTACCAGATGAACTATGGGGTCTGTCTAAAGCATGCTTCATCATGGCATAAAATACAGCTCCAGCACAATCAGCAGTTAGCTTATTGTATGACAACCTACCACATAAATAAAGTCATTCTTTCCATTAATCAATGCCCAATGAAAGTGTCATCTTATAAAACAATCAAAGCATAGGCACAAAATTGTAGAATGACTATAGTTCAACAAACACCCCACGGAGATATACCTTCTAAACAAAACAGAGTGGCAATTCTTTAACATGTTTACAAAAGAGCATTTAGAAGTTGAATGGTCTTAAAAAGCACAATTCCTTCTCTTTTCAATGATAATGCAAAACAATGAGTCTTTATTTGGTTCCTCCCCTCAGCCTTTACATATAATTCAAGAAATTGCACCAATCAGTGTCTGCCTCCTCCATTACCAATTTCTCAATGAACAGCACAAAACAACTGATTAAACTTCATGGACAAGCTATATATATTTCAGTAGGTTTCATGGTTAAGCTTCTGACATAAACTCTCATGCCATAAGCTTATTGAATAAGTGCTAAGTTGTTTACCCAAACTCACCCTTAATGTCCATTAATGGAGACAGGAATACAATTTTTCACGACAAAATCGTGTGAAATTTTAACGAGACCACACACACACACTTACTTCAGAGAGTTAACTTCTAATATCAAATGGCTTTCTTGTATGTTTTCATGCACAGCCCTGAGAAAAGTTGCTTCAACCTGCAAATAATGACTACTTAAAAATCTGATATCCACAAAATGCATCTGAGACAAGTTTACAGGTCAAAAGACTCACCTCTTTCTCAAAGTAATAAGAGTCATCTCTAGAATCGTCATGATCATCATCATCTGAATCATTAGAATTAGGTTTCAGCTCACCAGAAGGGGGAAGTAAACTGCCATCGTGATTCAACTCCAGTTCATCTTCCATAGATTGCATTGCCTCCAGAATTTTATCAGCAGGAATACGTGCCACTGAATGCCTCCACTCTTCTTCATGGCCTCCTTCACATGGTGACCAAACATGACCAACACTGCCAACACCTAGCTGATCAATAAAATAAAGTGTAATGAGAAACAATAAATTCCTCATTTTTGTAGTACCTCCAAAAAAAGGTAGTATGATATGGCATTTTTTTGTAATCAATATAAGCCACTTATTTTGTTATTGCAAGTAGAGTAAAAAGAGAGTCAAAAGCTGGTAAGGAAGTGACAGCAAGAGAAAATTTTCCAATTAATTTTACATTTTATTGAAAAATGAAACGACTATTGACCAAGACAGAAAGGCCATCAACCCAACTGAAAAAAAAAAAGACAGAAAGAATTGACCTAGACTGAAATACAGTCAACCTGGATAGAAAAGAGTTTACTCAGATGGAAAGACTATCAACTCAGAGTATTTGCCAACGCAGGATAAAAGTTATCAATAAGTTACAAACTTACGAAAAGGATGTGAGGTCAAAGAAGTGACAGTTTTTATTATGAGTTACAAAATCATATTCATATATTAAAAGGGAAATTAGATATTTACAAACTCATGAACAAGTTACAGGTGTCTCTTTTCAGATTCATAAATTTATAACTTTTAACATAAAGTTTGCAACTTTTCTCTCCATCACTGTTTTTTCCACTTTTCATGTCAGGCATCCTTTTTAGTTTATAGTGGGTGTTAAGATGTCCCACGTTAGCTAAAAATAGACTCAAAATACTCCTTCTAAGGACTCTTTTTTAGTTTATGGTGGATGTTAAGATGTCCCACGTTAGCTAAAAATAGAGTCAAAATACTCCTTATAAGGACTTGAGTAATCCTCTTCTTCCAAGCTAGCTTTTGGGAGTGAGTCAAGCTTAATAGTGGCATCCCAGCCAAACATTAGGTAGAGTTGCTCCTATCCCACAGACTTTTTAGTTTATGTGCAACTTGCAACAGTCATAAATTAGTCACCCTCCCTCTCTTTATCACCAGTAAAGTTAACAAAAGAAAAACAGAAACAGAACACAGATTACAATTAAAAAAAAAATTGCATGCAGTTGAACAAATCACAATGCCCATCCAAATTTAATCTAAATTAACATTCCAACTTGGTTGCTAGAAATAGAAATTTCAGTCTCAAAATCATTTAGTAATAATAATTAGATTAAATATCAAATTTTAAAAACAATATGACAACAATAAAATTTGGAAGTGAACAGATAACACACAGGCATCAATAACCAAGACAAAAATAAATGGGCCAACAGAGGCTGGTCCAGGTTGGTAAGTAGAGACACACAATAGAAAAAATAAAAAATAAAAAGTGGTAGGTTGTAACCATGTCAGAACACTTCAAACTCTAATTAACAAATCAAGTTTCATGTGTTGCTGTGAACCCTCATGAATTAATTGGTTTAAACGTGTATAATGTTTTTGCTACAAAATGAGACTTAAGCCCAAAAGGAAAAGCTAAACAAGATATTTGGAGGGTTTGGACAGTGGACACCCAACAAAATCAGCTTGGAGGAAGTGAGGCCCCTACAGGGAGCTACTATAAGGCAATCACGTCAGTGCAGTGAGAAAATGGCATGCCGGTCAGGGAAGTGGGCTCACGTACAAAGTTGCACCATTGCATTAGCTACAGTGTCTACTGGAAGAGAAGCAATGACGGAGGTGCTTGCTGGCAATATTGTAACGATGATAGAAACAACATGTTTCAATAAAATTTTCCAATTTATTGTAGAACTGTTGCACATTATTAAACAGGTAAAGCAATAGTAATTTTAAAAAGAAAAAGAAAAATAATTTAGTGGCAATTATTTATCATCCTTGTTTATATTTTAATAGTTGTTCCAAAATCTAGTAATTTAATTTAATAAAAAATGCAGCTAAGCTTAATCTTCGTGATATACCACAAATAAGTAAGACATACTCAAATAATGATGACAAGCCTGAGCTAAATGGAACTAACCTCTGATGCAGGACTATAGTGAGTCTCCGATACTTGGGAAGCAATCTCTGCATTTGGCTTATCCACTTTGCTGTTGATGGCTGCATACACAAAAACGGTAACACATGCATTTATTCTATCAATCAGTACACAGCATAAAGCAAAAAAAAGTGTTTATAATTTAACTAGATATATAAGTTTCAGTTAGAACAGTTGATCAAATGGAGGATAACCCAATAATTGATACAAGTATTCCTTGAGGACCTAAAACTATTTTTGGTAAATTAATTATGAGACTGAACTTTCATTCTTACCAATTAAGGACCTCAACATTATTATAATGTATTTTAATGAATAAAATAATGAGAAAACAAAGTTATCTTCCTTTATAAAAGAAAAATAATATGAACAAAACACACTGTATGTGTCTCCTCGTTTTTTCAATTCAAAGTTAAAGTTCTTAATTCGTTACAATAATAAAGTTGCAGTCCTTCTGCAATACTTCCCCCTCCCCCCAATCATTATGAAGAGTACCAATAAAAAGTGACTGAAAGTCTGAAACCATTAAAAAAATATTTAGAGTTAGATCTAAATGGCATCTTTATTTAGTTTTCAACAAAAGCTAATACCACTGGTTGTAGTGAGTAAAGGTTTTGCCTGTTGCTGTACTATCTGAAAATACTGGCCTATTAAACCAAGAAATTCAATTCAAATTTACGAGAAAGAAATCCTTAGTTAGATATAAAAGAAACACGGTCCAACCCAAAAGTTATTTATAGTAAATATTCAGTAAACTATAATGCAACACAAGAATTTTCTTTTCAACAGTATTGGAATCAAATAAATCTACTCATGTTTTAACTTTAATAGATAACCAAGCTCAAAATACCTGTTTGAATTATTAAAAACAACAAATTGAATTATATCAAATGAAACTATCAGCAGCCATAGTTTTGCTCTTAAAACCTAAAAATTTGTCTCTCTGGTTTTGCAAACTCCAGGCAATATTTCATATGCTACCAACTCAACATCACATTTTTCAAAGTTATTTGTTAAATTAAATAATACAAGGATAAAGAATCCGCATTATATCTCCAGGGTAAAGTTGAAGTTTTACAAAAATTCAGTATTACCACTGGTACTATCTGCGTATTCAAGCTCCTCATCACTATCTTCTTCGATTGGCTGCGGTAAGAGAGATACTTTTGAATATTGAGGAACAAGAAACTCTGGCCCAACTACAACCTGGAAACATGAAATTCCTGGAGGCATCAGAAGTTTTATGCATAATAAATCATTGACAAAAGATGAAGTCTCTATATTTCCATTATGCAGTGATTAGAGAAAATACTTAAATAAACAAGAATCAAAGTGAATTTCAAACATTTAATTAGCTAACTTAGGGTCAAGAAAGTGAAAATAAATTGTTAGATTGTTATCTATACAGCATATGAAGAAACATTATAGAAAAATAATTAATATTATATGTTAAGATGTCTCATATTGGTTAAGAATAGAGCCAAGCCAGAATACTCCTTATAAGGGCTACGGCAATCCTCCTCTTATGAGCTAGCTTTTGGGAGTGAGTTAAGCCCAAATTTTTTAACATAATATTAGAGCCTATTCAGTTTGAATGTTGTGCTGCCCATGGACAGATATCCAATCTTATTGGGTCCACCCGTGCAAATGTCCAGTCCTACAAATTTCACGCACCAAATGTCTAATTCTGGGCATGAGGAAAGTGTGTTAAGATGTCTCACATTGATTAAAAATAGAGTTAGAATACTGTTTATAAGGGCTAGGACAGTCCTTCTCATATGAGCTAACTTTTAGGAGTGAGACTCAAGTTTCTTAACATTTTAAATTATAATATTACAAGCAAAACCAAAAAATTCAGAGCTCAATTATTCTCGAGAATACAGTAATGCCTTTATTTTGGTCTGAAACCCTGTGTTTCAGAAAGCCACTTTGGGCCTTAGTATTCCAAGTTAGGCAGACCCATTTTTCGGGGGCAAAACTCTCCTTACACCTATTTTCTTCATTCACAAAACTTGAATCCAAGACTTTGCTCAAGAGAAACCAAGTTCCTTGCTACTTGAACCAACAATTTTTGGTACATCAAATAAAGCCATTAGTTTGAAAGATTTTGACAGTTTGATTTAATGAGAACATAACTATCCCAGTGAAGCATAAATAACTTTAAGCAAGTCCAAACAAATGAGAAACAAGAAGGAAGAAACAATATCTACTGACATGGAATAGATAGAACAAGGATACAAACCTTGAAAGACAAAATAGCACCTGGTTCCAGAATAGCACCTGACTTTATAGTCACCCCATCACATACAATTGCATGCTGGAGCTTACAGCCATCTTCTATGGTGATGTTGTCCCATATATAGCATCCCTCTATGATAACGTTTGACCCAATTTTACATCCTTCTCCAATAACAGAATTTGAAATTTTAGAGTTATTCCCAATTTTGGTGCCTGATCCTATGAGAGTGAAAGGGCCAATAACAGCAGATTGTGATTTTGATATTTCTGAAGGAGAAAAAAGAAGTCATCAGAACAGAATACATTAAATTCATTAAAAAAGATTAAATTAGAAATAACTAGTTTTGACCCAACAGCCCACAAGTCAGGGCCTAAGTATGATAATTACTTGATATTGATAATAAAATCACTCAAAAGCTCAAGCTTGTAGGAAATGAATGAAGTATATAAAGCAAACATACAAACATATCATTTGATCGAAACTAAGCCCAGTAGATGAGTACACCATAATATCATGTAACATGATAAACAAGTCACCAGCCTGCCCAATCAAAAATACAAATTTCATTCATACCTGAAGCACGATACATTCCTTGTCGTTCAAGTTTAGTAGCTGTGTTGCCAAAATTCATTACATCTGGCACCAATGGATACGTCCATCTATGAATTATATCCTTGCTGACAGTGTCGTAGCTTCGGAAATTATCAACCCTTGCAGCATAGTCTGAGTGGATTTCATGAACAAAAATTTTGTATCCCATTATCTGAAAGAAATATATGGTTGAGTCTGATGTGGTGTATATAGGGTGCTAAAATTTAGATAATATAAGCAATAGAATATACAAGCAAATGACCTTGTATACCAAATGACTTGAAGACAAGAAATGAATAAGAGTATAAGACTTATTCATATGTCCAACGCATGTCCAGAAATTGTATGAAAAATGATTTGGTATGAAAGTAGTTTAGATTCAAGGTCCAACATATGCAGACACATGATCAATACAAAAAACACCATGTGTTTTATACATGCTCAATAACATGGTACTCTGAAGGAATGTCTGGTCCATAGGAGATAAAATTTCATTATTTTCTTCCAGTAAAAACACTTCAAAAAACAAAACCAAAAGATAACATTTTCTTTTCATGAAGAACTTAAGGAAGAACCTCAGAAAGAGAATAACAGAAACCATAGTACTGAAATAACAGTGTTTCTCAATTTACTATGCGGAAGAGAAATTACATCATCAAGAAGCAATCCCTTGACAAAATGACGCCTTAGATGTTGGTAGTCAAAATTGTCTGTAAATAGGCTAAGGACTTCTGGTGAGCAGATGTCAATGTAGCAATCCTGCAGAAAAGATATAATTGACCTAATGAGCTCAAAAAAATCAACAAAGGCTGTCTCAAGGCACCGAGATATGGCAATACAAAGTACTAGCAAAGCAATAATAACAACTATAAAAAGTTCATTAACCAACTGAAAATTAACTTAGATGGCTAACATGTCATTTGATTAAATCAATAGATCATTTCTTGGCACAGCCCAGTAATAAGGTAAACCTCACTGGAACTCATTAACTGCCACTTAACAGTAAATTTTTTATTGGTCATTAATTTAAATATATTAATTTTGTCCTGAAATAAGTTATGGACTTTTTTATAAATTAGCACAGCCGACCAATTTCATTTAAGCAAGAAGTTAAATTGAAAGCAAAGCAGATATATCTGAAAATAAGGGTTCAACCTGCTTGTCATGGTGCAGAGAGAGGGAAGGATTATCAGCAAGCAATGACTTATCAAGATGTAGAATTCCTTTTGAATGGTCTGCCCTATCCTCATAATATAAAAGTTGCTTGGTATTAGGATCAATTGCCATGAAAAGTTCATCAGTTCCAAGCCGAGACTGATGGATAGCTGGATTAGGTTTCGACCGTTTAATGACCATAGTCATCACAGCATTACTATCTTTTTTCCTCCTTTCTTTATGCTCTAGAAGTGCCTGAGTAAGCGACATATTGCTTACAGTATCTCCACTGATAAGGATAAAGTCTCCATGTATCTTCAATATATCAAAAAATCTAAACATTAGTGATTTACTATTCAAAACTTGGTCCCAGAAGCCAGAATGATTCAGAACAAGAGAGCATGATCTGTAACCAGTAGTAAACTATATTTAAAAAAACAGTAGATCCTAAAAACAATTACTTGGACTAGCAGTAGCTGACATTCAAGGTTCTAAAAGTTTCCTTTCAGAGCGTGTTTGGCATTTGGCAAGGCAATAAGCTATCTTCTAACTTACACGACTAGCTTAAAAGTTTGTTTGACCAAATTAGAACTATTTGGTAAAGGAGTTTATTTCCATAATTCATAGTATTTCAAAAAACACTACATTCCAAGTGCATTGACTTTTTCCCATTTTTATCCTCGTTATCTTTTTTTCAGATTTCTTTGTTATCCTTTTTATGTTCGAAAACCCTCAGCACTCTCACTGTCTCTCTCACTCTCATCAAATATTATTTCTTTATAATATAAGATTATCAAAATTGTAATATAAATCCATTTCTGTTGTCCCATTCTATTTAATCAAAATATTTAAAAATACTATTCTAATTTTTATGATGATAAATTATTTGAATAAATTAAAATATGAAAAGAGATACTTATTTGAAAATATTGTAGTTACCAAATTTCAAATTATAGCCAAGTAATTAAACATGTCATTTTACACTTATTGACTAATTCATCAGCCAGTTTTACCAATAACTTCTAATTCTATTAGCAAGCTTATCCAGAAGTTTTGCTAAACAAAGCACGCAGAAAATGTCATAATAGATCTGTGCTTCTAACCAAAATAAATAAATCAATAAGATGAGAATGGACTATCATGCTTTAGAAGACTAACATGGATTTATGATAAAAACGATCCCAACTGCAAAATTACAATAACTTAATCTACAATAGGAGGCACTTTGAGGCCTCTTTACACGGTAAAAGATGCCTCTTCTATAAAACAATTCGAAGTAAGAACAGCTATGTTGATAACAGTGTCCCTACTCTACTGTATCCATAGAAGTGCCTGCATAAATAGAAATCGGAATGGAATAGAAGACACACCACATTACGTTCGTATATTACGCGAAGAGCATCTCCGGCGCTCACGGAATTCTGTGACTCAATAGTTGATACCGTAAAATTTGGTTGAGAGAACCACTCAGATTTCTCCAAATAGTTAATGACCTGTTTGGAATGAGAACAGCAGAAAACAAAAACCTCTTCGACGCCAGCAGATTCGAGCCAGGTCAAGGTGTAATTTATCATCGGAACATTCACCAGCGGCAACAGCACCTTCAACAAAAAGGAAAACAAAAAACGAATGAAAAAAAAAAAACAAATAGTAAATGCAGTTGAAGTTACGAAATTCATCACATATACTTTGGGGCGTTCGAGCGTGATAGGTCTGAACTTGGTGGTAAAACTATCAGCCAAGAGAATGGCCTGCAAGGGAACCCGCACCAGTTCGTCGGGGTCCTCTGAAACTGAAACCCTAGCGCCGCTTTTCTTCGGAGCACCCATCCGATTTCGATTTCGATTTCGATTCCTTCTTCGCACTCCCAATTCAGAAAAACTGCTATCGTACATTCAAAAATCAAGAGAATGAAACCTCATGACTCAACACAACTGTGCCCTCACTGAGAGAGAAGAGTAGAATGCAGAGTATTATAGGCAATTAATTAAATTCCATTTCACTTCATGTTTGATTCCCTGTATTGATTACGCATTTTTATTTTTTATTTTTTTGGTCTAGATTACGCATTTCATCGAAGCATGCATATGATGTAGTAATAAGTGACCAAGAAAAAAAATAGTTGTGCCCTTTTTTTAGGGTCCAAACAATTGTGCACTTGTGGTCTTCGATGGTATGGGCTTGGGCCCAATTCTTTAAGCTGATGGTCCATTATCAAACTCCACTGCCGTGCTGAAAACTAACGAGGGGAGGGGGTATGGTCCCCCAAAAAAAAAAAGACAAGCTATGAAATTGAAGTGGATTAATTGGAAAAGAAAAAATTAAAAAATATGTTAATCAAAGGATCTATGTTGTTTAGAGTAAAATAAAAATGATACTTAATTGGGAAAAAAAAAGATAAAACCCTGAAAGTAAATAGAAACAACATATCATGCATTTGCACAAGGTTAAAGCAAGTTTAAAGAAAGAATTGATCATTATATAAGAATATAATCGACCAAAACATTATAGCATACTGTTTTTAAATTGAATAGTATTAAATTAAATGAAAATATATTCAATGACTATTTCAAAAATTTAATAAAAAGATATTAATGAAGTAATAATAATTGATACTATCCTAAGCCACTATTGAGACAAATAAACAAAAACATAAATAAGAACAAAGACAAGATTATTATTAGTATGAAGATATATAAAAAAAAACGAAACACTAGATATTTATTTATCTTCAGCTAGTTTGAATTCGAGTATTTTACAAACACAATTAACTTAAAATAAAAGGTTGATTGGTTCTCATTTTATATATTTTTTCACTAGCCAAATCCTTATAGACTCTCATATTATGGCACTTCTAACCTGACACGTGTACAAAACCGTAATGTGTTATGTAGTGGTCAAAGGTTTCCGGTAAAGGAAAGATTGCCACGGTTGAAAATATTGCTATAATCAACAACGGATTACTGCGTTGCATTGCATGAGACATGACATGAATGGTGAGTGGCTATAATAACAAAACACCCCAGGGATTTCACAAGTGCTTATATTCACATTTGTGTAAGGTCTCAAAGGGTTGCGTATATCATTATTATAAACGGCTAGAAACAATTCTATTCACATTTGTGTTCTCCGCATTGCACGCTTATTTGTCTTCTTTTATCTCTTCTTCCCTCAACGATTGTCTTTTATTTTTCTCCGAGTTTTTCTCATTGCTGTAATCAAACAAACATCTGCAACAATTCCTCAACTCATTAGTTATTCTATCCTTTTTCTTATTCTCGTTACAAGCCATCTCTTTTGGATTAATCATTGCTCAAATAGAGCTGAAAACTTCAAAGTGCACATTCCAATTCGCGAGGAACTCGAACACGAGTTTGGTTCCTTTACTCTCTCTCTCTCTTACAACAATTATTACGTTCTTTCTTCTCACATTAATTGCTCTTTCATTAGCATCTTGCTATAAAGTAGCATTTTGGTGAGTCTTTCATTTATGTTTTCATGTTTACTGTGTGACGTGATATGTTGAACATTTTTCCGTTAGAAAGAATGATTTTACGTGTTTTCTTCGACCCGATCTTTATGTGTTTCTGAAAAAGGCAAACATAATATTACCCTTTTCTCTTCAACGTGGAAAATCTTACATGCATATCAATTTCTTGTTCTCTTTGCAGAGATTTTGTTGTTGCAATATATAAGATCGAAATTAATAATGTTCTTAAAATGAGGGCAGATCCGAGGCATATATATACGTTGCACTTTGTACAATTCAACAATAAATAATCTGAATTTGGTTGCAAACTGGTTGCCGGATTAAGGGTTGACAAAATGGGTGTTGAAGTAAGTTACGTAGTTTCAAAATTGCAAATGCTATCCACTTCAGATTATGCCTCCGTTGTCTCCATGAACCTATTTGTGGCTCTCCTTTGTGCTTGTATTGTCATTGGTCATCTTCTTGAGGAGAATCGTTGGGTGAATGAGTCTATCACTGCCCTTTTAATAGTAAGTGATCACTTTATAAATTATTATATAGTACTTAAAATAAACAAATGGGTATATATATTTTATATATAGTAATAGTAATCGGTGAATTTCATATGGATTCATTGCCAACTGCAGGGTCTTTGCACTGGCGTAGTGATTTTGTTGTTTAGCCGGGGTAAAAGCTCCCATCTTCTTGTTTTCAGTGAAGATCTTTTCTTTATATACCTTCTACCACCAATTATATTTAACGCCGGGTAATTTTTTTTGCCCTAACTAGCTAATTGTCTAATGAAGATTGGTCAGCAGACATCTGAATATGATATGCGGTTTGTTTTTTTTTTCGGAGGGGGGGTTGCAAAATGGACACTAATTAAAGAATCAAAAATAAAAATATTTTATTAAAAAATGTAAAAGATTAAATATTTTTTATATTTTTAAGGCATCAGAACATGATTTTTAATAAAAGAAATGTCTTCCATGAGATTTTTTTTTTGGGATCTAATGTTCGATTTTTCTTATTTGCAGTTGTTCAAATACTTAGAACAAGACATACATAACTAACGTTACATAATTATTCCAGGTTTCAGGTGAAAAAGAAACAATTTTTTGTTAACTTCATCACCATCATTCTCTTTGGTGCTATTGGTACATTAATAAGTTGTGCCATCATAACTTTTGGTATGTCTTTCAACTTTGACATGGGTTTCTTAGGTTGTTCTCTAAAATTTAACATAATGACAAAAATGTTGGCATCTCAGATTATTGTCAATTTGTTACTAAACCAAGTTTGTTAAAGGTAGAATTTTATGGTTTAAAAAATCTACATGAAGAAAAATTAAACAGTTACTTTAAGCGTACTGTCTTTATTGGGTATCTAACTTAAATTTTGAAGCATTATTTCAGGTGTCACGAAAATTTTTAAGAGAATGGGTATTGGTAAATCACTAGAGATAGGAGATTATCTAGGTAATATCTTTTCCAACCTCATCCATTTGGCGACTTGTCAATTGTTAATCCGTTTCTGACTCACTTTTTCAAAAAATTTCAGCAATTGGTGCAATATTTGCTGCAACAGATTCTGTGTGCACGTTGCAGGTTTGGAACAATATGTGCCCTTATCACAATCTTGCAGCAACCAAGGTGTTAATGCTATTTATTGAAGTTATAAATGATGTTGCAGGTGCTAAACCAGGACGAGACACCTTTACTTTATAGTTTAGTATTTGGAGAGGGTGTTGTGAATGATGCTACTTCTGTGGTGCTTTTCAATGCAATCCAAAGTTTTGACCTCGACCAAATTGACCACAGAATTGGTTTGCATTTTATTGGCAACTTCTTGTATCTGTTTGTTGCAAGCACCATGCTTGGGGTTTTGGTAACTGTCTAGCTCCCTCTAATTCTCTCACGTGTACATCACACACATGCATATTGATAGTACATATTGGCTCCGGTCTAATGTGTCTACATTGCCTTGCAGGCTGGTCTACTTAGCGCTTACATTATTAAAAAACTGTATATTGGCAGGTATTATTTTGACTGAACTCATTGAAGTGCTTTTGCCATTGCTATAGTCATTCAGCATTTACTATGATAGTATTACATTGTTTTATGTTGTATATGCAGTCCTGTGATTTTTCTTTTTCCTATGGACAAGAAATTACGTTAGTTCAGTGTGGGGTCTCTGGGTGTTTGTTTTTATTTTGATCACAATTTCCTCTCATTGCAGGCACTCTACTGATCGCGAGGTTGCTCTTATGATGCTAATGGCATACCTTTCCTACATTCTTGCAGAAGTAAGTTTTAAAGAACTTCAGAAGTGTATTGTGGAGTATGTCTTTTTTTGAACTTTATATCTTTCCCTGTTCTTGTGGTTGACAACTTGACATTAATCATTAGCTGGTGCTGATATGTTTACATGTTGTGCAGTTATGGTATCTGAGTGGCATTCTCACTGTATTCTTTTGTGGGATTGTTATGTCCCACTATACTTGGCATAATGTGACTCAAAGCTCAAGGATCACTACCAAGTATATCTTCTAAACAGATTTCTTCAAGCTATATGTGGATCTGTTTAGAGTAGTAACGCTGTCTAATTTGATATATTTAACTACGTATTTTTAATCTTAATCTTGCAGGCATGCTTTTGCAACTTTGTCTTTTGTTGCTGAGACCTTTATCTTCCTTTATGTTGGTATGGATGCATTGGACATTGAAAAGTGGAGGTTTGTTAGTGATAGGTATGTTCTGTGTTAGCAGAGAGACTAGTGAAACATATGGCCATTTTGTACTCTAGAAAGATTTTTGAATATATGCCTCCTAGTCAACAAATGGTATGGTGTAGCGCATTACTGAAACAGCTCTTGCATTAATTGACGCAAGAGAAGAGTTCCTCTATATTGATGTTTTCTATTTCTAGAAATATTATCTTCAATTCTCCACATTTTGTCCCCTTTATTTCCTTTTCTTACAATAGAAAAACAATGCATGTGTCACACACGGTTTCTTCTGCAGGCCTGGAACATCTGTTACTGTGAGTTCAGTATTATTGGGTCTAGTACTTGCTGGAAGAGCAGCATTTGTGTTCCCCTTATCCTTCTTATCCAACCTGATTAAAAAGTCTCAAAGTGAGAAAATAAGCTTCAGGCAACAGGTATGGCTAGATTTTCTGTTAACAAGTATGCTCTTTGAGGATGTTTTGGGCTATCATCAGGTTATGCTGATAAATGTTACATTCTTTCTGGTTTTAGGTGATCATTTGGTGGGCTGGTCTTATGAGAGGTGCAGTTTCAATGGCATTAGCTTACAATCAGGTAAGAGGAAAGTTTCTCATTAGCAGTTATTATTGAAAAATTATGGGCAGCTAACTCGGCCAAAGAAAACAGGAATAGCAGTTACTATAGATAGGATCAAGTTACTAATGATGGCTCAACAATCTTGCGGACTGTATCAGCTGATGCAGTTCGCAATGGATACGATCTTAAAGTTGATGATTTAAAAATTGATACTCTTATACAACGCAGTTCACCCTGTCGGGTCATACCGAGCTGCGAACCAATGCTATCATGATCACCAGTACCATCAGTGTAGTGCTTGTCAGCACAATGGTAAGACTCCTGCTTATTGTAAATTTCTGACATCCTATGTTATTGTTCATTTTTTTCCAATAGAGAGAGTATATTCTCGTTGCTTTCTGCATCGCAAATAATTACTCTTGGCTTAACCATTTGAGAACTGAGATACCTCATATATATGATAGGAGTTTTAAGATCCACGCATTAGTATGCTTAAATGCGAGTTATCTCAGACAACTCTAGTTGAAGGTGGTGCTGACACAATTTAATTACAACTTGTCAGGTGTTTGGTTTAATGACTAAGCCACTCATAAGGTATTTGCTGCCGCTGCCTGTTGGTCCCCCTCCTAAACGCAAAAGCAGCATGGTGAATGTAGAGCTACCTAATTCCCCCAAATCAATCACCGTGCCATTTCTTGGAGGCTCCCAAGATTCTGAAAACGAACTAGATGGCAATGAAATTCAGCAGCCAAGTAGCATTCGCGAGTTGCTTACCACTCCAACACACACTGTTCATAACTTATGGCGTAAGTTTGATAATGCAGTTATGCGTCCCGTTTTTGGTGGTAGAGGTTTTGTTCCGGTAGATCGTACCTCGCCTGCTGAACGCAACGGTCAGTGGCAATAAGAATACTGCCAGGAAAACTGTAATATTGTATTGTAAACAGAAAATTTTGTGAAGATCAAACAACGCATGTATAATTATAAAAGCTGATTAAGTTTGCTCAAGTTTTTGGGGCAAAGACAAAGGTTTGTTTGTTGAATGTTTATAACCCACGATTTTAACTAACAAATAATATGAGAGTTTATATTAGCAAATTAAATTAAAACTATTTAATAAAACTATTTAATAAAATTAATTGTACTAGTTAAAATATATTAAATAACTTCAAAAATTGTTAAGATTATAATGTGCAAACATAAATAATTTAAAAAATAAAAAAGCTTATTAAAAATTAACTTTCAATAAACTAAAAACTATATAAATCAACTTTTAGTAACCCAACTTTCGAAAGTTATAAACTGTTTTTTATTTATCTAATAGCTTTGCTAGCTTAATACAAACTTGCCTTACCAAACATATACAATTTTACATTATCGTATTACCAAAACTTGAAAAGCTCAATTTATTATTATGCTTCTTATTGAGTAAGATGAAATTTGAAGAATAATGAAAACCGTTTAATTCTGCTGACGATAATGAACTTTTCACTTGGAATTTTCACACATTGGAAGAATTTTATGGCTATGAATAAGACTATTAAAATTTATAAAATTATATCCTCCAATAAAATTTTAAATTAGATTACATAAAAACTTCACACTGAAAGCCTAAAAAATTCTCTACTACAGTTGGTTTCCTGTACAGTTAACGCAAGTGAGAGAAATGTAAATTTTCAGTTATTAACTCCTTTTTCAAGCTAAGATTATCCACATTGTAAATAGTTCGTAGGTATTATCATCGTTTAGAGCTGGAAAAAAAACTTAGTCGCCATAAAAACCTCGCATTTCTGAGAGACTACCACAATCTAATAACAGAGGAAATAATGATTACCACTAACACAAACTTCAGGCAAAAGTAATAACTAGATTAAGCATCAAGTGCCGACATATAGCCATCAGATACGATACAAGCAAAACACAGAATTCACCAGTACAGACCGGACCTAAACAAACGGACTTAAATGGGTGCGTTTATTCCACAATTCTAAGGCTCCCACATATGACCACACGCACTTTTTCATGTATCCCGGTGATTTAGATTAGAAGTTTATGCTTGCAAGCCAATAACACCTACACCGTCAAACGGCAGAAAAAGGAGATCAGTACAGTCAACATAAGCAAGCAAAAACAAAATCTCGAACGTCGAGGAGGTGTATATATATATAATGATTGAAAAAATATTTGATAGTCTCGATAATTATCTTCAGCAGAATCACAACCACGTGTGAAATTTTGATATTACAAAGTTAATACTTAAGTGGTAGAAGGAATGCCAAAAAAACATTTACAGTCGCAGTCTATGCTTACCACATGCTACTCTGCCACCAGCATTTCCAGTAGTTTTGCTAAGCTCATGACCACCTACCCAAGAGTACAACGAATAACACGTAGTGAGCCAACATAATATCAAAAGCTTCAGCATAAAATAAAGAATAGCGGTAATATGTAAGAAAGGCAAAACAGAATAGATCAAGATTTGCTCATGTTCGTGGGAAGCATGATAACTGTAAGTTGTGAAGATCAAACAACGCATGTATAATTATAAAAGCTGCGTTAAGTTTGCTCAAGTTTTTGGGGCAATGACAAAGGTTTGTTTGTTGAATGTATGAGAAACATAATAATTGGATGATCAATAACTCAAATCAAGGAATAAAAACAGATTTGTGGGTACCTTTTCCAAGATCATCAGGATCAGCATGGACAACAATTGCCCTTCCTACGATGGAGTTTGGTCCAGTCAGAGGAATCTGCACACATTTAGTAACTTACTTAAAAATTGAAACTTAAGTCTTGCTGTTAACCTATAAGAATTGACCAGCGATTTTATTGAGATGAATAAGATACCTGCTTGTCGGTAGTAGAGAAGCTGACAGTTCCTGAGTTACACAATGAGAGGAAAACATTTTAATGTAAAGACCAACAAGCACATGGTATGATAAGCAAAATAAACAAGTTCTTTTACAAGTGACCTGTCACAAAAAAGAAAGCAAATAATCTTGACAAGCAGATAACTATAAGAACAAAGTCATACCATCATCACCAACATTAACATTTCCTAGATCACCAGCATGACGATTCTCATCTTCAGGAGCACCATGCTCCTTTCCAAAAGGATTGAAATGTGCTCCTGTAAGGGAAAATAAAATCAGAAGATTGAGCTTTACAATATTAACAAATGATAGAATTTCAGAATGCTGTCACTTAACAGACTTCAATCCCATGCTTGAAACTTTGAAGAATGTAAAGTAGAAAGAAACATTTACAAAACCAACAAATGGGAAAAAATCACTCGAGCACATATTCCATTTTCTTTTCATTAAAATATAACGAGAGTTTATAATTTATTCCAGCTCATTATATTAATGCTTCCGATCACTTAAAAATGATACAAGTTATTGTCCAAGTACATTACCAGTAGACAGGCAACCATTTGTAGTGTCCCCCAAGGCATGGACATGGAAACCGTGGAGACCAGGCTTGAGACCAGCAAGATTTGCTGTTACAGTGGTTGGGCCTAGACAATTCACAATATATGTTATTTGATTTAACTTAGTACAGTACAAGAAAATAAAAACGTCATGTTCAGGAAGATCAAAGGCTGTTGCAACTAACCATCTCCCTCCTGACTGAAGTAAATAGTTCCAGTGACACCCTCACTGCTGCCAAGGACTGCCACAGCCTTCACCATTGTTCAATGTGATCTGAACAATAAAACAGTTATTTAAACCGAAACAGCTATGACCTGCACAAGCTCATTAGAATGCAGTCAATGCACACACGTGTTTCTCTCTCTATCTCTCTCTCTGTAGTGAGAACATGAGTCATGATCATTCAGTGCCTGTATGGCTAAGACTGGTGTGCGGCTGAAATTAATTTGGAACACATCCTAATTAAATCTAACAGTTCAAAGTTAATTCCATCAATATCAACTGTATTCGACTCTGAAACAATCAGACCTGAATCATTGATGAATGGAAAAAATCAACTCCTCGCAGAAACTTTCTCTGTGTGAGCGAGTCAATACAACGTCGGTAACTCAGTTACATGACAAGCTAAACACGATAAGATCTTACCAACTCTTTTAAAACATTCGATCTCGGTACAGTTATATTCAATTGCCTAAGTTTCTAATATCAATTCCAAATAAGAGAAGGAACTCAATGAGTTGACCGCAAGTAAACAGAGATTATCATGTCAAAGGCAAAACCTCACTCCAATACACAAACTAGTTTGCTATTCAGTAGATCGGTCAAAGAATACTAAACAACACATGCAAACACACAACCCAATCCGAATTGATTCCATTGGTATAGCAACGGTTCAACATAATCAAATAAAAATTAACGATTATTAATTTCATTTCTGAAAACAAATCCGAAGTTGCCGAGCTTGAACGAGACTGCTAGGTTTCTTAAATATTATTTTTATTTTCACGACTTTCTCTCTATTCATCAACTCTTCTCTCATCCAAAAATAAAAACGAAGGCAATCGAAGCGATCATCATCGCAGAACAACGTCTTAAGCGATCTGCGGATGATCTAAAATAAATACGAAAAAAGCAGCGATTTCGGTGGAAAAATAAAAAAGAGACGGAATCGACAATCAGAGGAGAGGAAATTGAAGAAACGAGAAAGAGAAGTAATGGGAGATGGGGATAAAGAGGGAAAAGAAAGAAGAGAAGCATACCTCAGGACACCCCTTAGACTGAGAAGAAGACGTAGAATCTAGAACGAGGCGATGGGAAACTTTGGGGCTTGTTGTCTTCAATTTATAGTGAGTCAGGTGTGTGAGGAAGAGGGCAGAAGCCACGAGCAGCACGCTCACCATTAGCCTCCTATCATCACCTAACCCATTTGCCACGTCATTGAATTAGTGAAGTGAGTGCAACGTGGATGAGAGTTTTGTTTTTTGATTCGTTTCTTTTAGCAAAAAATGAATTATTTACTTAATAAAATATATTACTATGTTTACGATTTTGTAATAAAATAAAAAGTTAATATATTGTTTTAAACTGTTAAAATATCTCCAATAGTCAGGTCATAAACCGTAATTACGAAAACAAAAATCCCTTTTAATCGAAAATTAGCTTAGATGATAGGGTGAAAACCATTTATATTTGTTGTAAATTTTTTATTGGATTCGTGAGACATTTACGGAAGAAACGATGGTGTTGAGTGGCATAGCTAGGTTGTGGAAATTTAAATTTTATCAGACAACCATATATGGAGATACTAACCTATCTCGGAATGTGGTGCTTTTTTATCGCATTGTGCATTTGTGACTTGCGACTGCAAAAGTCAAACACCCTTGTATTAGAAATGAAATTGATTGAAGTTATCCTGAGGTAATTTAAAAATTAAGTAAAAACACGTTCTAGTGAATATATTTATATTTTATAATAGAATAAATTGAAAAATAAAAAATCCTTTATTCTAAAATATTACTGTAATATATCTCTAACTCTAATATTCTTTAATTATATGTTAAATGTTATTAATTTGTCAATAAAAAATACGAAAAACTGTTTTTTGCAGTGTATGAGTATTTTTTATTTTAAATAAAAATTGAAGACGCTAATATATATTCCTTATTAATCAATAATTATTATATTATATTTAATTGGAATAAATTAAAAAAATTATTACTTTTAAAAATAATAAAAAATTATTAAAATTTAGAAATTAAGATTAAGTATTAAGTTTGAATAGATTAAGATGGCTGTAATCTTAAAATTCATATTTTTTATATATAAAAAATAGATATTTTAATTTGATACAATATATTAAAATTTAAATAAAATTGCATTTAAAAATATTTTAACTAATTGAAAAAATTAAATTAAATATTTAATACAAGAAAATATATTAATTAATATAATTTAAACTAAAAATATAATTAAGTAACAAATAACTATGTTTACAAATCTATAAATATTCTTACAAGTATTATTAAATTCTTAAAAAAATTAACATATTGACAAAGTTAGTTTTTATCAGAAGGAACCACAGTAATAGTATAAATTCAATATATTATTTTCACCCAAAAAAAAATTCAATACATTATTAATATAATTTTTTGTTTACATTATCATAGTAACGGATAACTTTGTTTTATAAAATATAATACACAAAATATAGCCTATTCTACTCCAACTCTTTAGAGTAACTAAATTACAAAGTCCGTTATGGAAAATTTTGTGAAAGGAATAAATTTTGGAATAATCGACTCTAACTAAATCAAAAGTCAGAACGACCGGGCAATTGGGAATTGTCAAGATGCTGCTCCAATTCACTACGAGATTCATCCCACAGCTGGGTTTCAATACCCAACTTCTTGATCTCTGCAAGTCCACGCTCAACTGCAAAAGGGATGAAGTACTAAATAATTATATTTGAGCAAGAAGCATTAACATATTTGCAAGAGAAGGTTATCAATTTAATGACCAATGCATGTTGGTAAAATTATTATTCGGAGTGTTTTACCGTGCTATCCTATGCTATTATTGCTAAAATTGGCAGAATATATACCAAAGTAGATCTTTCAATCTTCATGGCAGAAGATATCACCATAAATTAATGGTGACTGTTTAAATGGAAATAAATCACGAATTTATCTATTACTTCTTCTTTTTCTCTTGCCACGTAAATGAACCATAGAAGTGGCAACACAGGGCAAAACCTCATTAGCTAAGCTAAGTCTTAAAATTCGCCAAAGGAGTGAATATGGTGGAACCAATAATGTATGGCAGGTAAATTACAATAAATAGAAGGAAAGGGATGGACAGTACCATCAACTGCGTCTTGTGAGGTAGGTGTCGTAGAGTTATGATTGATCCAGTAATGCAAACGCTCATCTGCTATGTCTGGTTCTATTTGACGCCTTTTTGCCCTCCTCCAAACATAAGTAAGCCAAGCCTAAACGAACATGATAGACAGGAATCCATAGATAATCAAACGCAGCTGATGCGTGAACATGTTTAGAAAAGGAAATTATAAATAAACTCACATTGTTAAATCTGAATCCTTCTTAATGAACCCCCAGAAGAGAAGAAATAATATATCATTCGACCCCAAATCATAGTAACAGAAAACTTAAATTTCTAGATGTTTGCTTCGTTCTTTTTCGAAGTAATTATCTGGAAACACATTTTTCGGCATTCATCGACATCATCAATGTGATGAAGTTGCCGGAGCTTCAGCTGATAATAAGACATATACAGTAAGTTCCAAGATACAAATTTTGGTTGCTTGTTCCTTTCTTCCTTTTCCCACGCCCCCAATCTCAAATTCACTAATGTTGCTATCTCTATATTGGAAGTCTTGCTTCTATTGTTATTTAAAACAATTGGAAGAAGTCTGCTGGCTGTAACCCTACTATATGGTTATTGCAAATTAAACTTACCAGATAACTACTTAAAAATGAAAACCCTAATTAAATGATCACAATTGCATTTTCTCTTTTCCAAGAAGTATAGCAAGGGGTTGGGAGGTGGCTATAACGAGGACATTATAAAAAAATTACAGGAGCAAAATAACGAAGAAACACAATGAAAATATTGTTGCATGTACCTGCTTAAAAGATACATCTTCAGCCTCCTCCTGGCTCAATTCTGAAAGTAAAAGAATTATCTTTAAATGAAAACACCAATCTAACTGAAGAACATATATTCTTGTTTTTTTTCTTAAATGTCATTTTAGGTCGTACGGAAGATTCAGATTCAACGTCAATAGAATTCAGACATGCATGTTGAGAGGACGATACTCAACGTAGACAAAACACGTAGCATATTGAATGATCAAGATTATCTTCTCTTACCTTTTTACTCTCTGACCTAATAAGCTCCATAATATATATATTTAATATAATAAACTCAAGTTCCACAGGCTGGTCTTCTTAACAAGTTGCAAAGGAGAGCTTATATAATAATTGGTTAATTAATATCAATATAATATCATAACTCCAGCACTCAATCTCAACTTTTTACCGCATGATCATGGCAAATGAAATCTGTGACAAGGAAAACTTACCAAATGCATCACACTGCCCTTCGATTGGTAGTTTTAGGTCATCTACACCAAAAAATCAAGACAAAAGTCAGACCATGCATCTCCCCCCGTTTTCTTAATTTCTTATTTAGAGAAGGACGTCAAATCCCTGATCGAGACAATATCGAGCATAGTGAGCATGTGATACGCTACACTTGGCAGGTACCAATCTGGATAGATATAAAAGAGAATTTGCACGTAGTAAAACATTGTATCACTATCAATTTTTCATTTTAAGAAATTGAATTTAAATCTCACTAAAAAAGACTTGTTATTCATAAACTGCATGTTTAAGGGGCAAAATTGGTCAAAACATGCTAAATAAGAGATGGCAGCTCTTTGCAGGGGGAAATTTTATAATTAATGTTTTTTTTTCACAATCTTGGTATAGCATTTATTGCCTCATTAATTTTTGTAAAATGTATGCAAAAATGATAAAAATCGAAATAAGTATATACAATATCGAATACGATGTTTAAAATTGACGTTGAAACAGAACTCAAACTCTATTGTATACGTTATTGAACTTAGCACCTGAAAAACCAGTTTTCAGTACATTTGGTCGCCTATGTTGGGCCAATGCAACTGCCAATGCTTCTTCTACCTTCAAAACAAATAAGAAAGCCAATCGTCAGTAGGGGAGCTTGAACAAAATACTCGAGAACTCAAAATGAGATTTTAGTGCATAGGTTAAATATATAACATTGTGATATGTGTTTAAAATTTAAATGCAATATAGTTAAAATTGATCATAAAAAGAATATCATAGAAAAAAATCGGTGCAATCCAATTTCGAGTTTCCATCTTCGTTGAGTTCTTGGCATTAAGTGGTCTCCATTCTTATTAAGTGCTACCATGTTGAGCACTTTTTAACTTCGAGAGGCATGAAAAGATACCTTTTCTAATAGGCTCAAGTTTTCTTTTATTTCATTATCATACTAGTTTGGTTACACTTTTGGTGTCAGCTTGCCAACTTGTGAGTAATTGATTTTTGTGTTTTCTATTGGCTTATTATTTTGCTGTGTGTTGTGAGTTGTTCTTCCAACCCTTTCCTCTATATACTCATGACCCTCTTTATTCTCTCCATTGTAATTAACAAATGCTATTTTATCACACACACACACACACACATATATATATATATAATAACATGTGACTAAATTTTAATATATTGTTAAATAAAAAATATAACCGTATATCACATGATGATTAATCAAAATCATAAACATAACCTCAAATCACTTAATAATGTATTACTAGCCTCGCTAACAGAGAATTAACTCATACTCAAGCGGTGTTAGTATTAGATTTCATCAAATAATATTAGTATTAAAAATATAACAAAGAATATCCAGGTAACATTACTTTCTAACAACTTTTATATACGTGATAGAAGAGTATACTTATTATATTCCTACGTGAACCTATGTTGATTGTATTAAAATATCGTTTTTCAGTTGGTTGATCGATTTACATCATTTCAGTATAATCTTTATACTGATAGAAACTCAATGAGCTGACATCTTGTTGAATAAGACGAGAAGATAAATGTTCCTTGTGAATAAAGGTAACATAGATAAGTTAAATTCATAATATGAAAAGTAGATTTCAGCATTAACTAACACTATCATTTGAAACAACTTTCAGAGGTTACTCATCCACTCCTTATCGTTCAGACAAATTAAGTCAACAAAGGACATGCCTTCACATTTTCTCAAAATAAGGATATAATAGAAACCTTTAGTGAAGCCAATTGCCGCAAACCTTGCTCGACAAAAAGCATGTTCTCAATATTTCCCTCTCCAGAAAGTTCCTTCAGGTCGCGGTGATCTTCTGTATCGTCCAAATCGAGATCTATGGTGTATTACAAAAATTAAGGACACTTAAGCACCCCAACTTATTTTCAAGAGATACATAAGATAACTGAGGGAAAAAATTTTAAAGATAAAAAGCAAACAACTAAAACAAGAAAAAAAACTGGTGCAATTAACGTTACCTCCTGATTCCTCTTTAGCTTTCTCTCCTGCGGCTAGTACAACTTCAACCGGATTTGGGGCGAACATAGACCAGTATTTGTATTTTGTTTCAGCAATATCAGCATGAATACCTGCCATATATTTCAGAGCCATTAAATGTAATATGATTATTTCCCTTTTCTCGATAAAAGTATAACTTCTAAGCAACGCATCGAAATGAAAGTACGTTCATATACATGAAACTGTGGTTTATCTTGTATATATAATAGATAAATTTAACAGCTAAGTATATATTAGAAAGATTAAGTTGCCCAAGGATAGGGGAAGAAGGCATGATAAAGGACTTATTTTTTTAAGGTGATATAGGACTCATTTATAAAATTTTGGAAGTAAAAAACTAGAACAAAAATTATAATAAATATCTTAAAACAAATTATATTAATTTAATATGGTAACATATGGTGTAAAAAGAAATAATTTATATCAAGAAAAAGTTGCATACTTTATCTTTTCCTTTAAAAATGAAAAAAAATATTATACAACATTAAGTTAAACTGACTAAGTTAAATTGCATGTAATCCAAATAAAACTATAATAATAATAATAATAATTAAAAAAAATTTAAAAATTTCAACCATATTCGTGTAAGGTCGGGTTATGAGCTAAGCATAAAAAAAAAAGTGAAAAAAGCATTTGATCAAAAGCAATTCATACAAATTAATGTTATACTTGAACAAATAATAATAGGATGACTTTACCATGTTGAACGCATAAACCCCAATACCGAGCTAGCCAACACCGCTTTAAAGTAACCTCTTCCTAAGTGAAAGAACGGAAAATCACATACTGTGCAGAAGATTATTAAAATGAAAATTATATATGAATAACATTAAACCCTAACCATTTCTTCCCGGGTAAGTATCACTCGTTGAGTCATAAGCCGTAGTTTCTCCAATGCAGACGCCGCTTCCTCCCTTGCACTCTGATGCAAATTTTGCAAAATTTAAATCAAATATATAAGCATAATGTTTTTATGCATTAAAATTGCAGAAGAATTTGAAAACAAAACTATAAAACGTACAAGGTAGAATGCTGGATACCTCAGCATCCGTCTGAACCGATGCTTGAAAACCTCCATGATTCTTTGAAGCAATTCTCAGAGCAGCCTGAAAATGGAAATGAATTTTCATCGTTGGACTTCATTATCTCCCTTTAGTATAAATTCGGCCATGTTTCGCATGTGATCATATTTTCAGCTACTTAAAGTGAATGATCACTTCGAGTGCATGTCAAAATAAAAGTTTGATGGATTATTAATTGATAATTGATTAATAATCTGTTAATATGTTTTTAGCTTAATACAAAATACAATAACGTTGGATTTACGGGTACAACTTTTCCTATAAAAAAACTTTTGAGTAGGGGAAAGAAAGGGCAATGGTGAGATAAAAATAATTTTACGTCATTCTAACAGACTAATTTTAAGACAAGAATAGTGTGCATTTGACTATATTTTAAAATAATAATGATATTTTTTACAAAAATATTAGAGGTTTATTTTCTTTTATGAAAGAAATTGATTTTTTTTTAAAAGTATCTAATTAGTATTAAAATTTTAAATGTTTTTTAAAAAATTTGTAAGATATAAAGAAAAAAAAAAACAATGAAGGCGTTAACAAGAAAAATAAATTGATCGCAGAGAAAGTGGACAGAAATTTTGATCAACGATCAAAGAGAAAGTGAGACTGTGAGAGTATAACCCCTCGGCTCCTTCATGATTACTGAATTCTTAAAAACTTTCAAACTTAGAATTCATCACTCTCGTTGAAATTTTCTGTTATGGCCATCTTACTAATATTTCACTTGTAATTGAGTATAACATAATTAAGTTCAGTGATTAATTCTTCAATGTATGAATTAGTGAGCATCCAACATATAAACTGGAAACTGTGCAAACTATTGCAATTAACTCACCGTTTAAAATAATAGAGATAAGCTATGATTATACCTGTTTCTTTGATGAATTGATATGCCAGTAATAGATGCATAACTACCAGGAATAGAATCCTCTTCTAGTCCTAGGGGTAGGGCAATGTAATTAATGAATAAAGGAAAGGAGAGAGAGAGTTTGATAGGGAAAGGAAAACGAAGATAAACCTCTCTTTGCTGCAGTGCTGCCTCCTTTCTGAAGAAGAAAACGAAAACATGTCAGAATTCAAAAGTGTTTAGAGAAGAAACTTAACCTACCCGAACACTTGTTGTTTTGCTTAAGTTAAAAAAAAAACGATTAGCTTGACTATGGTCGTTCTGTTTAATGTTGTCTAATTTTTCTGCCGCAGCTGACAATTTTCTTAAAAGACACTCAGATCAAATTGTAGATGGTTTTCCTTTAAACTTTAAATATATGCATTGAAATAGATTCAATAAATTGTGCAGATTGGGTTTAATCTTGGAAAAGAACCATAAAATAGACGAAAATATATTGTTAATGAACAAGAAAAGTACAGAGGATTTAGAAAATTTCAAGTGGACAACAATGCTCTTTAAACCATATCCAAGTGGTAAGTGCAATGAATTTTAAGCCAAACACAGGTTTTGGTTATAAGGGAGAAAAAGATGCCAAACAGTTATAATAGGATTCATCATTATATGAGTAGGTTTCACTAATTTGGCTTCTCTCTCTTTCTCAACATGATATTATCATGATACTTGCCGTCATGAGGAGATCCATATTTTGTTGAAGCGTGTCATACATATGTCAGTACGGTTAAGTACCATACCAACTCATCTCAATGCTAGACTTACCTGCTTAAAAGACGAGCCTCCAAAGTTACACCTTCTCCAAGATTAGCAACCTATAGGAAAGTATATGATGAAAAATCACGGATAATTAGTGGAACCACATAATGGGACAGATAAAATGACATGAGATAAGTGAATAATGTAAATGCAGGAGAAAATTTGTCCGTATAATTAGTACTAGAGTATGTTAATGAATCCTACCATGCAATTCTAATGTGTGGAATGTACATTACATTGGTATGCGAACGGGTTTAATTTTGATGTGCTATTAATGTAAAAGAAGTTGATGCTGAAAAAAAAAATGATTGTCATGTTATTATATATTATGTTTAACGAGTTTAATAATACATGGGATATTAAATATAATATATGATGGGACACAAGGTATTAAATGTCAATATAATATTAATATTATACTAATAATGCATTCAAATTAAAGTCATAATATATACTAAAAATATTTAGCCAAAAATCAAGAACGACAGGAGTTAGTCTAGGGCATTATTAACATTATAATTTTAAACCTAATAAAGTAACAATATCCATCAAAATTATCAAGGTCTGACCTACTTCATTTTCAGACATATATATCACAGCATGAACTACTAGTGTTTAAACCTATAATCACGTCCAAATTATTACTTGTGCACTAGTACTAAAGCAAAAAAGAGATAAATATTACCTGCTGTTCTAGTTGCCTAACTCTTGATTCAGCTTCCTCACACCTCTCCTCTGCAAGTCGAAGCTGTGGATTCACATATCAAAATGGTGTGCCAGAAAAGGAACGTATATATTAAAACAAAATCAATTTTCATTATGAAAAACTCGATATTATCAGCTTTCAGTCGTATTATCACTTAATACCGACAATAACAACATTCATATGGCAGTGCTAAGTTGGTTACATCCAATCCAATCTAACCCAAATTATATCTGACTCCTGAAATAAGCTGCTGTATCAATATAAAAATACGAACTGAATGTTCCAGCAGATGAAATCAACAAAACAGAGGTAACACACGACTCTCTCTTACACAATGTTACTAGCATGCAGCAAGAATCTCAAAACCTGAATGTTTATAGGGAGAACAAATTATCTTATCACCTTTTCGACCAAATTGTCGTTTTCTTCTTGTAGCATATCAAGCTGCATTGAAGTTCATATCTCGTTAGTAGATTCACGAAAAGTTATAGCAGCCACGCATGGCCAAAGTAGTTGAAGATTGAAAAATGGCAGGGGAAGTTTGAAGGGGGATGGAAGGGAGGAACATAAGAAGTACAAATACAGAAATAGAAATGAATGAATCGTATAAAAAAAGACTTCAAAGGCACGAATATAATAATTAGATGGACCGTGTACTACCTCATCCTCAAGCTCACTAGTAGGTCGCTGCTGCTGATTGGCATTTTCTCTTACTTTCATACTACCAAGATCAAGTGACAATCTACATGGTCACAATAAGCACATATCATTACATAGATTATATGCGTTGGAAAGAAAATTTTGGATCTCAATGTCTTCCCTAACTTTCTTGCATGCATTTTGGACCTCTTATTAACCAATTGTGTTATATGCATGATTAATTATCTGGTTCTCGATTATTTTATAGAGAGGAATGTTAATACTTAAAATTTCACCTTTTTACACTCTCTAGTCACGATTATTGAGTGCGAAATCTATTTAATTTCGTGCAGACATTATTAAGTAACCGCTCTCAGTTAGTGGAGCCAATTCGAAATTTTACCCAGTAGCGAAAAAAGAGTGCACCATACCTTCTGTCTTTTCTAATATCAAGATGGGGCTCAGGGGGAGGAACAACACCAGAAGAGGTCGGCTTGAGGGTAATAGGTACACTAGGCGGCACCATGGGAACCACTTTAGTAAGTCCACCGGGACGGACTGACATTGCGCGAGCAGAGGGAGGTTGATCATTGTTCGCACTACTGGGTTGAGACGACCGAGTCGTTATCGTAGTGCGAGTGGAGGGAGAAAAGTCCAGAGTTCGATTTGCCGTTGTTGAACGAGCAGATGGTGGTTGTTGCTCCGCCGCATTGACCAGCGTAGGCGTTCGAGGTGGAGGTTGCTCGGGAGCATTTGCAGAGGAAGATGATCTAACACTCGATATGTTTCTTACAGATTGTGGTTGTTCTTGAACAGTTCGTACTGACTAATATAAATTAACAAAATCAAAGTCCCAATTAAGCAGCATCATTCAACTTGAAGAATATATATAATAGCAAATCATGAAGAAGCCAATTACCGCTGGGGAACGTGATCTAGCAGATGGCGGTTGTTCTTGAACGGTGCGAACTGACTAATAGAAATTAGCAAAATCAAAGTTCCATTAACTTGTTATTCCAAATAAGCAGCATTCGAATAAATATCATTGCAACAAAAATTTCAGTTACCGCTGGGGAACGTGATCGTGTAGCTGGAGATTGTTCTGCAGCAGGGCGAACTGACTAAAAGAAAAAACACGGAAACCGGAGATTACAAATTTTCAAATAAAACTAGAAGCGAATGTGATATAATAATTCAAAAGCATTGAAGCGAAATTACTAATGGTGACCGCGATCTTGCAGATGTAGTTTGGTCCTGAACGCTCCGAACTGTCTAATAATAGAATAGCAACGACATCGAATTCGAAGCACGTTCCAAAGGAATATAAATGTGAGCAATGTGGAAAGACGTGAAGGAAGGAGTTACCATGGGAGAGCGAGATGGCATTGGCCTTCCACCGCCGAGGCCAATACCTCCGGCGCTACTAAGCGAGGAATAGTCAAGAGGAACGTCGTCGTCGTCGTCCTCATCGTCCGTTTGATGCGACATAACCTGTGCGAGTCTCTGAGCGGCGGCTTTGGTGGCGTTGTTGTTCTGCGTTCTCCTGACACTATTGATGGCAGAGCCAGTGGAACCTGCACGTGCGTGGCGGTTCAGTGGAGATATCATCACCGGTGAGGACGGCGTCGTCGGCGTCTCCGAAGAGCTGTTCTGCCTATCGAAAATTTTCCGCCGATCCATCTGGAAAACCGAAAAATCCATAAATAACATATTAAAAAAATGATCTCACTCTCACTGTCATGCATGGATCATAACTTTTTGACGAAACTTGCGTTGCCTGTGATTGATTCAGAGATTTGATAATAAGTTTGTCCTTGTATCCTCCGGATTGGAATATCTCGTTGAACAGAAACTGAAACTGTTTTCAAAATGTGAGGAATGAAGAAACTATTTGGCGTAACCTTATATAATCATTGACATTTTGTACTAGAAGCATTATTGGAAACAGAAAAGCAAAGGCAGAGGAGAGTTGAAGAGAGTAGAATAAAATGAAATGAGGAGTGGAAGGGTGTTGGAGCAGCGTCCTGCTATTGTGGAGAGACTTGAGGATCCGTTCGTCGAGTTATAGGTTGGGAGGTGTGACGTGGATGCAGCCCCGAATTCTTCCATTTTATAACGGTCTCCCTTCCGAACTTCTTGTAAATAGAAACGACCATAAGGAGAACCTTTTTCTCTTTTGGCAGTGAGTTTGCACATTATTGAAAAAGATTATTGATAATCACTCTGTCTATCATGACACAAAATATTACTTTTAAAATAAGTTAAATTATATATGTACTTAAAAGACAAAATTTATATTATTAAATATATTTCACAAAATGTAGCTTTATTTTTTACGAGATATCCACAAAAATTATGCAACGAAAAAGTTTAATGAAGTTTATTTTTCTTTTAAAAAAATATAATTTTGTCTTTTATTTTTTAAAATAGTTTTTTTTCAAAAAATGTGTGTATTCTCTCTAAATATTGCATTACTATATTACGAGTTTCTGATTTAATAAAAATTAAATAAAAAAATTTTAATAATAAAAATATAATTTTTCAATATATATTTTAAGACATAAAATATTTATATAACATAATTTTATTAAGAAAAAAGATTTAGTATATTCACAATATAAAATATTATCTTAAAAATAATATTAAATATTAATTTAAAAAATACTTACTATATATCTTCAGACACGTACAAGATAAGCTGTCGTTGAAAAGATAAAAAATGAAAGACTAAATAGAAGTAATAAATTTTTAAAGACTAAAAAAATTAATTATATTTAAAGGAAAAAAGAAGAAGCAGGATATGGGTACGGATATATCTGGTGTCCATCATAGATGTTAGAATAAGGGGTGGGCCTGTCCGACGTATTCCTCTTTCATGTCGAACTCGGAGAATTAGGGTTTTCCTTCTCTACTCCAATTCCACCTTGCTTTCGCTTCAAATGCAATAACCCGGAAAATGCTTCCAGAATCAGTGATAACGCAAAGCTCCGATGCAAGTACCGTGGTATCAGACGTTTCCGGCCACAGATTCTACAATTGGCTATTCGAGTGTCATGGATTCTGGCATAATGCCATTTTGTTGGTTCCTTCGATTCTTTTCGTCTTGTACTTGGCACTGCAAGCTAGGCACAGCTTTCTCAAACTCTCCCTTGCTCGCTCTTATATCATCATTTCATATAATGCTTCCCTCTGGCTCGTCTCCCTTCTCAATCTCACTTGGTGCTTTTTCCAGGTTCGTTCTCCAAATTACCAATTTCTATGGAAGCCGGATTTAAAATTATTTGTTCAATTATAGTTCTATGGAAGCTCTGTGTTACTTGAGTTGTTCGTTGATGTAGAATTGTCCATTCAAGCTCTTCAATTTGACATGTATTGGACTTTTGATTTTATAATGCTATTTTCTGATGCTTGAGTTGTCTTGACTTGAGACTTGAGAGGTGAATGAATGTGGTATTTAATCTTTGGTGAGTCAGGCATGGGAGTGCACGCCGGGGAAAGAGCTGGCATGGAACTTGTTATCGTTGTTTACTACTTCTGGAATGCTGTTTTTGGAAGTGAGCTTGCTGGCTTTTTTACTTCAAGGAAATAACGCAGGTGGCTTGGAAGCAATGACACGAACTTTTGGTATCTCAGCGCTAGTTGTTGGTTTGGATATTTTGTTGAAGGTATTTCTTTGACTTTTTACTACAAGTTTGCTTGTCCTTCTTGTAATTATGTTATCGTAATGTTACCAACAATGGTGGATAGAAGAAAACATATCAGTGCTCTCTCCCAATTTAACTTGTTTTTTTCATGCCAAATATGAGTATGTCGGATGAAAATTGAATATCTGTTTAGCCAATGGAAATTTGATTGCCTAGGGTTCCAATTTTTTTCGTGGATTTGGGGCACTGCCACATGTAATAGACGAGTCCTTGCACCTTTTCCTTGTTAGGCTATGTACACATTTGTTTTTGGGGTCCCATTATTCGTCGACAGCAATGAACATACTCATCACGTGAAGTGGAATTTGTGGGTTGTACACAAGCTGGTGCTCACTGCTGTTTATGGCTTCATATTGTTTATGTACCGTTCCGGGTGGAGAGAAAGGTTACCTGGTAAGTTATTTGACGGGATTGATATTATGATGTTTTTACCTAGTTTATGATTCCTTAATTTCCTTTCCTTTCCTTTCATGCAGCAAAACCTGCTTTTTACAAGTACGTTGCTATTATGTTCATCTTCAATGCAATTGCGATGTTTGCTTGTGGACTTACTGGAAATGGTGCTGCTTTTGGCTTGTGGTTAGATTCTTATAAAACTGAGCCGAAAACAAATCCTTTTTTAGTGTTTTTTTGCCACCTTTCTCTTAATCCTTGTTTACTTTGGTTCACAGGTTATATCACGTCACAGTTGTCTGTTACCATGCATTTTATCTTCCTCTTTTGTACACAACTTTCCTAGCAGACTTTTTTCAGGTCAATAGTGTCTTGATATTTTGATCCCCAGTTTCGACTTTTCGAACCCTTTACTATTGTTTAAAGACAACTTTACTTGTGTCGGCCTGACTTATTGTTCTTATGTTGCAACTACAGGAGGAAAATTTTCATTTGGAAAATGTTTATTATTCCGAGATGAAAGATGCTGGTTTCTTCGATACAGATTGGGAGTGATGGATCAACTTTTAAATAACTCTCATCGCAATATACTCATTGCAAGGCATCCCGATCAGGACATATGTAAATAAAGTAACTATGTTAGTAAAATGCACGTTTAATTGTAATAAACTTCAAATGTTCTGTTATTTACTAGATTTGATGTAAAACGTACATAGAATTTTTATCTACTTCTACTTAGTGCTATTTTCCGGTTCCTTTACCTAGTTTTATCAATATTCCAATTTTTATTATCCAGCAACACAAGAGTATACGCCGCTCCAATAAAATTAACATAAAAATATCACTGCATAAATCTCATCTCCGGTAAAGTTAACACAATATATCACTGCATAAACCCCTTAATGCAAAAACTGAATATAATTTTCGAAAACAAAAGGTTGGGCTAATTTGTTTCTCCTCTCAGACTATCTAGTCACACAATAGCGGTGTTCACAACTAAAACACTCGAGACTCTAAATTGCCGCACACCGTTAATATTAATCAGCATGGAGTACGAGCTCATGTTTACACAAACCTTCTGGCACATGTTTACTCTAAGAACTCTTCTGAATAATCTCTTCAATAAGATCTGCAGCTTCCTGAACTGTTGTGATGCTCTGTGCACTGTCCTCCTCAACGCTGATACCAAATTCCTCCTCAAGTCCCATCACGATCTCAACCTACAGAGAATGGCATTTAAACAATCCAAAAGCATTCAATACGTAAGATGGAAGACGTAGGAATGGACATTAAAGGGTAAAATGTTAAGTGTTTGCACGATGTTTCTGATTACCGTATCAAGGGAGTCAGCTCCAAGAGCTGCAAATTTTGACTCCCCGGTAACATTAGTATCATCGGATATAGCCAGCTGCTTCTTTACTATTTTGCACACCTTGTCTACTGTCTCTGGTTTGGCCTGCTAAATGCCTTAAAGAGTAAATAAACCCACAAGGGGAAAAGAAAAAAAAAACGAGCCTAGTTTTTACTAAAATTCTAATCACCACCCACGGGAAAATTTGTCTTCCAGCACTTTTAGTCAAGCCAAATCTTTATTTCCATCAAATGGTCGTCCAAAATCTTAAACAAATGAAGCATTAACGGATCTGTTTAGTAGTTACATTGGTGGAGACGGGACAGAAAATATTTTCTTTCATAAAGAAATTTAGGATCTGTTTCCCTGCCAGAAGTAGCTTCGTATTATTCAAGACGGGCCTTATGAGAGTCAATTTGTTAAATATATTTATACACTTAACATATATATGAATTGATTAACTGAACGGGAAAACCAGACAAGTAACACTATGTCTGTATACATTTTCCATCGTATAAAACCCTTTAGAAACTTAATAAAACACAAGATCCAAAAATGCAGAGAATTATCCAATTTACATATTCTAATGAAACGGTTCTGGCCCTTTGCAGCAATATCCCCACAAAAGTAAACGAATAGCAGTTCATAGAAGTCCTAATCATTGGTGTTTCTGCAGTTAAAACCATCCCTTATCCTACAAAGCACGGAATTTATGTACGCAACTACTCCAAAAACACTAGTTAATCGAGGCCAAAGGACACCCTAATTTACTAAATAAGGATATGTGATCTCACGTAATACACTATGTATACCATTTCACCTTTCACATCACAATTTCTCTAAATCATTTCTCAGACTCTGCTTCAAACAGAGAAACTAGATGAAGAGCCATCAATTCAAGAAAATTCATATTAACTGTAGTCTCAAGCCTAAAATACAGTGCCATGATGTTCAAGCAAGCAAAAAACAATCACTAACATATGAAAGTGAAAGATCAAGCGCTGCATTAGCTACTTACAGCACAGGAAACTTTAAGGCGAATTGAGCGTGGCTGCAAGCCAAAAGAAACAGTGTTCATCCCAAAGCTAGGAATCGCAGCAGAACTCGGGCCAGAAATTGAGTTTAATGTCTGTTCAACATATTCATCCAGATGAACCTCATTAAAGAATTAATTCATTAATTAAAACATAAGAAAAAACAAGAAATATATAATAAGGACAAAAATCGAAACAAGCTGGGCATTGCTGCGCTCTATATGATGTGCAAAAGTGTAACTCACTAAACCATAAATTTATTATTCAAAATATTTTACAAATAAAATTGACGGGAATTAAAAGTGAAAAAATGAGCAGCATGTCGTAATTAGTAAAAGTGAGAATAAAAGGATAAATAATGGAAGAATAGTTTGAGGGATGCATAGAAATCATGTCCTTCCTAGAACGCAAAAAATAAAAATATAAATGAACACGAGACGAGTGAGTATAAATAATAGAGAACTTGTTGGTGAGAAAGAAAAAGTCAGGCGAAATAATGAACAGATCATTACATTGAGAAGGAAAATGAAGCGCATAGTGCTTATGATGATTGATTAAAAGGTAGGAAAGGGAAAGCAATACCGATATTTGAGGAAGGAGAGAGCGAATGGAGATTGATGTTCCTGCAGCGAGTGCATTGGTGGCCATGGTGGTTTGTTACGGAGGAGCAAAGGCGCAGAAGAAAAATGAAGAGAAAAGAGAGAGTATGACGGAGAACGCGAAGAGTGTGATGCAAGAATAAATAAATAGCAAGGCGTGGCTTCGGCTCGGCCCCGTAATTTTTGGGTGCAGGAAAGGGCCCTTCTCTTTTGATTCGGAGGATGGTATAGTCGTTCCCTTGGGTTATTGGGTTTGAATCCACATCAACTGGGCCATGGACCTCCACCTAAGCCCATGTTATTCGTGGGGTTAAGCCCATTTAAGGCCTGTAGTTTCAATTAGGTGAGTATGAGTATGACTAATCAGATTCAGAGTGCTTACTGAGAAATTCTGATTGTTCTATTTCGATAGATTAGAGAGAGAGAGAGAGAGAATGGTGAGGGAAGTTTCAGAGAGTTGCGTTGATAGCTTGTTGACGGAGATGGTGGCGTGCTATTGCAATCGATTCTATGCTAACAAACCTGAACTAGCAGCTCGCAGGATCGAGGCCATTGGATATCAGGTCGGTCACCAGCTCTCTGAAAGGTTAACATCCAAACCCTAATATCAACTATCAACGAATTCATTTTGGCATTTCCTTTTTTCTTCGTGGAGATCTGTGCTGGAACACGATTGTTATAGTTATTGTCAGTGATTCTTAGATAGTTTATGTAATTATACAAACAAGCCTCAAAATTAAGCTCAACCAAATTACTAACATCATGTTCAGGTTTATCACATGCTTTCTCGATTCCTGACATTGATTATTTAGGGTAGTTTAACTTTGTCATGTTTATATATCCAATTTCATATTATGGCTCTATGAAGTGAATTATTATGAAATTTGAATGAATTGTTAAAAATGTGGGGGGGGGGGGGGGGTGTGTGTTTTAACACTTGTTGTCAGGTATACCATGGAGCGGCCTCGGTTCACTGATCATCTGGAGGCCATCAAGTTCATCTGCAAGGATTTTTGGTCTGAGCTCTTTAAGAAGCAAATAGACAACTTGAAGACAAACCATCGCGTGAGTTCAGAACTGATCTCTATGGGTGGTATATATTTATGATGTAATTTTTTATTAGGATAGGATGGTCATTGTGTTTGGTTCTGCTGCAGGGTACGTTTGTATTGCAAGATAATAAATTTCGCTGGCTTGCACGGATGTCAGTTGATCCATCCACCGATAATGTTAATTCTGTTGAAGACAATTCTTCACCCACCGCTGAAAATAAGGCAGCACAAGCAATGAGCATGCATCTTTATTTCCCATGCGGGATCATTAGAGGAGCTCTTTCCAACTTGGGAATTCCTTGTGCAGTGTCTGCAGATATATCAAACCTTCCAGCATGTGTGTATTTTTCTTTTTCTCTTACACAAATTAGAGAATTTTTTTTGGGGATAGAGAAAAGTTTGTTTCATTTTGAATGTTTGTGGATGCATAAGTCATATCCTTCTAGGTCAGATAATGACTATCTAGTGTTATCAATTTCTTGTTGTCACAATGCTATAATAGTGCAGCAATCTGTTGTGCCGTCCGGTCTCTATATTCTTGATATACAGCATTTTCCATTTGTCACCATTGTGACTGCTATAAAACAGGAAATGGTGTCCATTCAGGGAAGTCATGAATGCGATTTATATAACGGAATTAAGAGCCCCTTTTGCCCACGTTTTGCTACATTGATACAATAATAGCCACTTCAATTATTGCTTCAGTTTAGAAAATATAGTTTGCGCATTTGTTTCTAGAAATTTTTTGTGATTTCTAGTTTTCTTAAACTGTATTTGATAATTAATTTAGGACAATTTATACTCGATTGTCTGTTAGTTGGTCTTTGCTTTCCATGATTATACCTATTAAAGCATCTTATTATCCAGCTCTGTGTTCATAGACCCTGAACATGATTTCACAGATGCAGGCGAACATATTTTGGGATTATGATATTAATGATTTAGCATTCTTAACTTCTAACCATGATCAGTCTAATACTGGGATAAATGATGCTATCATGGTCTTCATAATTAAGCTTGTTTTGTTCTATTTAATTATGAAAAACTATTATCATTGCAGCATCCAATTTCCTTTCATTTGTGTCAACAATGTAGTTCTAAGCATCTTTCTATTTGTTTGTTGTATAGTTGTGAACTTATCAGCAATACATGTGTTGGAAATAATGGTACTTATTGGAAACAATAGATAAAATACAATTTGTACTCGTGAGTTTTTTGTTTTGCATGGTACTCAGAATTAAACACGCAATATTAGTTTAGGAGCTAGTCTCCACTACTATTAAAAACCTACTTATACGATGCCTTGCACAACCTATAAAAGACATTCTCTTGTATAAAAAAGTGTTCCCGTTATCATTCTGAATTCTTTCTATCTCCTCTCACACTAAATTCAACAATATGCAAGTTTGAGTATGAAAGCTTGTGATTTCTTCACAAATTGCTCCTATCAATCTCCATTTCTACATCCTTTAGTACTCGGGTATTAGGGTCTAGAAAGTTGCACTCACTATTAACCTAGGCAATAGTCTCAACCAAGTCTATTAAGAACCTATATATATGGATGTCTTGCATATCCATAACCTGTAAAATACATTCCCTTGAACTGGAAAGCATTCACACTGTTCTCCCCATCTCCTTCACCGCCCCTGCCCCCCCCCCCCTTCCTTCTAAATTCAACATGTATGTGCGGCGTGCATGAAAATGTGTATTGTTTGCATGAGTTGTCCTGATCAATCTCTTCTTCCACATCATTGAGCAGGTTCATTTGTGGTCCGGATAAAAGCTTGACGAGTTTGTAGTTGTCCACAGATGGGAGGGAAAGCATTAACATTGGTGGAAACAATGCTTTTAATGTCTGCGAACTCTTTTATCATATAATGCTCGATCGGAGAACATTTCTTTGCCAGATTTTCCTATCAAATATTATTGACTTGGTTGTGTAGGAATGGCTCCTCAAGAAGTATTTTCATAATCGAGGATTTGGTACTTTCTGATGCAAATGCTATGGAGGGTACGATAATGTCGTATTATTGGTGTTGTGTGAAAAGATGTTGGAAATTTCAGTCATTGTAATGTTGTTGCTCTTGTATGGAATGGACCTTAACCTTATATTTGTTCATTATTTGATAACCAATCTGCTCAAGACTAACTTAAATATTACCCTCTTTTGAATCCTTAATTGGCATTAGTTAGCATTTTTTTTTTTTTTTGGGCTAAATAGTCCCTTGATTTAATGTTTCTTTTTAACCACAACGTTAAGCTACATGTTTTGTTCCATTGTTTATCAATGTTGAATCAATATTCCTTTTACAGGAAAGAGAGCTTACTTTTACGAGTATTTAATGATATTAATGTTTTTATTTATATATTTTTATATTTGGAACAAAATACGAACGTGACTTTATCTCCAACCAACCTATGAGGCTAAAATTATTGTATATACTTAAAAAAAACCATTAATTTTATTCAATGATATAATGTAATAAAATAAATTTATTTTATTAGAAGTTCTGAAGTCATTGTAATGGTATGTTAGTATAAACTGTTTTTAAAGAAATATTAGAATTATTATAGTGGTCAGTAAAAATAATTCTTAATAAATAATGATATTGGTGAAAAAAATTATTAACACTTATTCACTATATTAAAATGATAGATAATTTTAAATAAACAAGTAAAACTGTTAAATTGCTTTGTTAACTAATATTTTGAACACTTTTGCTAACGAAATATTAAATAAATTTTTTAGAAAGTATGGTATAGGAATATTAAAAATTATGGAAGGACATAATATTATATTTGCGAATAATTTTTTTCTAATTAATATCTTAAGAACATTATTTAGTATTTGCTTTAAGAAAAAAAAACACATATCAAACAGCATTATTAATATATTTTAAACGTATTTTTATTAAATTTTTAAAATGTTTTACTCAATATTTTCTTATTATTTTTATAAGAAATAAGCATTAGTATTTTCTTATTTTAATTATAAAAAATAAAGACTCAATTTTAGATGTATTAATTGCTAATTTTTTTATATTCTTATTTATGTTACGATATGTGTAAACAAATCACCTATTGTTTATATATTCAAATATATTTATTCATTTATTTTGATTATTTAATACTATGAATATTTATGAAATATTGTAGTATTTAATGTAATTTAATGAATAAATGTTATTAATTTTATAATTTTAATAAAAAATTTATTATATATAAATTCTCATTATAGAAAATATTGCACAAATTTAAAAAGAAACAAACATCTTACAAATACGCTATAGTCTTTTTTTACAGTAAACAAATAATGAAAGACATCAAGGCAATAAAAAGTACTTATATATCATAAATTTAAATAAGATTTTAAAAAATATACCTAGTATCAAGTAGCTATATTAATTACTCATATATATATATATATATATACAAAATAGGCGAGTATCTTAAAATTTCACAATAAATAAAAATATTAAAAAAAGTTAACTATGAATACATTTAAAAATTAGTTTTCATTTGTTTAATTAGGACAAAAAATAATGATGATTATTCTTTTATAAAAAAATTTATAATATGTGCAAATTTATATACAATAAAAAATTATAAATAATAAAATTTTATTAAAAATTATGACATTTAATAGTATCCATACATGTATTGAATTCTATAATTTTTAATAAAACATGTATAAACTCTCTTACCTTTTATGCCTACACATAATTTAAATTACTAAATAAAAAAATCATTAAATACATTTTATAGTTTTTAGATAGTAAATGTGTGTATTTAAATAAAATACTAGAAGAATTATTAAAATGACAATGAGGAGAATACAGTAAAAAAAAAAAAACTTTATATAAATTGTTATCGTTTATAATTTTGTGCTCCCCTTATCTTATTTATAGTAAAAAATTTATACTACTTTTTTCATTCTTTGTTGCATTAATTAATAAGTTTTTTAATATTTGCAATTATTGTAATATTTGCATTATTAAGACATTTGGTCATTATTTATATAAAATAATATATTTATTTATTTAATCTACAAATCACTGCTTTAATTATTTATTATTATAAATACTTTTAAATATATAAATTTATAATATATAACTATTTGCTATTAATCATAATAAGATATTGATTTTATTTTTTTTATAAAAGAGACATGAAGATCACAGCCTAAAAGCACCCTGACAACCATTCAACATGAAATACTTTCTAACAAGTTGTCTTTTTTGTGTCACGAGCCATCCCCCATTTCAAGAAATGCTATTAATATAAATTCTTTGTGGTTGGTATTAATGTATTTTTAATGTATTATTATCAACACACTTTTTATTGTGAATTAAAGTTTACTAAATATCTAAAATCTACACTAATAAAAAGTGTATTATTAAAATTTCTCATCACATTTATTTTCCAACAAAAAAATCATACTAAAGAAATATTATAAAAAATTATTCTAAACAATATTTGAATGTAGTACGTAATTTAAATATTATAAAAAAATCACATGTTTAATTATATGATAAAATTGAAGTATATTCTTAAGTTTAAATAAACAATAACAAATTAAAATACCTTGATGTAAAAATAAAAAATATTTTTGAGTATAATTTATTTTTTATTTATTTTTTAGTTCAGCGTTAAATTTCATTTTTTATCCATTTAATTGATATTTTTTACAGTTATTTATTTTTACACGAGGTGTAAATTTTTTTACTACTTGATTGAACAACGAAGAAAGTGAGAAAAAGGATTGAAAAAAATTATCATGATTAATTTAAAGTAAATATTTTCTTTGGTGAAGAGAAAACAAGTATTTTTGTGGCTTAATGCTAAAATGGTTATTATTTATCTAGGTTTTCCATTAAAAATTTTGAAAACAAAGTGATAATTTTTTTTATAGTGATTTCATATTAATTTCTCACCTCAACACATAAGTCTTTTTATGTATTTTGAGACTTAGGTAGTTGTTTTGTAGGTCAAAGAAGATTTGCATATTTATTTGTAAGATTATAATAAAAAGTTTTAAATTTTCTCTGTATAAGAGTATAGATACGTGAAACTTTGAATGAGATGGATGATGTGTTGTATTAAAATGAAAAGACACTATTTATAAAAGTCTCACATAAACAAAATTAAAAAAATAAATAAAAATTGTTCGAATCATAAAATTTTAATATAGAATAAATGCTTATAATTAACACTTATAATTTCATAAACTAAAATATGTATTTACTTATTTAACATGAGCTTTCTTACCTCAACATGAGAGTGCTTTAAATTTACTTAAAGATTTGAATAATTGTGTGCTAAAGAAAGGTTACAAGTAATAAAATTATGTTTTTATGAGTCTAAGAATTCGCGTAAAGAATGTTAAATTACGTTCAATTTATAATTTTTAAAAAAACTTTCTCATGTATGTGTCTTTAGGGATTGAAAATGTAATTTTCTTTTTCTTTTTCTTCCAATAATTTCAATTGTTCTTTTATTGATGGTTTTGTTAGGTAATATATTAAGGATAGAAAACATTAAATGATAAATCAAGTATTTGAATATAAAAAATTTTCTATTTTATTTAATATTTTAAACACATTTGCGACATTTTTTTCCCCAATAATTACAGGACTGATATGTTTAAAATAAATACTTTCCATAAGAAAAAATAATTAGTAATTAAAAATTATACATGTATCGAATATGTTAATTATATAAAAATATTTATTATTTTTATTTAATAAATAAAAATAAATTTTATTACTTATTTTGAAAATATTAAATTTAACGTACACTTAATTCTCATAAATTAAGGCTTTATTTGTTTTATAATTAAAAAAATTCTTATATTTCCAAAAATATATTTTTTTTACAAAAAATAAAAAATAATGTGATTTAAATTAATTTATATTCGTATCTAAATCATATTTAATAATTCAAAAGCAATTTCATCATAATCAATGATACTTAATTTTAAAACAGAGAGACAATAAATGATATCAAGTGGAAGGAAATATTATATTGCTGTCACAATTTTCATTGCACTCTGCAGAATCTTGACTCCTCTTTGTGCTCAATATCTAGCTTTCAACTTTTCTTATTTGCGTAAAGATTTTCCTTGGAATGATTAATGATTTGAACCTCACCAATCACCACTACCACACCAAGTTCTTGCCTTATTCTCATGTTTATGGTTGTTATGTTATAGTTGTAGTAGTTGGTGGTTTCAACGCCTCTGACTCTGACTCATATTAGTAAAACTTCACTTCCGTATTCCAATTCCATTTGCTTTGTTGGGCTTTGTCAGTTAGCTGTGGATAAGGATTCTCTACCAACTATTACGTCTCTTGAATATATAGTTTGTGGGGTGTTCTTGGTTTCCTTTTGATCAATCAAATGGGTAGTGACGAAGTGTTGAATCATTCTCTAATGGTTTGTGTTCCACTCACAACACAACAATCTGTTGAGCAGCTTGTGAATGACATGCATCAGGCAAAGGCACAAGGTGCTGATATAGTGGAGATTAGCCTTGACTCTATCACCAACTTTCACCCTCTTCGTGACCTGAAAATTATTCTCACAAATAAGCCACTGCCTGTGATTATTGTTAATCGGTAATGCATCTCATGCCCTGTTGCTTTGGCTATAGATTAAGATTATCATGATGATATTAAATTTGACTATCTATGTGTGTAGATGTATAGGAAATCTTGTAATGAATGAGTAGGATTTATGGAGGTGTTATTGACAAGTTACATGACTTTGTACAAAAATAGTTTTATGATTAAGATTTTATTTTCTCATCTTCCTATAAAAATAGCTCTCTCATTACATACAACCACACAAGGTTTAAAAAATTGTGATTTGTGAGAAAGATTATTGTTAAATTAAGGTGAGTTGAAAGAATTTATTCGAATTTATAGAAGTGGTTTATGATTTAGCTTATTTTATTAAGCCAGTCAAATTTTTTTTTTAACTTATTTCGATAAGAATTTATTAAATAAGTGATGTAATTAAGCTAAAGTATCTCTACCTTTTCTTTACTTTCACATGCTTAATCATTTGCATTCGATATATTTGTTTTATTTACATTTTTAAAGGCCGAAATGGGAAGGTGGTTTATATGAGGGTGATGAGAATGTGCGGTTGGAAGCATTACAGCTAGCTGTGGAATTGGGGGCTGAATTCGTAGACATTGAGCTGAAGGTATATTCTCTTAGCATTGTTTCATTGCATCCAATCTATAGTTTGTTTGTTTTTCCCTGACCTATAACAATTTTAATTTAATGGCATAGCAATAGCAGTGTTCATATATTGCTTCTATTGTACAAATGTTCATAGCTTATCAACTAATAAAATGAAAAAAATATATCAACTTGATAGGTCCTATTTGAAATTGATATTTTTTTGTAGTTTTGTAAATCTCTTTACAATGTATGATTGTTCAGGCAGCTTCTTGTTTTATGACCTTGGTGGAACATAAAAGAAATCATAATAATTGTGGCAAAATAATTGTTTCCTGCTGTGTGGATGGCATCACCCCTCCAAAAGAAGAACTCCTTCAACTTGTTGCACTCATGCAAGCTACTGGAGCAGATATCGTCAAACTTGTCACACATGCAGCTGATATAACAGAAATCACAAGAATATTTAGCTTGCTTCCCATTTTTCAGGCATGAGTTTTTTTGTTTTTTTTTTTTTTTTCTAAAGCTTATTTATTGGATCAAAGGAGATCTGAGGACTTGATGAAAGGAAAGAGAAGGGTCGCCAAAATTTGGGTACTGAGATACATTAGGTTAAACTTGAACATTAGTTGCTACGTGAACCAGGTTTACAGATGATCTAATTTTCAGGGAACATGAGAATTTAACCTATTGAGACTCATTAGACTCAGACATTTTGTTATTATCTGAATTTTATGGGATATCCAAAAAAATAGGCTGGGTTGATATCAAACTTGATGTTTGCATAATACAGCAAAATGCTCCATGTCAGGTTTATCAAGATCTATCATACACATCTCCTGAATAAATCATGTTTCCAATATAAATTGTACTATAGCAAAAATAATTCTGGCTGTCAGGAAATGATTTACAAAAAGCGGCATAATTTCTAATGTTAAAAAATGGAAGCTTTCAAACACTTTTATTTTGTGGAGATCTTTTTGATATGTTGTTATATCAAAATTTATTTTCTCCTTCTTTTCCACAATGGTTGTTTCTACTTTCTAATGTAAGCCTGCTCTAGTAGAAATGTTCAGGTACCAGTGATTGCCTATTCTGCTGGAGAAAGAGGATTAATAAGCCAGCTTCTGAGTCCAAAATTTGGTGGTTTCTTTGTCTGTGGATCATTGGCTGGAAATCCAATTCCTGGACTGCCTTCTCTAGAAGGTCTTCGGGAAGCCTATAAATTGGAACATGTAAATGCATATACTAAAGTTATTGGGCTCATCTCAAAACCAGTTGGCCACAGCAAAGGCCCTATGTTGCATAATCCTTCCTTCAGACATGTAAACTATAATGGAATCTATGTCCCCATGTTTGTTGATGATCTTAAAGAGTTCTTTAGCACCTATCCAGGCCCTGACTTTACTGGTTTTAGGTATGTTACATATTAACTATCAATCCAGTTGGACTTATTTTCTCACCGTAGTCCTCATCCTGAACTGCTCCTATTTGATTTTTTGGTTTGCATGAATCTGTTCTTACACAAGAACTTAAGCAGTTAAATTTACTGCAATCATAGTGTTTTAATCTTTTTGTTATCACATCAACCAATTAAGTGTTTGTTTTTCTCTCTTATTTGGAAATTTCTCATCAACTTCTTTTGTACTGCAGTGTTGGAATTCCATATAAGGAAGAAGTTGTGAAGTTTTGTGATGAAGTCCATCCACTTGCTCAGGTTGGCTTGTTTTTCCACGTAGATTTAGAAGTGTTCCATATTGGTTATTTATTTCCAATGTCATGGCTCAACATGTATTTAAAAAGTAGTTCTTCTCTACACTAGGGTATACATTACAACACTTTTGGCTTAAATCACTTTTATTTTGTATATACATGAGCTGATGTGCGGAGCTTTAACTGTTTTCTGTGCTGCTGTATATGTCACCTTATTTGTTCTTGCTCTATTTCTACATGACCCTTCCATTTATTCTGCGCTCATTGACAATCCACATTCAATCTCAGGAAAAGGCTCGTTAAATAAATAAAGCTAGTTTTATAAAGCCAACGCAAAATTTGGTTAGAGGGAATTAATGAATTATTCCCACTAACATGATTATATGACTATATATTTTGGTGGTGAATATAAACATAATAAAAGGAAGTGTGTTTTTGTACATTTTTTTCTCTTGAAGAGTCATGATAGCTTTCTTTGATCATTTGAAACTGATGTTATTCTGAAGGAAATTAGTCTGTCCAAAATAGCTTTTAATGCTATAAGGCATATCGTTGTTGTTGACAACGGTGCTCTATTAAAATGGACTTAAGATGCAGTTATTCTTCCTTGTAATGATTGTTTTAGTAATACATAATCAATTCGTTTTATTTTATGTTCCACCAGTCTATAGGAGCTGTTAATACTATTATAAGGAGACCAAGAGATGGGAAGCTTGTTGGTTATAATACAGATTGTGAGGGTTCAATAACTGCAATTGAGGATGCACTCATTGGTAAGACTCTCCCACTGTCGTGTTTATTATAATTTCCTTTACGTTGTCAAATGCGTTTTAAGAAAATCAACATCCTAAAAGCTGAAACTATTACATGAATGCCTAAGGGTGAAATGTCAAACTCCTTTTCTCTTGGTCAAGGAGTTTGCGAATTTGAAACAATATATAAGACCAACTTTCTTAAAAGATTGAATTGTTAGGAGCAGACCCAAGAGTGGTTTCCATCTTTAACAGTAATTACTGGGCATGTTTCACTTTTTATTGTTACTGAAGGATTGTCTTATCTTCTTTCTTGAAATTTCACTGAAATTTTCGTGGAAAAAACTTAGATCAAGTTCCTTATATGCCAGTTGTCATTAAGTTTTCGATTCAAACAATGACATGTGGATACTTTTCAAAGATTCCGCTATTTATTCTTGATGGAGGCTATTTAATGTTGGAAAAAAATCATTCATATATCATTGTTTAATTTGAGAACTTGATCTAAGTTTTACCCAATTTCTCTATTATCATGGCTTTCTTCCAAAGCAAGTGCAAATTACAATTGGCATGATTTTAACTAACCAATACTGATTTACTGATTCCCATGAATCAATTGTCAGAGCATGGTTGCAATGATGGTGGCTCACCCCTTACTGGACGATTGTTTGTGCTAGTTGGTGCGGGTGGTGCAGGGAAAGCACTGGGATTTGGTGCTAAAAGCAGAGGAGCTCGTGTAGTTATCTTTGACATTGATTTTGGTATAAAAATAAGCCACATCATGTCTATAATAAAGTTTAATTTTCTTTTTATTCTTTCTCATGCTAGAGCTGAAGTTTTACAAACATCCACATTCCTATCATGCCATTCAATTTTCTTCTCCAGAAAGGGCCACGAGCCTCAATATGCATTACTTTGACCAATACCTTATTGTAGACGCAATGTTACATTTGCATGTTTTCTTATTCTCTCATTTTGTTCAAGCAGAAAGAGCAAAATCTCTTGCTTGTGCTGTACTTGGTGAAGCTAAGCCTTACAAAGAGTTGGTAAAGTTTCAGCCAGAGAAAGGGGCAATACTTGCAAATGCAACACCATTAGGAATGCATCCCAACACAGACAGAATTCCAGTGGCTGAGGTTCTACACTCTTTATGCAAATAAAACAAATGTTTAATGTGAGTTTAATTATTAATGATGGTGACCCTCTTCTTCAAGGCAACTTTGGGAAACTACCAATTAGTCTTTGATGCTGTCTATACACCAAGAAGAACCACATTACTGAAAGATGCAGATGCTGCAGGAGCAATAACTGTGAGTGGGGTCGAAATGTTCTTAAGGCAGGCTATTGCTCAGTTCAATCTCTTCACAGGTCTACAAGGTACGATCTTCACTTTTTCTTAATTAAATCAAACAGACGCAAAACCATACACGCTGAGAATAAGTAACATTGAACTTAAAGTGAATAGAATGATTAAAAACGGAGGTTTAAAACTTTAATGACTAATTAAACCAAGATATATTTTTTAGTGAAGATATTAATTGTAAAACTCACGAAGGGGATAAAAGAAGCGTGTAGAGAAGCTACCTGCAAGGGAAGCACTAGAAGTGTCACTCTAACATGTTATTGTTTAATGTACTTAAAGTTTATCTTAAATAAGAGCTTAAAAGCTAAACCAATTCTTACTTTCCGGTGGTTTTCTCTTTGTGCAGCACCTGAAAAAATTATGCGGGAAATTGTTTTATCCAAGTTTTGAAGGCGTTGCTTCCATAAATTGATTGTACAAGTTGAGTGAGGGTGCGCCTATGAAGAAGTTCATACACATCTCATCTCATAACATCATATTTAAAAGAGAAATGTACCTCATTTTTATTTGGGACTAAAACTGCAATGCAATATACCAAAGTTGAAATAATAGGCAACAGAGCAAGAGTTATACTTGACGCATCTGAAAGACATTGTTCAATTTATTTTGGCGCTTCGGATTTTTGGAATAAAACTTCAAAAAGTTTTTTTTTTTTTTTTTGTTATTAAACTTACAAAATTTGAGGGTGACATAACTGGTAAAAAAAATGGTGCTTTTTTTCCCCTAAAAATCAATGGTTTAAACTATAATATAATTCCACGAAACACAGATTAATTAATGAAGATATTTCAGCTTAAGATATGATTTCAAACTTGAGTATAATGGTTAAAAGCGCCTATAATAATATTATCTGACTCAATCATAAGTTAATCATAATTGTTCAGAATGACTCTTAGGGTAATTTATTTAACTATATTTGTGCAAAAGCTTAATTTTTTTTTAGAAAAAAAAAACTTTCAAAAGATTAAATTATTTAAAATAAATAAAACAAATTAGTTATGTGTTTCATAAATATAAATTTTATTTCAAAAATATTTATAATATTAAACAATAAAAGAAAGATATAAAAAATTTTATTAATTAATATATCTCAAATTTATTCTATATTTTTTTATATTTAAGGCTTAAAAAATACTCTATTAGCGAATTCCAATAGTAAGAGCATTTATGGCGTGCCAGCTTCAGGCCCATTGGGAATTCTATGGTTTTATAGACGTTGTGTTGTTTAAGACAAAACATAAAAGAAAGATGTGGTCTAGAGAGGGAACGACGAGTCTGCGAGATATTCTCTCTAGACACCCGTTGGTATTTGTGCTGCTGCAGGTGGATCAACAAAAACCACTGTCCTTTTCATTTACCTTTTTTTATAATCCCACTTTCTAATATTGGTCGGAGAAGTTATGACATCACTAGTTAATAGTATGTTTCTAATAAAGTCTATGAACTATAAATGCAATCATTAAAACCAACCCAACAAGTAACAACTCACAATTTTAAAAAATGGACTAGCCAGTAGCCAGTAGCCACTAGCCACTAGCACTTTGTTTCTCCTTCAACTGCTGGTTTTGTCTACACTGAAAATTTCATATAAACTAAGGATACCATACAACCCAACTTTTGTATTTTACACCCCACCCAGAGAATCAAGGACACCACTATTCAGCATGGGAAGCCTTTCGGTACTCTTCTCTTTTCACTCTTTCGTAAAAAATTCAACTTTGACATTTATTTTGATAAATAGAGCTAGCAGAAGCATTGCCACACTAGTACTAGCACTAGCACTAGGATTGAATTAGCTATGTGTAAAATGTTCATATAATAATGTTGGATTAAATATTTGGTTGCATTAATTTGTGGGAATGCATGTGAATGGCAATTAGTTGGAAGCCTCCAATTTGCAAAGGGGTGGTGATGGTGGAGCTGGAAACAGTCCTACACTTGTATGCACTCCACTTCTTGGAACCACAATCACTGATATGTTGAATGAGATGCGAATGGCCAAGGAAATTGGCGCTGACCTTGTTGAGATCCGTCTTGATTATGTGAGAAGCTTCAATCCAAGACCCCATCTTGAAACTCTCATAAAGCAGAGTCCTTTACCCACAATTGTCACTTACAGGTAGAAAATACACACACACACACATTCATACTAATGTTTTTGAAAAATATGAGTTGTGCAGAATAGTATCATTATGATGTACTGTGTTTTTTCAGACCAATGTGGGAAGGTGGTCGGTATGAAGGGGATGAAAGCAAGAGACAGGATGCGCTTCGTCTAGCAATGGAATTAGGAGCTGATTATGTTGATATTGAACTTCAGGTACCTATTTAATGAGGATCATTTCCCACCGCTAGTCAAAAATTTAATTATCAAACATATAACAAAACTTGTTAAATACTTGGAGGGAGAACTTTGCCGTCCATAATATTCCTATCCGGCTCAAACATCATTGTCTCTAAACTGTCCATGAATTAGATATTCCAAAAGTGTCAATGTTTGCCGCATTTTTAATTTGTTTCTAACTCAATGGTGCTTCCAACATACTGCAAAGATACCGAGATCAACTATCCATGTAGTAATTTTTTGCAAGTTGGATTGTTACAATTTAATGTAACTCTCCCCTTGTATGCAGGTTGCTAATGACTTCAACAGTTCCATATACGGAAAGAAGCCCGATAATTTCAAGGTAATAGTTTCTTCACATAATTTTCACAATACTCCAACATCTGAGGTCATTGGCAATCTGGTAGCAAGGATACAAACTACTGGAGCGGACATTGTGAAGATAGTGACCACTGCAATGGACATTACAGATTGTGCACGCATTTTCCAAATTACTGTACATTCTCAGGTAAGCTATGCATGATAACATTTCATGTTTTGTAGTCTGAATCAATTCAATTTTACTAGTTGCATTTCTAAGAGTTTAGTTGGACACCTTGTTATTGAGGAATATCTATATCTATAATATAGGGTGCGTTTGGATAGACAATTTATTTAAATGCTTATTTAATAAGCTTTTTTAAACAATGACTTGTGTCATGAATTTAACAATGAAACTTAATGGCATAAGCTGAAAACAACTTATTTTAGTAAACTATAGTAAGTTGAAAAGAGTTTACAAGAGTCATAAATTGTTCATAAGTTCATCCAAACAGGTTCATAATACAAACACACATGTGGCAGGTTCCAACCATAGGAATTGTAATGGGCGAGAGAGGTTTAATTTCGCGGTTACTTAGCCCCAAATTTGGTGGTTATCTCACCTATGGTGCACTGGAGCTGGATGCTATTTCTGCTCCTGGACAAACACCAGTAAAAGATATGCTAGAACTGTACAATTTTAGGCTTATAAGACCTGATACTAAGGTGTATGGAATTATAGGAAAGCCAGTGGGTCACAGCAAGAGTCCTCTTTTGTTCAATGCAGCCTTCAAGTCAGTTGGGCTGAATGCCGTTTATATGCACTTTTTGGTGGACGATGTGGAGAAGTTTTTCAATACTTACTCATCCCCTGACTTTGCCTCTGGATGCAGGTTCTCTATCTCTTTGTTTCAATGCTACAGAAACTTTTTTTACTTTGAGGTTATTTCTCTAATACTTCTGTCCTCACTCCAGTCTTAAGGAAATAATTGCCACACAAAATTTAATCTAACGGAAATTTCAATTGTTTTTACATGGTGGACTCAGGAAGTATAGTAATACATCTTAATTATAAAATGCAGTTGCACAATTCCTCACAAGGAGGTTGCACTTAAATGCATGGATGAAGTTGATCCTATTGCCAAGGTACTGATCATTACCATCATCTTAAACTAAAAACTGTTACAATTTTTTCAACGTGGGTCCAAGGGCACACAATAAAAACTAAGTACAGTAAGATTTTATTGAAAATTATAATATATTACTAAATTCAATATATTAATAATATTAAATATTGTAACTTTTAGTAAAAAAACATACTATTTATTAATTTCTTAGTGTGTCCTTGACCACGCATTAGAAAGATCATTTAACTTATTAGACATGTTACCTTATCTTGCAAATGATTCAATTGTTACAGAAAATTGGAGCTATCAATAACATTGTCAGGAGACCCGATGGAAAGTTAATAGCATTTAATACTGATTACATAGGGGCTATCACTGCCATTGAGGATGGTTTACGAGGTTCTTAATTGACTTCCACAACCAATACAAAACCAGGTTAAAAAAATATTCTTAAGGGTTGTATGGTTTGTTTCTCTTTCACAGATTTGTTTGGCGAAGAACCAGTTGTTGGATCCCCTTTGGCTGGAAAACTGTTTGTTGTGCTTGGAGCTGGTGGTGCTGGAAAATCACTTGCTTATGGTGCTGCACAGAAAGGGGCAAGAGTTGTAGTTGCTAACCGCACGTTTGGTAAGACATTAACATTTAGCTTCACATTGAAAAGATCATATGGAACCTTTATAGACATTGAGTTGAATCCTTCTCAGAAAATGAATATTAGAGTGTGTGTCCTCTTAGATGCCTTCACTTAACAATTGACTTCACTTCACCATCCTATGCAAAAAGTGACAAGGAAATTGATATACTTTTGGTAACTTTGACCATTAAATGTTGTCCACTTAACAACAGAACGTGCTAAAGAATTGGCTGACAAAGTTGGTGGAAAAGCCATGACTCTAAATGAAGTGGAAAATTTCCACCCAGAAGAAGGGATGGTGCTTGCAAATACAACATCTCTGGGAATGAAGCCTCACATTGATCAGACCCCAATACCGAAGGTTTGTTCCTCAATCTTCAGCTCTGTTAATCTCCTCTCTCACACAAAGATCATGGTTATTTGAGTAGGCAAAAAATTGATTGAGAGAAACCAACGTAACAATTATTAACTAACTTTAATTCTAAATTTCCCCAAGACTATGTATGGCATGTTACATAATTTATACTCTCCCAGCAAATACATTTATTTTCTCACACATGCTATATTTTGCATTAATCAAATTCAAATCATCCATATTGTGAGGATTTCAATGCTTTTATTTGCAGCACGCTTTAAAGCATTATTGCTTGGTGTTTGATGCCATTTACACACCAAAAGACACGAGGCTCTTGCGTGATGCAAAAGAAAGTGGAGCTACTATTGTCTACGGGACAGAGATGTTAATTCGCCAAGGCTTTGAGCAATACAAAAACTTCACTGGCTTACCTGGTAACGTCCACCAACATACCATCCAATGTAAAACTTTTCTAACATCTATTGTAACATTTAATGTTATTAATGCATTAAATTCTGTAATGTATTATATTTTTTATAAAAGTTTAACTTACATAAGTGTTTGTTACTTACTTTTAGACATGTCAGAAAATTTGTAGTGTATTTACTGTCTCGTCTTAAAAATGTTATCTGACTTAATGTTGTCTTCAATTCCAGCACCTGAAGATTTGTTTAGACAACTGATGGAGAAGCATGCATAATTGCAAATTTGCTTCGACACTTGCACCATATGCAATGATATTTGAAGGCAGAAGGTTAATTAAAATGTGTGTTGGTGCTCTATGTACTTTTCTTCCCATCTTTGTTTAATGCGAAGACCTTTTAGTTTATGGCATCCCATAAGAAAACTTTTTTTATTTTTACCCTTTCATTAGCCTTTTTTATGGCTGAAGTTTCATGATAATGCAATACAATTGCACGAATCTGCGCTTTCAAGAATTGGAACGACAGAATGAATATTGATTGCTCTCAATGGAAGATATACAATAGCAGAAGATTAATAGTAACAATATGGTTAACTGAAATAATAAATAATCTGACTAGTTAACTTATATGTGTAATAATCATAAAAAAATTATGAAACATTTTATGTATAGTAATCATGATTTTTTATTTTAAATGTAACAAATATATTTAATTAAAATTATTTTTTATTTAACTTGTACGTTTGATATATAAGATATAAAATTGTTAATAAACTATGTATGATAAAAGTTAGAAATCACTTAAATCTTATTTATAAGATAAATGTCATTATAAATAGTTACGTTAAAGCATTATATAAAGTATTCATTCTAAGATAATCAATGATTATAGTTTTTTTTTAATTGTTATATTATACCTTAACAATTTATATTTATTTATAAAGAACTTTATTTTTCTTCGTGATGTATTTTTATGATATGTTTTATTAGATTTTTATAATAATATTTTCAATTTAATATAAAATATATTATTTTTATTTTTATTTAATTTTACAGTACAGTACACTAATAATATGTTAACTGTTATTATTAGAATAATATTTTAATACTTAGTTTAAGTGTATATACCAAACACTCTATACAACTATAATATAACTGCTTTTTAATTTATATAGAATGAAACACTCAAACCAAATGTTAATTACTATTAACTTAAGAAGTAAAAGTTATTAAACTTACAATTGTTTCATTCTAATTTTATCTTTGTTGTATTTCAGAATCTAATTAGGTAATTCTACTAAATTATATGTCATCTTTGTTTTTATGAATTATTTAGATGCAGACCCAAAAAAAAAGACACGAAAAAGGAAGATTAAAAAAAACAAAAAACATGGATTTTAAAATAATATAATAAGAAAAATATGAAACATAAGATAATTAAGAAATATAAAATAATCTTGAAATCAAGTATCATAAAGAAAATGAGAGTACAATCGAAAATATCTTCATGTTCTCTATCTTAACCAAAAAATCAACACACTTATTTGCCTGAGAGGAAGTCTCATTGCTTATTATAATTTAAAATTGAATATAATTCATCTTGGAAAAAATCATTTTGAGAAGAGTATAATTAACATATGTGGGTAAATTAATCTAAAATGCATGTGTTTATTGGAATATAAGTCTTGATTGGCTTAAAAAATCAACACAGTATTTAGTCTCACAAAGGACATGTTTAACGACAGTGGTCCAAATCCTACAATTTCAATCATATCCGTGAAAACCTATAGCTGAATCATTGGGTATAAGTGTATAAGAAGACGAGCATCCAAGGAAACTAGTCAGTGAAATGCACAATATTTTTATTTTAAAATAATATATTTTATAATAATTAAAAATTAAAAATTTATAAAATTTTGAATGATTATATATGTACAATAAAATTATTTTAAATTAAATCTGAAAAAATATAGGATAATAATGAATTTTTATTAATATAAATATAATATATCATTCTTAATAATTTTAATAAACATACGCCCCGTATTCATAGATAATTTATTACTGTATACACTTTAAATTTTTCACTCAAAACTATGCAAATGCACTAACATTTAATAAATTAAAAACACATACTTTATCAAAATCGAGAAAATTAAACACGCACATTAATAAAACATGTTTTAGTCGGTAATTTTTTTTTAATAAATTATTTTAACTAATTAAAAAAATATAAAAAGAGATAATCAACTGAAGTGTATTATTTGATTTGAATAAAAGAAAAATATTGTAATAAAGGTGATAAATAAAGCAAGAGTTTAGAAGGGATTTTTGGGGAGAGAGACTTGCATTTGAAGAATATTATTTATTAAAATTACAGAAGTGGTCTGCATAGGCATTGATCTGGAAGTTTCTTAGAGAAAGAAATAATAAGAATAAATTGGAGGGGCTTCTTTCTTTGAATCAATTTCAGATTGAAGGAAGACATTTTTGTTTCATAACATTTTCAATTTCCCTCTTCACTTTACTCTCATTTTTCGCTTCCCGCTTTCAACTCACATTCTCTCTGTACTAACCTGGGAGAGAGTGTGGTGTGGCTGGTTACAGTATTGTCAACTATTTAACTCAATTATCTTAACTCAACTCTCTCTCTCTCTCTCTCTCTCTCTTCGTAGCTGCGGTGCATGTAAGTCTTCTTCATCCATTTGTTTCGATCTCGCTATTCATTAGGTTGTGATTTAGGGTTTTAGGTGAAGGTCTTTCCGATTCTGCTTTACTTTCTGTTTAGATCGGTCCTTTTTAATCTCTGAAATTAGGGTTTAGTTTATGATTTCTGTCTGCTCCTTAATTTTCCTGTCGTGCGTAAACTTGATGGTGTTGTTAATAACATGTTTTCATTTTGCTTTCCGCGTTTTGTGCATCGTATTTGTTCTCTGTGTAATAAGGAGTGGAAACGCGTATTTTTAGCTTCCTTTTATCGGAATTTTCAAATTGTGAAAGTGGTAGTGTTAGAGTTGAAATGAAAATTTAATGTTTCCTGGATTTGCTTCTTCTGTTAATACATCAACTATATTTTTTTGTTTACTTGGATGTTCTTATTAAATGGTTCATTGGGGATTTGGCTTGTGTCGATCAGGTGAAAATGTTGCACCGCATCTGGGTTGTGAATTTGTGAATAGGGGGAAGTCTCCCTGTCTATGCATTACTGTGAGATTGATAGAAGTACGGTAATTGGGGGGCTTTGACTTAGGTTCACCATGGAGTGCAACAAGGATGAGGCTCTGAGGGCTAAGCAGATTGCTGAAAATAAAATGCAAGCTGGTGATTTTCAAGGGGCACTGAAGTTTGCTATGAAGGCAGAAAAACTGTTTCCTGAGATTCAGAACATAGTTCAGATCCTTGCAGTTTGTGAGGTTCACTGTGCTGCACAGAACAAATTCTCTGGGTCTGACATGGACTGGTATGGAATTCTTCAGGCTCAACGATTTGCTGATGAAGCAACTATAAAGAAACAGTATAGGAAGCTTGCGCTGCTACTTCATCCTGATAAAAATAAATCTGCTGGTGCAGAAGCTGCTTTCAAGTTGATTGGAGAAGCTAACAGAGTGTTGGGTGACCAAACAAGGCGTACTTTGTATGACTCGAGGTTTAGAGTTCATGTGGGATTTACAGCACCAAAGGTTCCACCCTGTCACCCAAATGGGAATTCTTTTGGGACAAAATGTGATGGAAATGGAAGAAATTATCAGAACAATTTTTTTTCACACTCCCATGCTTGGAATTCCCATCAGCGGGTTGAACATCAGACATTTTGGACATCTTGCCCACATTGTAATACTAGATATCAATACTACAAAACCATTTTAAATACTGCCTTGTGCTGTCAACAATGTTCTAAAACCTTTACAGCTCATGATGTGGGGCAGTATGGTGTGCCTCCAGGATATCAGGCATCATTTAATAGCCAGAAAGATCATTCCAAACATGCTCCACCAAAAGATGCATCAAAAAACACTGGTGGAAAATTCTCTGGTAGAGGACAGGATGATAAGTTTAAGAAGTATTGTCCTGTATCTATGACAAAATGTTCTGCTGGAGGTGGTGTCTCTTCTAAAGTTGAAAAGAACAAAGATGGCCATGTGGCTTCAGGAGTGACAAAGGCTGGTGCTGGAACGTCCAACCCTGCTACTTCGAAAGCCAAGGAATCACAAACCTCTACAAGTGTTGGAAGTAAGAGAGCAAGGCAGTCAACTTCAGATTTGAGAGATGATAAAAAGGATGGAAGTAGTAAGGACATGAAAGATACCAATGTTCAAGAAAATGGTGCTGATCCTTTTGGATTTAATGCAGGAGATCACCTCAGGAGATCTTCCAGGAAAAAACACCATGTTTCGTTCACAGAAACTACTCAAGATGGTGATTCTGGGGGTCCTTTCAAAAGGCCACGACAACATGAGTTATTTACCTCTGCTGAAGTGGAGAAAAGACAAGTGCCTGCAAGTGGTGTGTCGTTCAGTAACAATAGACCAGCTATTTTTACTGCTGGTGTGGGCAGTCAGAATGAAGAGATGAGAAATAAAGCAAGTTCACCACCTGAAGATACATCTTTAAGGAATAAAACCAAAGTTGAGGAAACAAATGTGCAAAGAAAGGAGGCATCCAACTCAGATCTTAATAATAGAAAGTCAAAGGCTGAGAATTGTTCTTCAGTGAAGTCAAATTTACCTCCCAATTTAGAGATTTGCTGTCCTGATCCAGATTTCAATGATTTTGAGAAGGATAAGGAAGAGGATTGTTTTGCTATTAATCAATTATGGGCGATTTTTGATAATACTGATGGTATGCCAAGATTCTATGCTTTGGTCAAGAAAGTATTCTCCCCTTTCAAGTTACAGATTATTTGGCTGGAACCTGACTCCGATGTCCAAGATGAGATTGACTGGCATGAAGCTGGCTTGCCGGTTGCTTGTGGTAAGTTCAAACTTGGTCATTCTCAGAGAACTACAGATCGTTTTATGTTCTCTCATCAGATGCACTGCATAAAAGAAATTAGCACGGGTACTTATCTGGTATATCCAAAGAAGGGAGAAACTTGGGCGATTTTTAGACATTGGGACATTAAATGGAGTTCTAATCCAAAAGAGCATTCAGAGTATCAATTTCAATATGTGGAAGTTCTTTCTGATTTTGATGAGAATGTTGGCATTAAAGTTGCTTATCTTGGCAAACTGAAAGGGTTTGTTAGTCTCTTTCAGAAAACTATGGAGAACAAAATTAGCATATTTTGTGTTCCACCTAATGAGCTATATAGATTCTCACATCAGATTCCTTCATATAAGATGACAGGTGATGAAAGGAAAGGTGTTCCAAGAGGATCTTTTGAACTTGACCCTGCTGCTCTGCCTATTAGTTTTTTTGAAATTGGTGATCCTGGTCTTGTGAAGATGGAGGATGGAATGTTAAACAATGGAGTCAATTGTTCACACCGTGAATATTCTAAGGGTAAAGTTGAACAGGCAACGTCTAACGACAGCATTCACAAAGCACAGTCGCAAGAGAGTAGTGATGCCAAAAAAGTTTCCCCAATCCTCAGAAGATCACCAAGGTCAAACCACAAAAGTATGGACAATGGTCAAGCAAGCAATGGTCAATATACAGTCAGAAAGGATGAAAAAAACATTGGCTGCAGCGACTACAATCAACCAGAGGGAACCACTGCTTCTCAGACTAATAAGAAGGTCAAGACACCTCAGAAACTTTTTGAGAAAAATAATTATGAAAGAGAGGCACTGAAAGTTAGGAAGTCACCTAGAGATTTAAGCAAGAAAAATGCTCAAGGAGATGCCGTTGAACAGACAACAGGCAAGTTGACTGATAATCATTCAAATGACAGCAAACATGTTAAGGACTGGAATATTCCTCAGTCAGTAGGAAGTGTTCCTGCTTGTTTCAAAGAAGATTGCAGAGTTGCGGGAGCATCCTGTTATGACTTTAAGAAGAAAAAATCTGAAGAGCTGTTTCACTGTGGTCAGATATGGGCAATATATGGCGATAGGGATAATATGCCCGATACGTATGCTCAAATTAAGAAGATTGAATTTTCCCCTAATTTTAAATTGCAGGTGTCCGTGCTTGAACCCTGCTCACCACCCAAAGACTTGAAAAGAACAATATCTTGTGGTACCTTCAAAGTTAAGAAAGCCAAATCACGGATTCTATATCTCTCTGCATTCTCTCATAAATTAAATGTTGAACCCATCGCAAATAATAGATTTGAAATTTACCCAAGAAAAGGTGAGATTTGGGCTCTGTACAAGGACCAGAACTATGATGTGACATCAAATCAGGGCAGAGGTGGATGCCATATAGTAGAAGTATTAGCAGATAGTGATAAGACTATACAAGTTGTTATTCTGATGCCGCTTAGCAGCTCTCTTCCAATTTTCAAGGCTCCTAGAATTCAGAGATCTAAAACTGCTGTAATTGAAATATTAAGAGAAGAGGTTGATAGATTTTCACATCAGATTCCTGCTTTTCAGCACAGTGGGGAAGACAATGTTCATTTCAGAGGGTGTTGGGAGCTTGATCCTTCTTCCGTACCTGGTTTTTTCGTACAAATAGACTGAAGTATAGCATTTTCTCACCCTCTCACCCACTTTGTTCATTATAGTGAACTTTCTGTTTTCTTGTATGATTTAACCCGCTCTTCTATGTAAGAAGCAATGTATGGAAATGTATTAACAGAGATTTCCTCATTCCGTGTTTTGGCCACTTACATTAGTTAAATAAGCTGTTTTTATATTCTGGCCATATTTGTTGTGGGTGCTCGTAATGGGCACCATTGGCCAACGCCTAATCTTGTGTTGGGACTTGACAATCCGTAACCGTATCTATAACCCTGTTTCCTACGGTGTCCTGGGTTTGCTTCAATTTGATAAATTTACTCTACCTCTGCTTTTCTTTACCCCGTTTTTTTCATCTTACATCACAGTTTTCATTGTTTTTTCTCGTCTTTCTTATCTTCACAAAGTGTAAAATATTGAGTGTACAATGTTACAGCATTTATACTGCAATTTATCCTGTTATGTACACACTTGGTATTTTAGCCCTTATATTTTTCGTCTTATCAGTTTTCCTTTTAATGTGTTACACTTTATAGGGGAGAAGTTTGCTAGTGCTTATTGTAACCACCTTATTCTTATGAAGATACATTGCCATTTCATGAGGGCATAATATCATCAATAGAAATTTCTAAAACATCTTTAATTTCTTTCTCTTTTGTTATGCATCCATAAGCATCAGGAGCTATTCTCAAATTTAATTCCCTTGATTATTGGGTTTATTTAATTCTGGGAGATTATTTCTCCCTGAATCCAAAATTCCATCACAACTTAAATCAAAGCTTCATCCTGAGATACGTTTTTATGACACATGCGACAAGAAATCAAACAAATATTTCAAGAGGTGGAACGATCTTTGACAAGGAAAATTAATGACTCCGCAAGCTGGAATTGGTGATGGTAATGTACCTCCATTTGAATTTTAACAAAGACAAACATTTTCATCAAGAAATCAGTATGTCACTAAAATTTCAAAAATTGAATTTCCTAAGTTCAATGAAACAAGGGTAAAGGAATGGCTCTATAAATGTGAGCAGCTGGTTAACACTCTTCCTGAAGCTAAGGTACGTTTGACCTCCATTCACTTAGAAAAAAAAATGCCTTACAATGGCATCTTAATTACATGAGATCAAAATTTAATATTACCGAAGTTAGCCATAATATATAGTTAATATCACTCTGGAATTTAGAGACACCAATGATGATCCTCTATTTTGCCTTGATACAAGTGAAGCAAATGAGAAAGGTTCAAAATTATGTTGATGAATGAGTTGATCCCTACTCAAGTGAGATTGCTCCCAGAGCATTCACTAGGTATATTTTTAACTGGATTAGAGCACAACACCCAAATGCATGTGAGTATGTTCAACCCCACCTCACTAGCACATGCTGCTCAATTAACCAAATTGCATGAAGCACCGAAGTCATATGTTGGAGGCAATAGTTTTACTAGCAAAAATTGGGAAAATCAAAAGAACTATCAAAACAGTGGCTAAACCTCTCATTAGTTAGACACCAACAACCTTCAGTGTAACATAAATGGCACATAGGACGGCTGAAAGGTTATGTATGTTTTATGATGAGCTCTTTACACGTGGCATCAATTGCAACATAAGAGATCACAACTCCTTGTAATGAAAATGGATGATGAAGAACGAATAAATGAAGAGATTGAAGTGGTAGAAGGTTCGAGATTAGTAACCAAGGGAGTTGCAGATAGTGGAAATCTCCAGTTGTCTATGAATACATTGTACGGTGCTTACTGCTTTTAATTATCCATACATACAAGAGTGGCCTGTGTAACAAGAAGTTGTTGCAAATATTAATTGATAGTAGTAATATATATAACTTCCTGGACTAAGAGTTAGCTAAGAAGTTAGGTTGTAACTTGGAAACTATTACACCTCTATTAGTCACATTAGTAGATGGAATTAGCTTGGTTACCCAATTTATTTATAAAGGATTTACATGGCACTTACAACAGTCCAAGTTCACTTCTGATGTGACAGTGTTACCTTTAGTGCTGTGATTTGACTTTTAGGAGGTGCAATGGTTGTCAACTTTAGGTGCCATATTGTGGGATTTTAAATAGTTGCAAATTGAATTTTCTGTAGAAGTAAGACAGTTTGTTTTAAGGGCTGCAAATCCCTATATCATCAAGTTGATCAAGAATAAATCATTTGCTCAAACCGTACAACAACAGGGTGTGGGATGATATAAGCAAGATTTTAGTGAAGGATTGCCTCCTTGTCATGGAAAATTGTCTCGAGGACAAGGCTAATCTTGCAGGGGAGAGTATTGTTACAGCATTTATATAACGCTGCAATCTATACTTTTACGATCACACTTTATATTTTAGCCTTTATATGTCATGGTTATTTAGTTTTTCCTTTTAATGTGTTTTGCTGATGTCGCAAGTTATTTTCCCAAGGGGAGATGTTTTTTAGTGCTTCTAACATCCATGAGCACCGGGAGCTATTCTTAAATTTAGTTCCCCTAATCACCGGGAGCTATTTCTCTCTGAATCCAAACTTTCGTCACATGTAATGCTCATTTTTCATACACTTTCATCCTCACGTAATACGACTTTTCTTGATTTTTACACACGGTGCTTGGCCAATGGTTCTGAACAACCCATTACAGGGATAAGCTACGTTGTCTACTTTCTTGAGCAGTTGGGGCAAGATGCAGTGCATCTAGGTTATTTGGATCGACCATTCTCTCTGAAAGGACAAGGATTTTAATGAACTGAGAGAAAAAGGGATAGAAAAGAAGAGAACAAGAAAAGGGGAGGAAACATCTTAGATATTTACGTTGTTAGTGATGGTGCATGGACAGGCCCCTTCAATTTCGGTCTTCATATAAGAAAATTAATAATTAATGCATTTAACAAAGAATTTTTGTTTTTTATAATCATAAAAAAAAAACTACTAGTTATTTCTGATAAAAGTTATTGGCAACTGGCAAGCGTATTTTTTAAGTTTTAGTAAAAGTTAAAGGGTGCAAATTTAAAATATATATGATTTTTTAAATTTCAAATAAAAGTTAAAAATAACATGTATTAACTATTAAATTTATTTAAAATATTTAACAATGTCACGAAGAAAATAACACTGCAATCTTACACGAACAGAAAGAAGCTGCTATCATGTTTGTTAAGGATTACGACTCTCTCTCATAATTAGACAAAGTATATTTTAAATTTTTTTCTTAAATATAAATAATTATACTAAAAATACTTGCAATTGGGTTTTGTCATTACATGTGGATTTTAGTCACTAACTATATGACACAATTTCCATGTTCAATCACTACTATTGTTTTTATGGAATACATTGACCGAATTTTAAATTTCCTATAAAAGCATACAATAATTTGATATAGAAATTTGGAGAATATAGCATTAGCATCATCATGTTCCTTCAATCGGAGACTGACCATTTTTTCAGGCGTGTTGAATATTACTGTTTTCAATAATATTCCCTAGACGACGAACCCAATGGAAACCAGCTTCTGAATTTCATAGCACAAGTCCAGGAAACTAACACTTTGTGACTCTTTGTCTTGAAGGAAGAAGACATTATTATAAAATAACTTTGTTAATGAGTGTCTAAATATGTATTAGAAAATCTTAAACATACCTTATCAAATGTTGAAATTTGTTATAAAATATAAATTAAATATTTAATATTCACTGAGTAGTATAAAAAACGTGTCAATGTGAATGCTTTCACAACTTCATATATTCCCTTTGACGTAGAAAGTCAAATTTAAATCCATTTTATCCAAATTAACTTTTGGAAAAAAGGTTTGTCAACGAAATTAATTTTATTATATTACCTGCAAATATATAATTAATGATTAAATAAAAAAGTATGCATTGGAAATTGTACATGTGGGGGGTCGCGGGTACAAGACGATGCTATTACTACTATAGTTTCTGCTTCACTTTCCTATGCATACAATACGGTGTCATTAATAAATATTTTTCTTAAAATACTTATTAACATTTATTATATATATATTATAATCAAACAAAAAATAGACCTCATTATTTTTAAAAGTATAATATAATAATTTAAATAATTATTATTATTAATTTTATATTAACAGACAATACAACTAATAATTTATTTAATAAATATATGAATATTTTTTTATTTTAAAAAATTAAAAAATTATTTCTAAATTCTCTCAAATTTACAATAAAATATTTAGAACGTGTCTACCACATGCCTCTAACTCTTTTCTGATCCAATTTCAGGCGTTATTTCCCAAGTCGCACTGTGTCCCTTTTATCGTCTGTTTCACGTGTTAATACGTGAAAAAGAGGTTCGTTCATTTCAAATCCGTTTTGTTTTAATGCTTGTTAAGGGTACATATATTAAATAAATAATACTTTAGTTTTATTTATAAAAAAATTCTTAATATTTTTTATTAAAGGCTATTTTAATATATTAATTATTAAAAAATCATACTTCATTTATTATACGATTTGGGTTGATGAAATATTTATTATTTATTTATAAAAATAAATGTACTTATTTTTTAATACATATTACATTAATTTGACCATTTAATAATATAAGTATTTATAGAATAAATATAAATTTATACTATAATATTGTTTTTATTAATTTTAATAAACTAAGTATTTATTTTTTATAAATAAACATAGAAATAATACATTGTTATAAAAATTATATTATAAAAACGTATTAAATAAATTTTATAATTGGATATAATAAATATTTTTATTTTAACTTTTTAACATGTGTTATTAGAATCACATTAAATAATTATTTAAAATAAAACATCCAACTAACATCACGATTAAAATATTAATTAAAATACACTTTTAAACATTTAAGCTATAATATTGTAAGTTTTATTTTATAACATATAAATCTCTATTTTTTCCTTTTCAATTATCGATACCTTATTAGAGATATTTTACATGCAACTAATTTTAAATATTACGTTATTTAATTTTAAAGAATTGAATAAAATTTCAAACAACCTTATTATTAACTTTAGAAATTCGTTAAAAAAAATTGTTTGATTTTTCAAAATTGACAATGTAGAAGTTTGAAATTATTTATTAATGTTGAGAATCTTAGAGATAAAGGTTTTTCTTTTAATTATTTACATTAATATATATATATATATATAAGAGTTATTAAAATTATAATAAAGGTTGTCGAAGTTTAAATATTTTAAAAACAGGGTATTAAAAATAAATACTATGTGAAGCTTTTACACGTAAATCGCACTAGAAAAAGTAAGAGTGAACTTTTCTTTCCTATGCTTTAAAAATGTTTTAGATGGTTATTGATTTTTATATATAGTTTTATATTTTATTAATTTTTTTAGCGTGTTCAACGATACAAGGTAAACTTGTTATGTAAAATGTAAGATTTTTTAAATGCCATTTTGTTTAGTAACTGAAGTTTATTAGCTGCAATGAATGGATTGCGCAATATATTTTGTCAGTTTTAATTCAATGTCACAAAATATTATAAAATATGATATATTAAAATTATTAAATGATATACTTTTAACCCGACAAAATTATAAGGCAATGCATGACCTAACATGTAAATTTTAAGGTATATACAAAGACATATGTAAAAAGTTAATAAATAGTATTATTTAAAATTATAATATTTTACTTATTATTTTATTATTATTATTATTTTCATCCAGTTTAATTTAGATCAATTCTAACCCCTCATTTGAATATGAGGAGTAAATCAAACATCAAAATTTTTTTACATACACAAAGGTTCAAATTTAAAACTTTAATTAAGTGATACTAAGTTGTTTGCTACTCGAATCAACATCTATCTTATTATTTTGACACCATAAACAAATATTAATTATATAATTTTCAAAAGTTTAAAAAAAAACTTGTTTTATTTACGTTCTTGTGGCATTAATGAATTACATATAATAATCATAATACCACGTTCAATCCTGTGAATCTCGTGCACATTGTAAATATTTGTTGATTGAATTGAAATATTCAATTAAGAATATTGATTTCGATCCTGTTACGCAGTTTCCTAAATCACTAGAATTGGATAATCAGAAGACGCGTTTGTTTGGTTGGTTATAAAAGCAATACAAAACTGAAATCTGAAGGAGAAAGAAGCACATAACAACTCGCTTTGCTATTACGACGTTTTTCTGCAGTTGGTGCGACGTTATTATTAGCACATAAATAAATAAATAAAAATAAGAAAAGCACTACCTGTTTCATTGGCATTGTTAGAAATCAAATTAGGGATTTGGAGAGAGGGAGAGAGAGAATGGGAGGGTGTTTTTCAGATTTGAAAGGAGGGAAACAAGCAGTGGGAGGGTTACATAAATCGTCCAACAATGGAGCCCACAACGACGCCGTCGATTTCTTCTACAAGGCACATGGTTTCAACCCAATCTTCACCCAAGTTGAGGTATACATTTCAATATTTCTATCACTATCAAACTGTTCTTCGTTTTCGATGCAGTTTTCCTTCTTCTTCTCTTTTTTCCATTGAGTTGCTGTGATTTTAACAAAAATGTTAACGTTATTTTAAGATACTGATTGAAAATTTATTTTTATTAATAATATATAAACATATTTATCTCTGTAATTTTTAATGTATTTTTTAATTCTTAATTTTAATTTGATTCATCGAGTTTTTTTTTTTTTAATTAGGTTTGCGAACTTTTCCTTTTGTTTTAATTAATTAAACAATTATTCTGCCTTGTGTGTTTCCCAAGCAAGACGTTTGCATTTGATTCTTTATTCTGTATCTTCCGGTCAAAGCAAATTCCTTATTATTTATTTTTTTAATTGTTTGGATGTTGCCGGTCAAAATTTGCTCGTAGTGTTAAAAAGCAATTTTGTTTTTGTTTTATCAACTAAATTAATAGGTTTTTTCGTTCACTCTTAATTTTTTTTATTTTAATCTTTAACTTACGGAAAATGTTAATTTTTTAAACAATCAATGTTCATTTTTTTAAAATTTTAATAAAAATATAATATATTTTAATATTTTTTTTAGTTGTCTATTTTTTATTATTTTTTCTCCTATTACTTATTCACTTCAAGTGACTTTAGCTCAATATTTATATTATAAGTTGCTTTAACAATAAATTTTAGACAATACTTTTTAAGTGTGTATGTTCCAATGTGTTTTACACTTACGAAAAAAATTGTTATCCAAAAGGAAGGAAACATGTTATCAAGAAGTTTTGCAGACCCAAGAGAATACGTATCCTTGTTAGTCAATTTTGTTTCAAACTATCAAGTTTTTTATGGTGATTAACATGCCCTAAAATAACATAAGCATTTTATATGTTCATAGATTTAAAGAGAACAAACGAAGAAATTGAGAAGCAAAATAAAGATCCAAAACTAAGAGATAGGTGTGTTGTTAAAATTCCACCATGTGAATTGTTTATGATTAACTTTTTTTCGGATTTACTAATAGGGAAAATGTCTAATGATAAATATATAGATAGACATAATCTTGACGTATACGAGAGAGATAAGAGAAAGAAAATAAATAAAATAACTAAAATTTGTCAAAATATATTATATTTTTTTGTCTAGTTCATAAAAAAAATTATCAACAATTTTTAATAAAATTAATATTTATTTTAAAAAACATTTATATAAAAGATTGTTGTAAGTTACGAGAATTCCTAATTTAACCTATTTTATTTTATTATTATTGACCGGCCTAGACTTGACCCATTTTCAAGATTCCGGTCTCTGGTGTACAAAGTCTATCTATGCTTCTGATTTATGCCTTCAACCAATTCGAAAGCAGCCATCATTACTTCAACCTTGTTTGATTACGTTTAAAGGATTGCTCCCGAAGCTTGCTGCCATCATCTTTGCTTCCATCATAATTTTTAATATATTCTGATTAATTTATAATAAAAAAAATTATTTTTTAATCAGTGTCTTAGCGAGATCCTCTTATTCAAAAAATAAGTCAGCAGTAAAATTTAGTTTAATCAAATTTGTGTGTTTTATTAAAAATTATATTAACTTCTAATCCATAGTGTGTTTGAAACCAAAACCAAAATGAAATTCTCAATAGAATGCAAAATTGCGTTTGAGAGCTGATTAGCGAGTTGGAGACTCCCCTACGCCAAACTAAACATAATCCTCGTATTCAATTTGGATATGATTTAATACTAGAAATCAAAGTTGGTGCATTCAAAAAATCAACTTGCCAGATAAAACTTCTATGAAGATGATGTATTTTGAAAGATAACTGCATAATTAGAAAACCGTAGAAGCTTACGTTCAGATGTGTTATGCTTGTCAACATCTTTCTTCCCTTCAAGATGTATACTCCTATTTTTCGCTTGTTTAAAACAAAGGGTTAATCCTCATCCATGTGGCAGATTAACTAGTTTTAAATGCATATTCATATATGAGTTTAGCTGAGAAATAGCATATCCAGAGTGAACCTGAATTTATAGAGACAAATTTTGTTATAGAACAAATCTTAAAAATGAGAGTGAATTTTTTGTGCAAGTACTCATACATCATTTCTTGCATCTCTCTTCTCTTTTTCGAGCAACCGGAGTAAAAACAGGGAGAGTTGTCACCAAGAAAGTGAGCAAATATATAATATTGTTATAATTTTAACAAATGATCAGAATTTGTTTGTACATATTTTTTATATATAAAAAATTATCATGTTAAGTTTTTTAAATTAATTTAAAACACTGTCAAATATAGAGTCAATAATTTTAATTTAACGTTTTTATTTAATTATAATTAGTTCACATTTTTTTTATACATTTATATCTAGATTCTTTCCCCACACGCGGACAAATTTAAAATAAGGTTGTTTGTGGATCCTAGGGTACTTGTATTTACACTGAATTTGAGCGAAAAATTCTTCACAAACTGCTGTGAAATAAAAACTGAATGACATTTCATGAGATGATATTTTTTTTTCTGAATAATTAGCATGACAAATATGTTATAGATGATGCTTCCCTCCTTCACAGGAAGGACGTCTTAAATCTTTCATGAATATGACTTTCATAGATGATGTGTGTGACATTAGCTATGGATATGACTTTCATATACATCTACAAAATTTGACAATGAAAAGACGAATTGGAAATAATGAAATTTAAAATATTAATTTTTGCTACCATTATACATGTTTGAAATTTTGTTGAAAAAGCACCAAATTATGATTAGAATAAAACTTCTCACTTTTAGTTTTGCGTAAATTATAATAATTTTTGGGATTTAGTATTTCAAATGTATCAGTAAAGATAATTAAACGGCCAAAATGTTGATAAAAAGTTTCAAATTATGCAAAATCCAAGTTTCATGGTCTGCACTATTTTTTAATAATGTGATTCTAAAACATAAGCTGCAGAAAGTACCCAGCAAATGTCTTGCTACGACGAGTAATTTCTTCCACCAAAAGTAATTTGTTCAGGTGTTGTTTTATCAACATATAAAGCATGTTTAAGTTTTTATGAGTGTTAATTTGTTTGTTTTCCAATTTTTTCACCGTTTATTGTTTTGTTCTTTTTAAATCTACTGTTTGATATCGTTGGAACCTGAACAAGGTGGACAAATTAATTATGCTGATGGTCTTCAAATCTTTTTTCTGCAGTTATCTCTATCAGCATCTAACTTACTTGACCGGGACATTGCATCAAAGGTATATTTTCTTTTAGATAAGGTTGTCAATGATACACAAGGATTCGAACGGTGTGTCATTTATTTTTATTTTTATTTTTTGTCTCGTTATTTCTTGTTTATTCATGTGTGGTTTGGTTCATGAACTACCTTTTCGGTTGCCATCATGTATCCTTACCTCTTTTTATTCTAGGCAAAGCAATTAATCATGTTATACAATTCGAAATGTCTAAATGATTCTGGACAAAAGTAAAGTTCCTTAGATGTTTGTAATACTACTTTTCAATAAACACACAGCATGCATTATATTCCATTTATCGTAAATGCTTTTTTCATTCAGACTAAATCAAGTCATGCCAATGAAGTGAATGTTTTAGAGTCATTTTTAAGACTGAAAACTCATATATAAAAAGTTTGAGTAGAGCCACAGTTCCTCCACCAATTCATGTAAATGTCGAGTTTAACAACTTTATTTAAGAAAAATATTTATTTTTTGTAAAGATAAGAAAAATGTTGAAACCTAAATGAAAGTTTCAATATCTTCGTAGAATTATTCTTTGGCACTTGCACGTTGTTCAAAATCGACCTTTGTGAACACATTTTAACTGAATTATTCTTTTATTTTATTTTAGAGTGATCCTATGGTGGTTGTATTTTCAAAGAAAAGAGATGGTAAATTGCAAGAATTAGGTCGCACTGAAGTCATAATGAATTCTTTGAATCCAGAGTGGATAGAGAAAATTAGTGTTGCGTTTCAGTTCGAGGTTGTGCAACCACTTGAGTAAGCTATCTTTAATTTGTTCTGCCTTGCATCTATTTCCTACATAAATAATGGTTTTCTTTGTATGGCAATGACTTATAACTCTCTCTCTCTCTCTCTCTCTCATTTTTTACTTTGCTTCCAGATTTCATGTGTATGACATTGATACAAACTATCATAGCGTTCCCACCAAGGTTTGTAACCGCAATAACTCTATGCCTTTTAACATTCTATGCTTAATTGAAGCACGAGTTCTTCCTGTATTGTATGCTCAGTAAGGATTCTAATTTCTACAGTGATACATTCCGATTGAGTTAAATAAAAAATGATAAAAACATTGCCAACTCGTACTAAACTTTTCAATATTTATATATATTGTAAATTAATTATTTAACTACGTTATTCGGTGATTTTCCAAGGGAAAAAGTTAATATGCTTGACTATTTGTCATCATGCCAATTATATGCAAGCAGCAAATTATTTCATAGGAGATAAATCATTTTTTTTATTACTAAGTGATAATTGTCATTTACATTGAACAGATCCACTAGGTTAGATTTGGAAAGAAGACCTGTCCAGCTCCCTTCAATTTTATGTGAACTTGTGTGATTAAAGAAATTAAATTGTGGAATATTTCTATAATTTAAATCCATAAAGAGATTGGAAGGAGAAACTAAAGTGATGTGACGTCTAATACATGGAATGTTTAGATATAAACATTTGCTGCGACATTCCTTCAATTTATATTCTCACTTTCTCTTGCAGAATTAGTCAGTGGTTGAGTTATAAAGCTGAAGTTTATATTTGAAACTAAGAATTTTTTTATATATATATTTTGTTCTTGCAGATACTAAAACTTGAGGATCAAGAATTCCTTGGAATGGCCTCTTGCACTTTATCAGAGGTCAGTTTCGTTGTATTCATGTGCAACCGTTGATGACACTAATGTATTTGGGTCGTAAATATACATCCACCATTTCATTTTATTTTATTTTAATAAAAAAAAGGATCAATTCACACTTTACACAACAGAGACATTGTCATCAGACCTTTAATTCGATCGGTGGTTATTTGGTAACACCGAAAGACAATAATTTTAAACTGTGAAGATAATACACATAAATTTGAGGGCAAAACACACTTAATGTACCAAATATACGTATAATATTTTACTAAACATTTTTTTTTTGCCAAAGCTAGCAAAGTGTTAGAAACATACTATTTTAAATATATTCTTCACCCAATTTATATAATTATCATTTTAATTTTTTAAAATAAATAAATCGCAAAATATATTAAAGAGGTTGTATAAAAAGTGCTATTAGTATTTTTCTTCGTTTATATACATGATATGTTTACCTCATTTTATCTCATTTTTCTTTTTATCACATTATATTGTTGATCACCTTTTTCTCTTTTCTTTTTCTATCTCTCTCTTTTCCACATTGGTCGTACTCTATTAACGAAGTTCACAGGAAAATTTCACCTCAGACAAAATGTAAAAGTTGGTGATAATAGCATTTCTCACCACTTTAATTAATGCTGTATATTAATACTGTTGCAATAAGAGATACGATTCTGGACATTGGTGACGCTGGTCTCAACTGTGTGTATGTGTGTCTCCTCCGTGACAGATAGTAACTAAACAAAGTAGAAGCTTAACATTAAGGCTACAAAACAAAAGCGGGCGTGGTGGTTTAAGAAACCTAGGGGCAATTACTGTTCATGCTGAGGAGACTGTTGCTGCAAGAAGTGCAGTGGAGATGATCTTACGTTGTTCTGACTTGGATAACAAGGATGTTTTCTCAAAAAGTGTACTTATTCGACACCCGTTAACATTCATGTTCCCGATTCAAGTGCATATTTATATTTGTTTGTTTGGCATTAGTAAAATTTCTCATTCTTGTAGGATCCTTTTCTAAGAATATCAAGAATTGTTGAGAGTGGAGGTTCTGTTCCTATATGCAAGACCGAAGTTATAGACAACAATTTAAATCCAAAATGGAAACCAATTTGTCTTAGTTTCCGGCAGTTTGGAAGCACAGTAAGCTTTCCATCTTTGGCGCCTTAACATTTGTTGTTACGATCATGGATTAGGATTACTATGATATTCTAATTACTTTCTCACGTAACGAGATATTTATCTAGCTTTCAAACTATTAACTTCTGTGCAGGATAATCCATTAGTTATCGAGTGTTTTGATTTCAATAGCAATGGCGATCATGTACTTATTGGGTAATTATGCAGTTATTAGTTATTGTTTTATCTTTGTGGGCGTACGCTTCCTTAGGCTTTCATTGTTCATAGACGGAAAATATATTGATATCAAAATTTATTGCCACCAGTAAACTGCAGAAGTCAGTAGCAGACCTTGAAAGGCTATATAAAGAGAGAACAGGCGCAAACTTTTTCTTACCATCCACATCCCACAGACAAGAGAAGGTGTTTGTTGACCCATGCAATAGAATTACATTTTGGTTCTGCTCCTTTGATTAACCTCACACTTACTAAAATTTCTTCCATGTAGGTTCTGAAGGGTCAACTGTTTGTGGATCAATTTTGTGAAAAGGAACAGTTCAGTTTTATTGACTACATATCTAGTGGATTTGAACTGAACTTCATGGTCGCTGTAGATTTCACTGGTAAGTAACCATTGTTCTATTAGCCAAGGTGATTAATGATTAAATCTCATTATAGTTTGCTAAGCACTTCAAAACTTGTCCAGCTTCAAATGGAAATCCTCAACATTCAGATTCTTTGCATTACATCGATGCATATGGTCGGTTGAATTCATACCAAAAGGTAAGCTTGATACTTCTTGTCAATGAATGATTCTGCGCTTCTTAATTATTAGCTTGTGCAACACAGTAGAATCAATCACGTTCAAAGTTTTACAGCTTGTGTTCCAATATTATGTCGGTTATTTGTATGAAGTGAAGAACCTATATGTTTTAACCTCTTTTTGATAACGACTAACTTCAATAATAGGGTAACATTACCTGATCCATTGTCTTTGCTAATCAACACCGTAACTATTTGTAGGCTATAATGGAGGTTGGAGAAGTTATTCAGTTTTATGACTCTGATAGGCGGTTTCCTGCCTGGGGCTTTGGAGGAAAGATACCTGATGGTACCGTATCCCACTGTTTTAATCTGAATGGGAGTCCAGGTGGTTCTGAGGTGAGAAATTCTCTCTTTTTTGGCCTAAAATGGTTCTTTCTTTATTCTTCACTGGAGATGGTAGAAATTTTGTGCAGTTATGAGGCTAGACTAGTTCAAAAAAGTAGAAAACTACTGTTGATAGGAATGTTCCTTCTTATTAAACTCAGCTTCCCCTCATACATCCCTCTAATGATGATAATATTTCTGTCAAGCATAACAATTGAGAGTTATTTTTCCTTTGTGTCTAGGTTGTAGGAGTTGAAGGCATAATGGATGCTTATGCTAGTGCTTTACGCAATGTCTCTTTGTCAGGACCCACTTTATTTGGCCCAGTTATAAACATGGCTGCGGAAATGGCTGCCCAGTCCCTCTCATCAGCCAACAGCAATAAGTACCATGTATTGCTTATCATAACGGTGAGAAGATAATATGTTATGTCTATGTTGTTTACTTATGCTTATGCATGACTGCTTTTTTGCGGTATGATTATGAATGACCAACCTAACGTCCATTTTCTTATAGGATGGAGTTGTTACGGATCTCCAAGAAACAATAAATGCTCTGGTTAAAGCATCTGACCTTCCCCTATCGATTCTTATAGTAGGAGTTGGACGTGCTGATTTCACGAGCATGGAGGTCTACCTACTCATCCAAATTTTAAATTTTCCTTAGACCCTTTTAATTATTCAGTATGATAATACTTTTGTTGTCAGAGAGAATGAATATACTTCTTTGCTTGCAGGTGCTGGATGCTGATAATGGGCGTCGGTTAGAAAGTTCTACTGGTCGTATAGCTACACGAGATATAGTGCAGTTTGTCCCTATGAGAGAAGTACAGAGTATGCTTCTCAAGTTAACATGGTCTTTCAGTTCGTTGTTCCTTCCATTTTGTTTATTCATTTCATTCCATTCCATTTAAACGAATCCTCTCTTTGTGGTTTTTACAGGTGGCCAGATTTCTGTTGTGCAAGCTCTTTTGGAAGAATTACCTGACCAATTTTTGATTTTTATGCGAAGCAGGGACATCAAGCCACTTCCTTTCCGTTCCCCTCAAGCACCCACTGTTCAGTAAATTTTACTCGTGCACATCGCCAAGAGGATGCCTGAAGATGTAATTTGATCCATAGCAGGCAACGAATGGACATAAATTCTATTAGCTAAGCTAGTTGGCGTTTCTCACAAATGAATTGTAGATAGAAAAAATCTCCGACGTATATAATACCAGTGTAAAAAAGGGAGGGTAACGGTTTGCTTGGGGATTACTATTTTTGTCCACTTTTTAATTTGTTAAGTAAACTGTCAAATAATCACGGTTTTGTCTCCTCATGACCTTTTCCATCAACGTGATATTCAAGGTAGCTTGATTCCGTTCACTCTTCTGGATTTTAAAGTTGTACAGGCTTGCAGCCCTATTGTTATTGATGTATACAGGATACTAATATTCTCACAGCTTACCGTAAGCCTACTACCATGCAACCCATTTTTTCACATAAACTTACAGTCAAACTCTCGTGTTATGCATACCGAACGATTTAACAGTTCTGGCAACAACAAAAAAATGCTTACAATTGTAAACACGCTGCTTTTAGGAACAACTATTCTTTTCTAAACTACTGATCAACCAGGCCCATTCTAACACGCTCCCTTGTTTTATTTAAGAATTCTAAACACGAGCCAAAAAAAAACCAATTCTAAGAAAGGCTTTAATCAAATTGTGAGTAGGAGGCAGGTATTTAATGAGAAAATTGTTTTTATAAGAAAACTTTTAACCATTCAACTACACAAATAATTAAAATTTATTTAAATTTGTATAACCATTTTAAAAATTTATGATTTTTATAAAACTTGCATGACTTTAATGTTGTAATCTTATTTATTTATAACCAAATCTAATTTTATATTTACCCCTCTCACTCTCCCATACCCTTAAAAACCCTCTTATTTTATGTCTCATGAACTGTATACAACCTGATCCTCAGATTAATTTATTCATAGAAACCAAATTTCTTTTAACAAGACATTTGAATTACCATAACTTGAAGATGAAAAGAATACCATAAAATCATAAAACATATATTAAGCAGTCAGAATTATTTTCTTAAATATTGAACTCAAACTAAACAGGATGAACTCACCCAAAATAAATAAATAAATAAATAAAAATCATGTAATCAGATCAAATAAAAGGTTGGTCTGTGGAACAAAAAGTAAATGTAATAGCTAATAGCAGCCTCTCCGTGCCCACCGCCCATGGATGACTAACAAAACAAAAAAAAGTTAAAATGTCTAATCCTTTCTACTTTTGCTAATATGAAATGGTACAACACAACCAACCAAAAAAAAAAAAAAAACAGTAGACACAAGGACTATCAAATAAACAATTCTCACCCTACAACTAGTTCCGAGCTCTTTAAATAGAAAGATAAACTTAATATCATATTTCTCATTTTCACAATGATTTATTGGGTGATCTAAAGAAATGTATAGACATGCTACTCACTCCATTTATGTGCAACTAGCCACCAAGACCTTCAATAATTAGAAAGACTCGTATGTTAGGAGCATACTCAACCGGACTTCAATTTGTTTCGCGTAAAGGACCGCCTTGTGGAGAAAGGGGAAATAACCTCGTTAATATTGTGGAAGAAACCTTTATCGTAAACATTATTTTTAACAACTGCGACATCTTCTAGAGGTGATTTTCTAAAGAAGGATCTCCATTTGCTCAAATGGGGCTGTTTTTCACTGCTCATTCCGCTGATACTTTGTCTTAGCGCTTCAGCACTGACCTTTGCTTCTTTTAGCTTCCTTTGCCAGTCCATGTACTCCTGCCACTTAAAGGTCTGTGATCCACAAAGATACCTTTAGTTTCATTGAGCTCCAGGGTGTCATTAGCACCACCAATAAGCATACAATTTTCCAGTAATATTAACAGTTTAGATTATATAATAATAGACTATCATAGAGGAATGGTACTTGAACTATGGTGTTTTGCTTCTAGCACTACCTAATGATAGATTTAGTATATAATACTTTTTAGCATTTTCATTCTAACATATTGAATATGGACACACAGTATCTACGCATCATTAACCCAACAATTTAAAGGCATAGTAATATGGTCCCTGCCTTTATGGGGATCATTGTTTTCATATGAAAAAAGATAAAAGATCCCTTGCCACTTCCTGGCTCTGATAATTCACTAATAATTTACTCAATACATTTCAAGGTTACACATAGAAAGTACCTCATTAGTGGTAGTGTTGCTAAGGCAAAGCTTTGCATGGTAACCAAAAAAACCAGCTAACAGCATCCCAACAATGGCAAGGAACACCATAAGAAGAATCTGAGTGTTATATGATCCCAACAACCACTGTATGATAATAAAACATCATTTACCACTAAAATCAAAAATAGGGAACCAAAATAGAAATACATAACAGTCAACAAGTAGACACACCAAATAATTCCCTTACCTGCACAACATGAGGAGCTAAATCCAGAAAAGAATTTTCTATTCCATAGTAAACTGCAAAGTTAAGATAAATAGAGAAGCCTCAAAATCAGTAAAAGAAACAACTTAACTTGATCTTTAGATAGATAGTCGTTGCAAGTCTATATTACCTGTTAGAATATCAACAACTCTTAATTCTTTCAGTCTTCCAGCAAGAACTAAGCTGATGGCAACCGTTCCATATAAGCATATAAGGAAATGCCTACAAGACATTAAAAAATCCAAATCTATGATAAAGCTGAAATCAGCCACAAAAATATGTATTATTAATAAAGAGACAGAAAACACATTTAGATCGAATATATATACTACTTCTGATAGGGAAAGGAAAAAGTTAAAGTGAATAACATTCAGTTATACTAAAATAGCATATTGAAAATCAAATGTTCATAATGTATTGAAAAAAGTTAACGAGATAGTGAACAGCAAAATTGGTACAGAAAAACATTTAGGTACCATGGATAGAGACTGAAGTTTTTCCTTTCAGAAGAGAAATATTTGTTAAAGAAAGATGAAGGTGAAGGCATACAAGTTCAGCTTTAACAACCAAAGGATTACAGAAGCTGAAGAAGCTCAGAGTTTTAGCCCAGGGAATGAGACTTTGACTCAGGTGTATAACTGAATGATATAACTGAATGAAACCAGTGATTTAAAAGAATCATGCCAGTGAGAAATAAGCTAAGCATCCACCTATTTAATTTGAACCCATGCTTGTTCAAAATAACTCAGAGCCATAATAAAACAGTCTGTATTGAAAAGAGGCAGAATCATTTAGCCACCAAGGTTATATTCTTAGACACCAAATTTCCAAGATGCAAAGCTCACTCATTTTTAGGTATAGATTAATAATTATAAGGAAAACTAAACAAAAGACAGGACAGGGTTTGAAAGTTGTCCCAGGTTCTGAATTACGAACTAGTGGTTATGGCCTATGGGATTCCTTTGTATTATATTAAGCAAAATGATATTAATGTAATATATTTTGTTGATTATAACAAATTGAAGCACCACTTACAGAACTCACCATAAAAGAAAAGCCATGAAATATCGAGTGTTTTTCTCCCCTATGCAATTGTTCTGCAAGTTAAAACACTTTCAGTACAACCACAAAAAACAAATGATATATATTAAATGAGAACTACATAAGCAATTTTATAAAGATGGAGAAATTCAAAGATTACTAACCATCCATCCACAGTGATGATCAAATCGTGCAACACAGCGATCACAAATGCTGCAGTGCTTTGACCTAGCAGGTCTGCAAAAAAAAATGAAGACCATTTTATAGATAGATATATGCAATATTTCAACAAAATTCAACGCTAGCAGCAAACTCACTTTGGAATTTTGCAAGTGGAACATTCTTTCTCTGCATAAATGATATTATCATAGGGATAAGCAGAAAGATACTGAGAAACATTATTGGCATTTACTGTCCCTGGATCAGAAAAGCTGGTCAAAAGAAAGAGCAGAATTCCAACAGCAACTGCCAGGAAGCTTGTGTACCTAAACCAACATATAAGGTCTAACAAAATTCAGGATAGAATAATGCTGAAGAAACCATAAAGCAAGAGAAGAGTACAACATTGCCCCTGCAGTACACTACCTGTGAATTCCACTTAAATAGTATCCAGGGATATAGACAAAGCAAGACTTGGCAATGAAATAATATGTTACGCCAATTATCACGATATATATAATCTGCAATAAGCACAAGTTTGATCATCAAACCAACGAAAAACGTAACAACGTTTCTCTAAGAAGACGTTGAGACTTTCTCCTAACAAATCAACAAAATCATTGTCCGAAGGATAATTTTCAGTATAAGATATTGTCACGTTCCTTTCACACAAAACGACGTTTCAACCGAAGGCACTAGCTTGCACCCTACTCGTTAATATTCTTATCAAACGAATCACAAAAAAAAGGCCAAACGTAGTATTCAGGTGTTTGAGATGACCAAAATTGCAACCTAGATAGCATTAAAAAGATAATTCCACTCATGAATTAGGCGAAGTAACATATCTAAAGAAAACCTAGACAAATTTCTTATATTGGACTAGTGAAGTTAGACGTGGATCACAAAAGAGAGTGCGGAATCGGAACAATCGAAATGAAAAGAGGAAGGTGCCTGTAGAAGAGGATTTGGACGATCGCAGCAGTAATATTCGACGGAGAGAATCGCATCCGTACACTTGGAGCCAAAAACAGCGTCAATGAAGCGCCTGCGAGAGAGAGAATGATGAAGGAATCGAAATTGAAGGAACGAGAAATGGAAGAGAGAGAGAGAGAGAAATACAGAAAGTAATCGTATGCGCCGTAAGTAAGGAAGTAGTGAATGCGTTGAATGATAGTGCCTTCGAAGATTGGCCATCGACCGCAGAGGAAGGAGATAACAACCAGAGCAGTCACCAAACCATGGCACACCAATAACCACGCCACCCCCATTACTCGCCTCTGCTTTTTCCGATCATCTAACCCAATTCAAATATCTTCAATTTCATCTCATCTTTATTGCTTTAATCTATCATTATTAAACTCCTAATTATTATTTCTGTTTTTTTCTAACATTTTTTTTTCTTTTATCCAATAATATCTCCATAAAAAATTAAGTTCATTAAATATAATTTTTTTACGGTTCCTTAAATATAATCAATCACCAAGAAATACATCTTTAAAAACAATAAATTAATACTACGAATATAAGTATAAAATTATAAAAATGAAGATTTAAAATACTAATATTTAATAATTTTGGAGATTAAAATAATATTTAATTTTAAAGACCGAATTAATTATACTCCTAATTTGATTTATTACTCTCAATATTAAGATAAAAAAATTAATGCTAAAAAATTCATTATATATCAAATTAATTCAACAATATTCCACAATTCACCTAAAGTTCTATCTAATAATATTTGTGAAATTTAAAGATTAGTCATCCGTAATATTATTTTTTTTTTACACTTTATGATATGTTTGAAAGAGGATTTTTTGAGAAGAAACGAGAGAAAGACTTATTTTTTAATTTTATATAAAAAAATTATATATTATTTAGGATGATAAATATATTATTAATACATTAAATTTGTATTATTATATTAATTTATTTTTTATTTTTAAAAAATATTAATTTTAAATATATTTATTTAAAATATAAAAATAAATTATCCTTTTTCTTCGACTCCAAAAATTTTCTTCCAAATATACCCTTAAAAAAATTACAGGAGTAGAAATATTTGCTGTTTTTCAATAAATAAAAAATAATAATTTATTTATCAGTGTTTTTTTTTTCTTAAAGAAGAAAGAATAAAATAAACCCCGTATTTTCTACTTGTGTCTTAAGGCATTTGTTAAGCTTTTTCAATCTAATTAAATGGGTGACCCTCAGGCTTGGCCAACATTCTAGGTAAAAAACCTCCCCAAATCGACCAATCATACCTAAATAAAAATTAAGATACACGTTCAGCAAGGAATTTTCAATGTTCAGATTTTATTTTCCACGACAAGGAGGAGGCTAGACACAATAAACCGTTCTTTGAAAGCCTTTTATGATCATCATTTACTAAGTCAAGCTGGATACAAATTATCTAAATTAAGATACACGTTCAACATTTGACCAAGCAAGAGGGGCAGTGATAATACCTCAAAAAGAGAGCCAATAACTGGATTTCCTTGGTTAAAATCACCATACCCATGCATAAACTTAAATATGTTCAGCAATAATGATAATTTATTTAAGCATACCTCCAAATTACAAATGTTTTTACCATTCCATCCTTGTAAATTAAACCTACTTTTCAGGCTTATACCACTTGTCCTTTTTCTTTCATATGCTCTTTCACCCAAAGCCTTATTAAGTGCCAGCCACAGAAGAATGAAGAAACTGTATTTACTTACTGCTTTCCACTGCAAAAACATATTCACATTTTGCTCCAAGAACTGAGCAAGGAAATACCAAATGAAAATTTATGGAAACCTTAATCAACGAATCAAGGAGCACAATGTGTCAAGCTTCAGTCAGAGATCTGAAGCATCAATAGAATTCTCTATAATGTCAATGCAGGATCCTACAGATTTTCCCATGGACATGGCCTCAGCAAGCTTAGCTCTAGCCGCTTCATGTCGACGCAAGAGTAACACGGTGTTTAGCACAGACCATCTAACTTGAGAATCTGCCTTCTTTTGTGTGAAGCCCAGGCCCTTGAGCAATAAATCCAACTAGTATAACAATTAAGAAAATTACAGTTAGTAATGTCAATGCCATGTGAGCTTTGAGTATGTCATGACCAAGAAAGTTAAAAGCTGCATAAACCTTCCTTATGTCATCAAGACCCCCTTCAGCAAATCCATATATAAGATACTCAGTGGAAACGCCAGCCAATGCGATACATGAAAATTTGTTCAGTGTCTAATAACGTAAAACAAAGGTTTTGTCACACTTAAACATAGTAATCTGCAGATCATCAATTAGAGAAAACTTGTAAGAAAGTAACGTACAGTAGCTGATACTTTCCCCGAATTAACCTGCATGACATGAAAGGTGCTAACAATCAACAGATATAGTTGCTGATTAAAGGCAGTTCAGAGGATAGTCGACAATGAAACAGTTTAGGGGAGGCCAAGAGCATGACGCAGAGTTACTGCTACAACCTACAAGCAAAACTATTTTCAGGATTTGTTCCCAATGCCCTCCAAATCATAAAGCAGAAAACTTATCATTGCACCAAGGCTCACCCTCAACCAAACAGTTTAATGCAAGTTAACAGGTATTCTCTCTATTACACGATTGAGTCACTGCACTAACAGTCACGCCAAGAACTAGTCTTGCTGGTTAATTGAGACAAGGGTCAAAGCCAGATTACCAGGACAAACAGTCATGCTAAGACACATCTATACTCCGTGTGTGTGTGTTGTGTGATGGCTTGAAAGTAAATTGAGTGCATTAAAATAAATGGGAAAAAAAAAAAAGGCAACCTACTTCTTGGAGAAACTCAAAATCCACAAAGGCTGTGCCTGCTTGAATATTGAGAGATCCCTCCTTCTTCAGAGCATCCAAATTAGAAATAGTGTATCCTTTAGGAAGTATTCCTACCAGATAAGCAATCAAAAAATGGCCAGCTTCATGCTGCATAATTAAGTAGTGTTATGGTTACATAATGGTCATTAAGACGATACAATTTATCATAAAATGATTTGAAGTGCAAGATAAGAGAATGGTATGAATCTGACTTGAATAACCCTATTGTGGTATTTCTGACTGAAGCTGTGACCAATTGTATCAACAACCAAGCCACTGATACCTCCACCAAAAGAGACCTGAAAAAAATCATTCTAGCATGTCAATGAACAAACACAAATGTAATGGAAGTCTGAGTAACAAGGGGTGATGATGATTGATAGACAAATGGAATTGACAAGTTTTCGTGCAGCAGTACCGAGTCAAGTGTCCACAGAAATAGCAATCCCAATGATATATAAAAGATTTGCTGCGGAGAAATTGCCAAGGCATTCCATGCAGCAAGGCCTCCTACAATAGCAGCAATCTGGAGGTTTCTCTCAATTGAACCGAGAGTTGTATCCTCTGGCGATAGAAGAGAGAGAGTTTCAATTCCATTGAGCTTCAATTCATCCAAAGTGTAAAGCCTTTGAGGCACCTGCACATGAATTCACACTTGAACTTGTTAAGTATTCACCTTTGCTAATGATTAAAAGCAGTACCCAATCGAAGAACACAAAAGACAAACCTGCCTGGCTGCACCGAAACACCGAAGCCCACCATCTTTCCCCTGCAAATCCTTCACAAGTGAGAGTGCAGCTCTATCATCACCCTTTGATAGCTCCATATCCACTTTCTCTAGCACTTGTTGCCTAGACACGTCCACATTGGAGGAGCATCGAATTCTGACCCTAACTTCACAACTCACCACTTTCAGTTGTGAAGTCAGAGCCACACCCACGCACTGCGTCAAAGCCAAACCCACCATTTAATTATGATTCTTATGCCACTTCAAATGAAATTACCTCCGTATCTGATTATTTTCCACTTTCAAGCCATGCGTTCTTCACCACACAAATTAGAGATAACCTTTTCTCAAATAAACAAAAACAAATTTTCCGTCCTACAACCCCTTTTTACCATCAGTTACTGTTTATTTATATTATTTGATACCCAATAAGTTACAAATTACGCACTGATATAATCATTACGTAGAATCCAACTAAATATCATAATTAATTATTATCAAAACATACGTGCTCGGAGAGTAGAGTACGACGCCATCTACAGCAGATAGATATCGATAACAAGTCACGATTAGGACCACTGGTTTTGTCGTGAAGCATCATGTTTTGTCCGTTTACGACTGCAATTTAGTTTATTTGATCAGTAATTTACGCCACCTTAGTCCTCTGTCCAGGGCCAGGTACAAAACTATTTTTTTTAACTTATACACCCTGTCCAGCTCGAGTTTAATCCATACCATAGTTAAGAGTCCTAAAATTATGAATCATCGTAATGATCAAAACCTGTTTCAATCAGTGCAATTTTTATTCCAGAAAAAATAGAAAGACATCCTTATACACTTCGCTGTTAATCATTTAAGTCAATGTTTTAATTCCTCTTGATCTAACCTGCTGCTCCGGCAAACTGAGCAATTCGTATTCATGCCAAAAGCATTCCCCGCTAATCTATTAAGTTTCCACAAACTAACCGAACGAACCGTAAAATTTGCAACATGTAGCACATAACAAAGGTCAATTATTATCGTAAAAAGAGAGCAAAGGTAAATTAGGGACCGTGATATTAGTCACCTCAAACCTTCGTACTGAAAGCACTACTACGTAATTTCACACTCTTCCTTCGTTAAACTTTGGTAACAAATTCAACAAAATCCTTCAAATGCTTCAAAAACACAGAAGATGGACATAAAGCTTGCACCCTTTAAAACACAGCGGCTGAACTAAAACTAAAAGGATGATCCAGGATGATTCGTACTATAATGGGTTAGTACAAAGCAAAAAGACAACTGAACAACGTATAATTGGATAAAAATGTCAAATAACACGTCGGAGAACTTGATCACCCACGACCTGAAGGATAACCACAAACTTATCAACAAAACAATGATAAATAGAACAGTGTCACAATATTGATTGAAAACGAAAAACACAGCGCCTGTATGCTGAAGATACGACCACAAACTCCTTTACAGCTAAAATCACTTTCGCGATCAGCACAAGAAATAGTGACTGAATGCTACGCAAGCACAAACCTCTGGAAATTATCAAAACTTGTATCAAACACGCAATATTGCTAATGATCAAATACCACTTTGCATTCATATCCAATTAAGGTGCGGTATACATCATTCAGTTCGGCAACAGATAAGCATCTAATCTCTCAAGGTCGACATCGAAAATAACCAAAACATGTATATTACAAACGAAACCAAAAGAAAACTATGGTCTAAACAAGGCATCAAAAATCCTAAAACTCTTGAGAAGCAGATCCGATTTCACCCTTCCCCTTGCCAACCTTCTTCGGAAGCAAAGTCTGATGAATATTCGGCAAGACACCACCATTAGCAATGGTAACAGATCCCAAAAGCTTGCTAAGCTCTTCATCATTCCTCACGGCAAGCTGAATGTGCCTAGGAACAATACGATTCTTCTTGTTATCCCTAGCAGCGTTGCCAGCCAGTTCCAACACCTAAACAAACACAACATCAATAAAATGAATCTCACTCACTCCAAAATCTCAATCCAACAAAGCCGCCAAAAAAAAAAAAAATCACAAGGAACCAAACGTCCAAAACCAAAATAAAAAAAAAAATAATCTCATTAAAAAGTTAACAAATAGATTGATTGAAAACACGAGAACCAAACAAAATTAACCCTAATCGGCGAGACATAAAGAGGAAAAAACTCGATAATAGAAACGAACCTCAGCAGCGAGATACTCGAGCACCGCAGAGAGGTAAACAGGAGCACCGGCACCAACACGTTCGGCATATTTTCCGGCCTTGAGGAATCTAGCGATTCTTCCAACGGGGAATTGAAGGCCAGCCTTCTGCGACCTTGAAACGGATTTGGAGGCCTTGGGCTTGCCTCTTCCGCCCTTGGTCGAACCACCGGTGGAACTCATTCTCTGATCGGCGTAGAAATTGGGAACCTTAACCCTAGAATTTGCTATTCAAAATCTGGAGCGCAGTGTGTATATGAGAAGTGAGAAGGCAAGCACACATATGAAATTAAGAGTGGATTGGATTTATATAATGTCTGAGCATGGCGCTGATTGGCTATTACGGTGAGACCACGGATTGCCAACGTGGCATCTCTACTAAGATTCGCGGGAAAATGTTTTTTCGTTTTCGACCATTTTCGAACAAAGCGCGCCACAAAATCTGCAATGTTGCATTTTTAAATCTGAGTATTTTATTGCTTTTAACACGAATAATTAATAATAAGTACATAGTATTTTATACGATTAATTAATTACATTATTTGTTCTTTTAAGTACAAATTTTACCCCAAAAATTTGTACGTGCAATCTAAACTCTCTTTATTTTATTTATTCATTTATTTTTTATTATATTTAATTTTAAAAATTAACCTTTTCATCCTAAATTATTTCTAACAGCCAATGAGAATATAATAAAAATGTAGAATATTATTGATCTTATATAAATTAATAAATAAATATATTTTTTTTTCAAGTGTCAAATATTAACCATTTTAAGTTTATTTTTATTTTTATTTGATTATTTAAAAATATTATATATTTGTTCACTAATCTATTTAAACCAACGACACATTACACTTTAACTGCAATTTTTTGTCACATATTTTATAAAAAATGACAATTTATAAAAACTAATTAAAAATAATTAAAATTTTAATCAAATGTTCAATTATTTAATAAAATAACAGTGATGAAAGGTTTAAAATAATTTACATATAAATATCAATAATAATTTATAATTATTGTGAAATTGCTTCGATCTACCTTAGTCAGTTTCTTTTTTATGAAAATAAGCTTTTTTAAATTTTAATATTTTTTATTGTTAAATTTATAATGTGTGATCAATTAAAAACACTTATTAAATAAATATTTACATAAGTCATGTACTCGACCACGGTTAAAACTATTGTTTATTAGATATGCAAATAAAGACTCATAGAAGCATACTTCACAAGTTTATGCATGTTAGAATATTATAGAAAGGAAAAATACAAAAAACACCTTCTTTTGTTTCCCATCCACAAAAACAAATAAAATAGTATAATGAAAAAATGTACAAGTTAGTGCATGAAAAAAATACTAAGCAACACAAATGTGTTTAAAATAGTTTAATTATAAGTTCTATTTTTATAAATAATTATATATATACTAGTTGAGGTGTTAAATGATATAAAATATTCTCACATTATCAGTAAGTGACAACCTATACTATTTTTATGAAAAAACTATAAATACTAAAATAAATTTATTTATATTTATAAAGATTTAAATATATTTTATTTATTTATTTATTTTATCGACATATTTTATGTATGTAGAATTGACCTCTTTAACGAAGGATGTTAAATATTTTTTGTCAAGCTATAATCAAGAGTCAACTTTTATCCATAACGGATCCAGGACAATGAATATAGTCGTCACATAGGCCCCAAACTACGTTAATTTTGGGTCCAGGCCCAAGTCTTAGTAGACAAAACAACAATTTAAAAAAACAAAAAACTTTCAGGGTCGAGTCGATTTATTCTTATTTTTTTAATTTCAGGATGTATCTCATTGATATTTAACCAGGTTTTTGTAATTAAAAGAATCAATCAATGAAAGTCTAAATATGTAAAAAAAATAAAATAATAATATCATATATTTTTGTTATAATAATAATATCATCTCTAAACTGGAGTCTTTTGCAACTTTCTCTTGAACAAAACTGAAATATGTATTTTTATACACGTTCATTATCAAAATTTTAAATCAATTAGCGATGCATAATCTCTTTAATATTAAACACTCCACATTAACACATGCTGTGAAATTTTATAATAAAGGTTTACATGTTACTTATTTGAAATCTGGGTATAATTTGTCTATTTCCTTGGTGCAATGATTTTGGCAGCCAGCGACCTTTATTTGATCCAATGATTGGAGGCTAAGGTTCTAAAGGTCTTCTCATAGATGATTACACACATAATCAGATGCTCATTGACAGTGTTTAGAGAGAGTTGGTAGAAGTTTTAGATGCAGTGGCATTGGACAATCTTAGCAAGAATAGTAGGAAGCTTTTGATCTGTAAATGAATAAGATGTTGTGAGCAATTTGCATGTGAAGCATTTCCATGTTAAATGCAAAATAAATAAATTAATTAAATCTCCATCAGTGAAAGCACCTATAAACCTCATCCACATCACAACTTCATCACAGTTATTTTTTTTAATCATAAACAAATGAGAGGTAATTGTGTTCTATAATTATTTAATCGTTTATAAAAATTGAGCTGACTCTAACTCAAGATAAAAGCTTAACTGATCCTTGTGGTTTATGACTTCGTAGCTATTCTTTACCTTAAACTTCAGAAGTATTTGATTTCATTCGAGTCTTGATGTGTGTATATATATATATATAATACTAACAAGAACCTCAAATGTACCTAGGTTAGTTATACTAGGTCAACTGCGTTATTGATTTTGATAGTTAATTGTTGACTAATTTTAATGATTCTTTATTAACAAATGATATAATTGGTTAAATTTATCTAATTTATGAACGCCAACTTTATGCAATTATTTATCTGAAGCTGTACATTGACCATAAAAAAGAATACTGTGCGCCACATTCTTAACTTCTTCATGCATGCACCAAATAATATTGATCTTTTAAGTTTAGGACATCATGATCATATATGAAGAATCGATGACAGAGGACAAACTCGCTTATTGGGGTGATCTGCAAGAAATAAAATATTTGAAACAACTTGAAAATGGAATCTTTGCAGCTGTAACATCTTTGCTAAAGTCTTAAAAGACATTAATTTGCCAGACATTATTAATCAACCATAATGAACGTCAAAGCAGATGAAATCTTAAAACTGTCTCACTCCACTCTCCGAGAAACATAAAATTTCGTACCTTAAAACATATCTTATTCTTACAACACTAGTTTTTAGAAAATACAATATATATTTTTTATTGTTTATCTAATGATACACAATAAAAATTTATAATAATTACAATATAATTTAAAATTTAATAGCTAAGCGGAAAACATCTTACCTCTCTCGAAGAAGTTGACATTGAAATCCACTCATCAATTGAATTGAATTCATTATATTTCTCAGACTAACAGAACATTTGCGAGTGGCTAGAAATGTTAATTGCCACACCACACGAAAAATTTTAAACACCATCAACTGGTAAAATCATTGCTAGCGTAAAATTATATAATTGATATTAGGAGTTTGAAATTTGAATTCGAGGGATAAGCTCGCGTTTAGCATATGATATAAATTTAAAACCTCACACCCCAATACTGAAGGAAACTTATAGCACTGTAGCTGCAAGTTTTGCGCCTTATGTGAAAATCTAATCAAGGTATCCTCGCAAATTTAGCATCAATTTTGGTGAAAATAAAAACATTATTTTTTTAAGGTGTATCACATAATAAAAAATTAATAAATTATAAATTTTTAATTCAAAATTATAACATTTAGTGTTATTAACATATTAGATCTCGTGATATCTTGTAATTTTTAACAATAATATATACGTTAAAAAAACATATTGTTAAGGTTAGTGTTGTTCAGAAAGATAGAAGACAGTTTTATATTGCACAAGTACTGTGGACAAAATCATAAACAAAGAGTAAATTACAACAGAGGAATGGCTGCTTTATATGCAGATTGGAGGTGATGAATGCTTTCTTATGGTTATGCATTAACTGTTAATGCAAGTTGTAGTGGACATCCCTGACCCATATCACTCACTACCTAGAAACTGAATCCCCTGCGGCAAAAAGCTGCTTTTCCATCTGCAATGAGATAAGGATAAACATAAGAACTTAATTTAAAGGAGACATAATCACATACAGTTTCTTATTATTTAAAACGAAGATCAAGACAAGACCCTTAGCCCCTTTACCTTGAAGAGAGTCTCAAACTTGCTTTTCACCAAGGAATACTCCTGTCTTATTTCTTGTAAGCTTTTAAGGCACCTGAATACCAACCCTTCTTTTTTCTCATCAGCATATGAAAAGATTCATATCCATAGTATGTAAAAATTTTCATGTTCAATTATTTTGAACCTTACCCTTCAACATTTTTCTCCTCACAATAGTTTCGGAGGGCAATGCAGACTTTCTGAACTCTCTGTGCACCAATGCTGTAATTCCCAATAATCCAACAACCTTGTCAAAATTATAGTACTACTTGTAGCAACAACATATAGTAGGAGTAAAATGTGTCCTTTAGTAGAAGGAGAAGGTGATTCAGTCCTTGATTCATGTGCTTCCTTCTCAATGAGGTGAATAATAATATCATTCCATAGTTAGTATGTGGGGGCCAGTGTTAGTGCTATGCTAACATGTGCTTCTCACAGTAGTAATCTTTGCAACAGTAATATACTACTAGAGTGCTAGTGCCATGGAGCATAGACAACTCTTGCTAAAAAGGTGCCATATGCTATGCTATGCTAACAGGTTCCTAGTGAACACTTTTCACCTATAATGTTCTTAGGAGCATCCTATATGGAGTAACAAATTTCTTAAGCATTTTATGTATGGAGAAACTAGTGGAAAATAATGTTACCTGGAGCTGCTACCCTTCAACTGGTGAACATGAGCATCCACCCTTTTAAAATCAATGTTTTCTTGGCCTCTTTGGGTTGAATCAGCATTCATAACAAGAGTTAGATTTAGAAAGAGATTCCCAAAGATAAGTTCTTTTGGTCCTAATACATAAAATAAACAAGGAATTAATTGTTGTGTCCTTACAGTGCTTTTGCTAGCTCATTAAGAAGCCTCTGTGCATCCTCAAAGAAGAGAGTCACCACTTCAACCACAAACTCAGGGTTGCTTTCATCTTGAAGTTGCTGAAGCTGGATAAATTGATCATCTAGGAATCCCTTTTCAAATAGAACACAGATATCACCGAGAGCAGAACACATAGTGAAAAAAAAAGAAGAAGAAAGAAAGACAAAGCACAAAATGGATGAAGTAAGTAATACAAGATAAATAGCTTATTATGTATGAGGCTTTCTTTTAATGTGTATTGATAATTTTATGCGATGCTTACCTCTTCAAACAGGGAGGAAGTGTATTCAACCAACTCCTTCTTCAACTGAGACACACCATACATTGTTGTTCTCTCAACTTTTAACCAACCACACGAGATCTTAGGTGTTTATTTCATCTTCTGCTACCAAGTTTATATAATGTAATATTTGTTCTCAAGTGGCAATTACTAATGCTTGGTTAGAGGTTTGGTAACGTTGAAATATGTGGAGAACTCTCGAATCCCTGCTCCTGGGACTTGGTGTGGTGGTATTTTAAACATAGAACCCGTTTGTTTGTATTTAATGTCACTCACTTCCTCTGTTCTGTTCTCAGCTTCCGCATGAACCAATCATTTATGATTAACTTAGAATAAACTAACACTTTAGTCTTGAAAATAAGATTTCCTCAAATTATATTTGACATTAATTTAGACCCTGATTCAAGTTATATGATTTTATTAAAATCATTTGTAGGAATAATGTTAAAAAAAATATATGATTTTTGAATGAAGATGTTTATTATATGAAAATAAAAAGTCATTTGTTTTCTTTTTATTTTTTACTTTAGTTCTTTTATAAACTGATATTGACAAAACAATAAATCATATTATGCTTCTTTCTTTAAATCCAAACTCGATTCAAGTTGGCCTTTACTTTAGTAAGATAGATATTACTAACATAAACGGGTTTAAAAATGTCAATGATTGAAAGCACATACAATCAAATAAAAGACTAAAGTTAAATAATATTTTTGGTTATTCAAAATATAACAAGTAAAAGAGCCTCTTTTAAACAATTATTCTCATATAATTTTTCTTTTAAACTTTCATTTATTTTGTCTGTCAAGTGCGTACATGATTCTTAAAAAGTAAGGAATCAAATAAAAAACTTATGATATTAAAAAATTTAATAAAAAGTCAAAATATTCAAGGAAATAATAGCAATTAAAAAAAAACAGTTTTGGATAAAGTTAAAAGAAGACCAACAGAGAAGTTATATAAAAAGTGAAAAATTACATTAATTAAATCACAACTTTTTGAAAATAAAACACCAAAAATACAATTTACCAAAATTAATAAAACATCATTTCACTCGTTTAGTTTAACACGATGACGATATCAAAACTCTTTCACGATCCTTTTCATCTTTCAATCTTTTTCAGCCAGGAATTATTGCCTCCCCCACCCTCCCCTTTTTAATTTGATATTGCCTCCCTCTATTATTCTGTTTTAAAATGCTTTATTTTTTAATTCCAAACTTCAATCCAAGGACCTGACTTGTCTGTTGTGGTAGTGGCATTTTCAAACTCTGGACCTCTCACTTCCTACCACCCTGTAAATTCTTGCTAAAAATAAACATATCTTCGTATTTTTAATTACAGAATAAATTTAAGTTTAGAAACGGTTAATTATTATTAATTTTTAAAATTTAAAAGTAATTTTTAAAAAAATAAGTTACATACACAAATGAAAATTGATTACAGCACAGAGAAATGGTGTATAACTTATCACCAAAAAAAATTATAACAAGTCAATTGTTAAATGAAATACCTAAGAAGTAATAGGGTTAGTAGTGTCTATCTTAGACTTTCAATAAGATAAACTTTTGAAGATTCCACTCTTAGCTTAGCTCACAAAGTAGAGACATCAACTATGGGGGCAGCATTCATTTTTCTGGCCATACGAAAAGTTGCAAAGAAAATTTAGACTAAAAAGACGGATGACAACATGAACTGCTGTCACAACGGGATTCTTTAGATATTTTTGGTTTTGTTTTTTTCCAAATGACACATGAAATGCTTTGTATAGTAAATGGATAAAATTTAACTTAAATGTCTAAAAACGCTAACATGGTATGATATAAATAGACGTGCAGTTATTGCAAAGCATGTCTAATTTGATCATATCTAATGTCCTTTCCTCTTTTATGTAACAATCTTGCTTTCTTTCTTTTCATGATATAGTAATGCATAAAATCATTGAATGAATTGCTTGACAGACTTGGTACCACTGAGCATGGAGGTACAGGGCCTACACCATTCTGTTTCTTCACATTTTTTTTGTGACTGCATTATATTCTACTGCAAACTGAGTTGCATTTGCATACGTGTCAAAAGCTAAGCTGGCAGAGAAATATGCAGCAAGGTGTGTATAATATACTCTTCCTAACATATAGTTTATACAAATGTTAATTAGTCTCGTTCAACACTAATCAAAAAGTTTAAAAAAAAACATTATTGATATATTCTCACCGTAAATTTTAATAATTTTTTAATAAAATTATTTATTGGTTTTTTAATTTTTTATTAATAAAAAGTGTGTTAAAGAGTACTCTTATAGTCTTTTTTATCAGAAATAAATAACTAATTTATCAAAACTAATAAAAAAATAATTATATATATATATATGTGTGTGTTAAAGAACACGTCATTAGCATTCATGAGATTGAGTAGGGCATATTCGAACAGTAAGTAATGGTGCCATGTTGCCGCGTGCGTGAGCAAGCACGAGCTGTCTTTTTGAGCACCATCACATATCAGGATACCAATAACAAGTAATTGAGTTTATCTTTCTGTATATATATTTTTTAATTTTAAAAATAAATTATTAAATAAAACAGTACATATAATTATCTTAAAAGTATAAAATGTTATGTAAATTTTAATTTATTTGCATGAAAGATAAACAAAATTAAATTTATTCTAAGTAATTACAAGACAACAAAAAAAATCTCCGCGCTGACTAGTGAACAGAAGCACTGAAGCAGTAGAGCATGGTTCCTTGGAGTTGGCCGTTGGGTCCCAACTCCCAAGTTGAGCCGAGGTATTCATGCGACGGTACAAAGCTGCCCCTTGTTAAACAATCAACTACTACTTCAAATTGGATTTTCAATTTGAAGTAGCAGAAGTGGAATAAAAGCTGTACAAGAGGTTAGTCAATAATTGGAGATTTTTAACACTTCCAAAGGGACCACTCTTTGTCTTGGACTTGAAATCAACCTCTTGTTCTTGATGCCAATCCATGATAGTGGGGACAACCACTGTGGAACCATTATTTGATAGATTTGGTGCTATTGCTGCAGCTTGCGACGGCAAGACCCGAAGAAAACAACAAAGATACGTCACTCAATCAGTATCCAAAGCCAGGAATCCTTAAATAAAGCTTAATTTTATATATTTTCAATAATCTTGTTGATAATTTAAAAAGAAATATTTAAAATTTTTCGATAGTTTAATATATATTTTTAAAATTAAGAAATTGTAAAATCTTATTAACAGGATATTATGACATTACTAAGTAGTATTTTTTCCGTACCTATTATATTAATATAAGGCATTAACAAAAAAATTGTTGATCACAATCACAATTTTGTATTCACGTGTCCTTGCCTCCACAAGTCCCTTTAGATGCCCAAAAAAGTAAACCAAGAAAGAAAAGATCCTATTGCCATTGATAAGAAAATTATGGCTTGGCAATCCCTTTCTTTAAAACTACGGTTCTTGATCATTGAAATTGACGAGAACTGCAAAGTGCAAACCAAACAATAGTTGGCTACAAATTCCAACTTCATACATCAACTCGATTACATGTTTTTGCTTAAAGTTTAAATTTTCAAACATGGGCCAAGGATGAATGTCAATTTGCCACTGACTTCTTTCTGGAAATGGAACATTTCGATATCTTGTAAAGTTGGTAAAACAATATTTCGCACAGAAGGAATTCGACTGAGATCTTAATCTTGATAACGAATTCAAATAAATCTGAGAAGGCAAAAATTGATTTTAGTTTTCACGACGCTATAGAGAAAACACAAATGTAGAGCAATCTATGCACAAACAGTTGTGTTTTACATTTTAACTTATAAGGTTTATAGAATTACCAGTGAGAGTGAACTTGGAAACATGACATTCTCATTCTCGATATAAGCTTTGAAAAATAAAAATGTTCTCAGACATCATCGATTCTCAAGAAAAGAACATACTAATTTTGTTGAACGAAATAAAAAACATTAAGTTCAGATTTAGAGACACCGATCCCCTCCCACAAAGCTTTTTTTTTTTTTTTTTTTTTTTTTTCTGGTGTATTGATGAGTCGGCGGGAACATACTCTTCACCATTCCAATTTCCTTTTTCTGTTCGAACAAATGATTAGGGAGGCATTTCAGTCCCCCTTCAGTTTCAGTATAGACCATTCATGTCGGTTCCTTATTTCTTTCATGGCCTTTTATTCCCATGGTGTTTGATGGGGCATCCATAAACTTGAGAGGATATTTTATACCTCTTTAAATTAAAAGTTGTGATTCTTTTAATATCTTAAAAATAAAAAAAGTATTAACATATTTTTTAACTAAATCACTAACTCCATTATCTATCCATATCAAATTTACGGTCAAAATTGTTCCACATTTAAAACAGGTACCAAACCCTCTCACTTAACCCCAAAAATTTTACCTATTCACATTCCTTCATAGTTTCACAATTTTTTTTTTCTTGTAATAAGCATCATTCCATGATTTATTAATAATGGAAAATCTTTGAACTTGTTAGATAAAAATGAAATCAAATTTTCTTTGGCCCCACCACATTATCTTCCTCGGAAAATTTTCCTTCGCTTATAAAATAACAAAATCTATGATTTGTAAATAATTTTATAGTTTCTACTTTTCTTTTGATGGATAATCAATTGTACTTTGTTGTCCAAACCATCCACAAGAGACAATAAATCAAACATTTAGATAGGCAGTGGTGATGTCCCCAGCATTTACATCAAACAACAAGCATTCGGTGAAGAGCCCGACTCTTGGCGAGTAGAATATGAAATATGACTAACATATTAAGCCATTTAGTGTCTGCAGACAAGTCAATTGCAACTCTTCAACCTCAATATTTTAGTTATATTTCATATTCTACTCAAGCAATAAATAAGGCAATGAAAATTAGTAAAGCTAAGAAACATTACTTTGGTAGCATGAAAAGGGGGAAAGTGGCTTGGCGGAGAACCCGGCCATCAACGTATCACCAAGATCTTTAAAAGACTTGAGCAGAAACTAATTGACCTACAAAATCGTTAGCAAAAGAACGTCATTTAAAAAAATATCTTTTCAGCATCATTTTATTTTCCAGAGGACCAAAGCTTTTATGAGAAATATATAATCCTGCATGATTTGAGTAGAGTAAAGCAGAGTAACAGGTAATAAACTATTTCATATTTTTGGTTTCTTTCTTTCTATTTACGTTTTCTCTCTACTCCCTGCCTCCCTCTCTTATTCTGTTTATTTTTTCTTTTTCCATCACTGTATGAAGAAATTACATTTTAAAAACACACAGAATCTTCCCAGTGCCCACACAAATAATTTGTAATTATGAATTTCAATATACAGCATTTACATTCAAATTAGAAGGTAAGAAGCATCATTCGCCTGGGAATTAGAAGTTAAGAATAATATTTGGGCTGGGAAGGAATATTGTCGATCATATAAAAATTCCTTGAATCAATGGTCAGCGGCATTTAGGTTGTTGCAAGGAAATCACCAGCATTTGTCATTTAATAAATCCTTTACTGCACCAATTTAAAACAACTTGAAGAGAGAGGCCAAGCATGAAAGAAGCATTCATCAACCTGCAAAACAAAAACATTTTTTCTAATTCTAAGTAAAACATTTTGGAAACAGGTTACGTGATGATTAAGAAAAGGAAAACTATTTTCAATAGCTCCTGTTTTTAGTAATACACATTTTCAAGTGCGTACACACACCACATAGATGCACGATCAAAAGGCAAAAATTACTAAAATTAAATTCCATTAAATCAAAATGTAAACTGCTTCAGAATTCATACCTTCCTCAGAGAAGTCAAATACACCACCAACAATGTCATCACTGTTACCATCTTCCTCAGATTTCTCCTTGTCACACTGTCTGCTGCAACCCATACCAGTAACAATTTCTGCTGATTCATGACAGTCAACTGATGCTTTACAGTAACCTTGAAAAAATTGCTCAAAATTGGGCAAGTTATTTATTGGCTCCTGATGAGTAGTGTTCATACTCAAAGTATAATCACTACAATTTGAATTCAAATGGTAACTGGTTTCACCACCGATTGATGATTTAACTTGATTAAATACATTATTAGCAAAATGAGAGCCACCTTCTGATAAGTCATCGATGTCAACAGTTTCCAGGTTTGAATGAGATGATTCCAACACAACTTCCTCTCTGTTCTTGCCACAAATCTCTGATCCAGATGAGTCGATTGATGAAGAAAAATATGCTGAATGCATGAAAAAAAGTCAAGAACAAAGAGTTACATAAGTCATTTAAAAGAATAAAAATATATAATAAAATATGTCAGACTGAATAATCTTACCAACATCTGCCTTCAAAGCAGAACCAGGCATCATCAACTTTGAATGGGAAATAACGGCATCTTCAGTCAACTCTTCAGTTACATTAGAGTCATATGAAGAGCTAGAGCATCGTCCCATGACAATACCTCTGCCAAAGTTTGAGAATATTAGACTAACAAAAACCAAATACTCCCTCTGATCGTTATAATGAAGCACTGTCTATCAGGTTTTTAGACTTTTAGTGGTCCTTAAACTCCTTTTTATAAATCATTTTACAATTCTTATGAAGCATTTAATTTGTTTTTTCTTCCTATTTACCCTTTATAAATGGAATTGATAGAAATCATATATTAAATTCATCAACAGAAGGAGGAAATTTTCAAATTAAAATGTAGATAATGTAATTAAGTTCAATGATATTTAATCACAGTAAAATTGGCAAGTTAATAATGTAGTTAAATATGCCTTATAAAAAAAGATCACAGGGAGCATTGGTCGGGTTATTGCTATATTTAAACTTTTCTCAGCAGGATAAAGACATTCAAGCAACTCACAAATTGAACCTCTCAAACACAAGAAGTAAAAAATGTAACCCTAAAGATCACACCCCATATCATTTACACAATAAATAGATAAACATGATGTCAAAGTAGTCATTAAAGTAAATTAGGGCAAGTAAAAATTTAAGCCCTCACTACAAAACCCTCTATACTAGACTCCACACTGGTACTAAGTGCTAGATGGCAATGCAATGAATTGAAGGCATACCTCATATTTAGAATAGAAATGATGTTGGTGGACAATTATAACAAAGACGTCTCTAATTGACCAAGGAAGAGGCAGATAAAGGGTAATTACCTGTCAACCCAAGTAGACCGAACACCATTGAAATGGTTAAAGATTGGCAACAAATCCTTCTGTCTTATTTCAACCTCACTAACAGGAATATTCTCGATTTCCATCTCTCCACTGGTACTAAATTCACATAACTTCATCTCCTTGGTCTCCAAAGGATTCATCACAAAGAAAGACACCTAAACATTGAGGGGGTAAAAGTTTAGCTGAAACAAAACTAGAATGTTGGGAGAGGTAACAAGCAGATTATCCAGAATGGAAACACCAATATATACCTCAGACTTCAGCCAAATTGAAATTCTCCCAGAGCTTATTTGTACCTCTGCATTTGAAAAGTGGCATTGCTCTTGAAGATTAACAGAACTGTTGTTCACAGCACTATTTTCTTGACCATCTAAAGTTTCCAAGATCATTTCTGGAGCTTCCAATGTATTCCCCAATATATGCACCTCTCTTTCCGGACAATCATGTCTCCTACAGACATCCCACCATTGAACAGGTTCAACTTTCAGTCGCATATCCTCTTCTTGTATCTGTGCTGAAGGAACTGGATCTATTCTTGGAATAGTTCCACTAGGAACTGCCCCCAACGATGGTAGCAGTCTATATTGAATTAAATGACCAGAAGGGGTATAAACCAATAAATGCTCCAAGGCACGAATTTTAGATAATGCACTGGGTGCATCATAAGGTATTGAATTGTGAAATACAGCAGAAACAGCACCAGATGGAATGGAAACTTTTCCTGCAGCAGAAGATGCAGCATTACAAACTGTATTGAGCCATCCAGTATTGTTATATTTTATTCTGCTAACCACAGATAGGACAACAGGAGGTAGGGGTGCTGGGTGACACTCTTGCTGTTTTGCTGAGAAACACGGAGTGGACCACCATGGTAGAGGTAAAGTTGGAAAAAGAACAGGCCCCTCGGGGCCATGGTTCTGTATCTGAAGAACTGTTTCACCACCAAAAGCAGCAAGAACAAAAATATGACAAGTGCCCTTGGACGAAATGATGGCAATCCACTTACTGCAACGGCTAAAACAAATATCTTCTATAACCTGTATAATGTACAAAATAATGTCAAATCTATGAGTGTATAAACAAAGACACCTTAAACAAATGCTGAGAATAAGAGCATACAGCTGATGTCATGCCACGGTGGAGCTTGTACAGGTGTACATGAGAATAGCTCCAATTACTGCTTTGACAACCCGATCCATTCCTTGAAGAGGATGGTGTAATCTGAAATATATTAATGTTGGTTCCATGAATGGATGCAGTAACCAGAAGTGTCCCACTTCGGTCAAAACACAAAGCAGATATTGGACTGTTATGAGCTCTAAATTGTGCCACAACAGCACCTGAAAGAAAATCTTTGACAACAACCTGCAATAAATCAGATATAGATTCAACAAACAGAAGAATTATTTCTTTCAAATAACATACCATTAAAAAAAGAGGGAGTTAAGGGATGAGACTTCAGTAAAATACTCAGTGCTATTAACTACCTTAATAAATCCTTCTTCTATGGCTAAGCTGAACCAATAGAGGATCTCAAGCAAATTCTAATACAGACGCCAATATACTTAAAACAGAAAATATCTAGTCAGCACGCTGCACAAAGAAAATCAGATTGAAACTTCTTAAGTTGTTGCCAACAATAGAAGACTCACCACACCAGCTGTATCTGTTTCAGCAGAACGTGATGTATACCGACTAACTTGCCAGCTTGAATTTGATGATACAGGAGAATTGGATCCATCAGGTAAAAGATCCTGATAATATTTAGACAATGTTTTATATCCCAGGTCACTGAGGTTGATCAGTCCAGCAGCAAAGTGCTTGCCTGATTCCATGGCATATCGGGCAACAAGGTTTCCATTGCTGGGTGATGTTGATGGGCTAACAGTGGGAGGTGTCAGACTCTGTGGACAGAGACGGCCTGCATTTGACAGCAATGAGTTGTTGGAAGCATAAGCTAACCATCGTGGTCCTACAGCCATGGGACCATACCCAATATTAATACCAACAATTCCCTGACCTCCCAACTGAGGTACAGGGTGAGTGAGAACACTGAATTTATTCTCAAGAGTAAGAGCATCAAAACAATATATCTGCCATCATAATAAAAGGGGAAGGGGGAAATCAGGTTAGTGCTATGCAGTAGCAAAATCATTAACAATAGATAACATTAAATTCATATCTAGACACAAAAATAATTATTATGTGACATAACTGTCATTATCCTGCACCCTTGCAATTTTCAAACATGGCAAAGGAAATTGCTAAAATCTATCCAGAATCTATTCAATTTTCCCCAATAAGTTTAATTTAACATGTTTATTTCCAAACTTTAGTGGTAAAAAATAAATTGAATAAGTACTTGTATCAAAACCTTACTTGCGTAACAAGACCTATGGCCACAATTCTAGAACTGCATCTAACCATGTAGACAGTTGAACGGAATCTCAGTGCATGGACATAGGTATGGGACCTTAGTGAGTAAAATCGAACTGCTGTAGCTGAGCAGGCTATATTTTCAGCTTGAGCTTCAGTGTGATCTCTGAGAAGTCCATCTTTTCCATTTTGCATTGTACCTGGAATCTTTGATTTATCACATGCAACAACTAAGAGTAAAGGGTGTGATGCTCTAAATCCTTCATGACCCTCAGATCTTTCAGGGATGGGTTGTATCTGTAAAAATGAAACTGGATCATCATGCTTTGAGGCAAGTTCCCTGATATTGGAGGCATCATCCACATCTAGAACTTGAAAGCCATTGGAATAACCAAGTAACAGAACATGTTTGAAAGAAGATGGACCAAACTCTAGCCTGTCAAAGCAAGCCCAAAGCACCTGCATAGCAAAACAAAGCATAAGTAAACAATTCTGCATCTTTCGTCCATAGATAACAAGTCCACCATGTATAGCTGTAAAGCAATTATGAAATTTGACATGAAATAGTGCAATGGTTAGGTAAACGGTGTACCAAAAAGCATCATATGGCAAAATGACACATTTTCAGAGAAAATTTTCAAGAAACCACAAACTAACTTAGTACTTTGACATTCTAATTTCTGAAAAGTTATTCACTAGTGGTCAATAAGACACTAACTTCTTTATCCCATTATTAATCCCCACCATTTTTTGTCACAACTTTTACAGTTAGGTTAGATTCAACCTTACTGTGAGTGAATCCTTAGCATACACCAATTCTAGTTTTGGAAACAGTCATTCCCAGAACGCACTCATTTACTCCCTCCACCCCCCATCTCCGTGTATGTACTATTGAATGGTCACAATTGGATCCTTCCATTTTCAACTGATACAATCCTCCTACACATATCTCCCCCCCCCCCCCCCCCGGTACAAAACAAAATAAAATCCTCATTCTTGTTTTTCTCATTTTTTTCACACGTATTCAGAGCTTCCATATCAAATCAAATCAATTTTTATCCTCTTAATAAATCATTCATTCAATCAAAGAAGATATTTTCTTTTTTCGTTTCATTAATCAGCACGCAAACTTATTAAAGCAAATCACTACAAACAAATTTTTTTTTTATCAATTAAACCAATTTTTAATAATTTTTTTAGAAAGTTTCAAACACTTTGCATCATTATATTTTTATCATCAGTAATGATGATTTTATACTTTACCTGCTTTTACAAAATCCCGTAGAATGCTGCAGTCAATGCACGGTATAGTACACTAACGATTTTTCTATACACACGCACGCACATCGCCATTCGGCTCTCGAGTGGCAAATAAACATTAAGAAGAATTTCATGGAATAAAATTTTGCCGCCAGAGAATGAAGATCAAATTCAAAACGCACACATATTCAACCTCTCGCTCCATTCTGAACCGCATTCTCCCATCCAAATTCAAATTCAATAAATAAATAACCAAAACGATAACCATTACACAAAAAAAAAAAAAGCAACACCATCGGCTCAACAACACAGTACCTTTGTATAACATGCTAAAGAGTTGAGGAAGAGTAAAAGAACCTGGTCCTTGCTGCGGGAACGAACACCAGAAGAAGCAGTCTTAATGCAAGTAGATATGAAGTTGAAAGACGAAGGGATAAATCGAGTGTTCTTAAGACTCTCCTTCTTCATAATCCTAAGTGAACGAAGCGATTCTGTTCCGGGGAGTCACCGCCGATGAAAGTAAACCATGTTTGGGCGTTGATTTTGATTTTCTCTCCTTGGAGTGTTAGATTGCAAAGCAAGTTTGCTCGAAATGCCACTAACATCCCATCACATTTTGGGTAATGTCGGGCACGTCCCCTCCAAATATTTTTGAAATGGGGGGTAATTTCGACCTTACACCTGGACGGCGTGGAATGCTCCGATAGGCACGTGGATCTCGTGTGCCATTTTGGATAACTTAGGTACGGTTCTAAGCTTGATTACGACACCACATGCCCTCCGAATATCTTATAATTAGATGCCGAACCTTTTCCATCTTACCAGATTAGGGCCCATTTGTTTATAGACTATATAAAAAATATAAATACTTTTTTATTATAAGAAATATTATTTGGAGATATTAAATTTATTAAAATAGTTTTTTATTTTTTAATAATTTTTCAATTTAATTATTAAATATAAAAATATTAAATAATATTTTGTATTTTAGTTTATTTTAAATATAATATATTATTTCAAATATAAAGTAAATAATTATTATTCAGTTACTTTTCTATAAATGTTTAATTCAAGTATAATTTTACATATCTTTTTCATTATAACAATATTATATAATTCAAAAACTGGATGAATAAAATTCAATTATAATAAAAATATTTAATATGTCATTTTATTAAATTTATTGTTGTTTGATTCCATTTTTTTATTTTAAAAAGTAACTATAATTGTAATTTTCACAGGCTGATAATAATTTATTTCAAATTTTTTTAAGATCTTAAAAAAATACAATATTTTGCGACTATTCTTTTAAAAAAGGTAATCTGTAATTATAATATTAATAGGCATGTTTGAACGAGCTTATAGTTAGCTTAAGAAAATAACTTATAATTTTTTAATTTATATTTAGTAAATTTTTTAATAAATTTAGAAAAATTTATGTACAAATTTAATATAATTTATTAAAATAATTTATTTTATTTTATTTTAAATAGATTTATTATTAAACTATCATATAAAAAATTATCAAATAAAATCTTAAACAAGTACTGTTTTCAAACTCACTCTTTGTAAAATTTATTAAAATAAATTTTTTTTAATTTATTTCAATAAATTTAATAATTTTACATAAATTATCATATAAAAATATTAAATAAATGTTTCTATATCAAGTACACTTAATATATACATAAATTTTGTGTCAAATGTAGTTGAAAACTTTCAAAAAGTTGAACTAACGTTAAATTAATTAATGTTTATTGGAAATTTAATAAGAGTGTTGCTTATTTCTTGCTCTTTTCTTTAAATTAAAATAAAATTGTGCCATGTGTTGTTACAGCGTTAATTTCCATCACTCAATGGCAACCCCATAAATTTCAAGTTGTTTGAATTTTATGAAATTTGAATAAATTTTACCCATAATATGTTAATACAAGATTTTAAGCATTTTTTAAAACATTTTTAAATGTTTGTTTACATTAAATATATTTTTAAATTTCATATTAATTATTTTTTAAAATTTTTATATTTTAATTTTGGTTAAATATGTTCTTATTTATAAATTATGTCAATTTTTAATCTTTTAAATTATTTTAAAATTTTTATTTAATATAAAAATATTCATCGTTAATAATTAAAGTATATTTTTAAAATTTTTATTAAATCTTAAAATAGTTATATAATATATTTTTAATTAATTAATTTTCAATTTAATAGCAGCCGTGCTATGTACATGAAAAAGCACTATTTTTTAAAGTGCATTTGGGAAAAAGTAAATAATTTTCATTAGATTTGAATAAATAGATGATAATTTGATAACTCATTATACGTGAAAATTTTCCTTAAACTAATTTCGTGGGTTAATTTTTTAACCTTACCAAACAATCATAAGGGCTGTTGAGCTAGATTCAGTAAATATAGTATTTTGGGGGGCTAGTTACTCTCTAATATATACTTCTGATACCTTAGAAGTAAACCTCGAAAATACATTTAGCATTCATTTCCTCATTACTTCATTTTGGGCATTTTTTCACGAAAAGCTATCAAAATCACTGCATTCCAGAAAATTATGCTAAGAATTGTATTGATAAGTGTAGAAATATTATTTGTTGTGAGATATTGGTCTACTTTCTTCTTCTACCATATAAAACTATGCACTATATAGCATTTACAAAAATGAAAGATGTCTTGTTCATGGTATAAGGTGCCAGAGAAATTCACCATTCTCCAAGTCCAAACGCTTTTGAAAGTATGTTTTAACTTACAATTTTGGTAGAAGAAAATAGAACTAAAAAGATTTTGATCAAAACTACTTGTTCGGTTAAAATGTGTGCAGGGAATTAAATAAATAAATAATAAGTAAAAAGGAATAAAATCTCTCCTGAATTAGTAGAGATTTTTCTTTTTTTTGACAAAATTTAGATTTAGCTTCTCAAATCTAATGATAATATGTACATATATTTTTTTTATCATTAAATAACCATCATTAAGAACATGTTATATATTAAACTTAAAATTTTGATGACAAGAAACTTAACGTAATATATATTTTCTTTTACTTCGTTCGCCTTCCCCCTTTAAATAAAAAAGCCCATAAAAACATTTTTATTAACTTTTAAATGATATAACAAATGTTTATATATACGCTATAAAGGTATTTGCGGGATTTTTAGGATACCAAAATCAAGTCTTATTAATGAAAACAATATCTACTTTATCTCAACCAAGGTTATCAAAGCATAAACAAACAAGTCTATAATATGTCTGTTTTATAATTTTGATTAAACTATTTAATTCAAAGAAAGATAGGAGAGAAAATAGAATCCCTAATACTAGAATCAAGACAAAATTGGAGGGAAGGGACTCTAAAGTCTAATCGGGTTCCTCCACATTCCCTCCCCTCCAACCGAATAATATGTAGAGTTTTGTATATATTTTGGTGCATACAACCAAAAACATAACCTTAGGTTTTGAATATGAAGCTCTTAATTAGCTCTCAACAATCCAAGGGAACTTGATTATGTTGACTAAGATCACTTACATATATAGTTTCTTGAGCTGTATTATCGTACTATATCCTGTAACTCCTCCGAGCATGTTCTTTGGAGAGAGGGACTTGGACATTCTTCAACAATTTCATGCGCAGCGTCATCGCCTCTTAGCAATATTGCAACCTGAAACCAACATAAATTGTAAAAGCCATCTTAGTTTATTTTCATTAAGATTATGGTAATGCAATTGTGTCATTTAGGTTGCACACTTGCCTGACTCATGCTGGGGCGTAAGATAGGAGATTGCTCAACACATAAAGATGCAGTCAAAACAGCACGATGCACTTGTTCTCGGTCATATTCATCACCAAGAGAAGGATCAATAAGGTCCTTAATCTGGTTAGCATCAAACAAAGGTTTTGCCTACAACACATAAGAAATTAAAATATGACGAGGCCTTTCATGTAATTGTACATATATAGATGAAACAACGTATCAACGTTCAGTGAAGTGATTAATTACCCATAACACAATACTTTGTTGCATATGATCCAAAGCTTGGTGCCCAGTTATGATCTCCAAAAGTAGAATCCCAAAGGAGTAAACATCAGTTTTCTCGTTTACTATGCCATGCATCAAATATTCAGGAGCAAAATACCTGTGAATAAAATAATGAGGGCTAAATGAATCATGAGAATGTCACAACTCACAAACTACATTGTTTTTGAAGTTTATAATATAATATATTTGCATACCCGAATGTGCCTTCAAATTTGGATACATAGTGACTACTACATTGTTCTGGTAACCACTTCGCAAGTCCAAAATCACAAATCTGGAGAAGTTTTCAATTAATCAGAGAGTGATAAATTAGATGCATATAGGCCTTAGATTGTTTGCAACTAATTTCTCCCAGCAGAATATGCAATAATAATGCATGAAAGAGAACATTATATTTAGCAAACACCATGTAGCTCAGTTAATGTAATCCTCTCTAGAGATAAATGGTGGCAGATTTTTAGGAAATATGATGTATTTCAAAATGCTAAATTGAAGGTGGATGATATATCTCATAAAAATACAAGTTTGATGGTGTTACTATGTGAGAGAAGAATCGTCTGTAGAACTCAACAGATGAAGCATAGCCATCCACAGCTAGAGTTACTAGTTCCACATATCGTCACTATTTTAAGATAAGCACAGGAAATATTATCGTAGGATAGGCATGGATGGTCCTAGGGATAGCCATGCACGTATATCAGAAAATGAGAAGAAATGCAAAGCATTTTTTTCCAGGATATGTTAAAAAATCAAAATAATTTTATTTTGTTAAAATGTATTAAAAATTATGAAAAAAAGGTATATTAATAATATTTTATAATATAAACATTTTCTTTTTAAAGAGCAATTTTTTTTCCAAACTGATCGAACATACTCTAAACTTCATATGTCTAAGGTAACAATGCACTTTATATATATGTGTGTGTATATAATAGCAATCTCCAAAGAAAAATGATAAATATATACCTGTGGTTCAAAATTCTCGGCAAGCAAAATATTATCTGGTTTAATGTCTCTGTGAATGATTCGCCTTTGACAATTCTCATGAAGATAGAGGAGGCCATTAGCTATTCCCATGATAATTTTATGCCTTATACTCCAATCTAATTTAATTTTATTTGAACCTGAAAGAGTTAAGTATTTCTAGTAAATATATTTAACACTTAATTAAATGTTTAATCTCAATTCAAATTTAATATTGTAAATATTTTTATTAGGATATAGTCTTACCTTTTTAGAAACTATTATTTTTAATCCTTTTAATTGATGCAATTTACTGAAATATTGTCAAATACTAACTTTAATTAGATTGCATCAATTAAAGAGACTAAAAATAATAATTTATAAAAAATATAAATTATATACTAACAAAGTATTTTATAAAAATAAATTCAAATAATACAACTTTTATATTGATTAAACACTTAATTAAACCATATATTTAAAGATAAAGTTAGATTTTCACATAGGAGAATACTTAAAACAAAGCACACACCATGAAGAAGAGATCCTAAATTTCCGAGTGGAGATAATTGGAAGACAAGGTGCATTTCTTCCTCAATTCCACATCCAATGAGCTTGGCAGTATTAGGATGGTCAACATGAGCCATAATCCCTACCTCAGATAGAAAGCTTGATGTCCTCTCATCTTCACTCCCTTTAACCAGTCGCTTAACCGCTATTAGTTGCCCATCTTGGAGGCGACCCTTGTAAACCACAGCTTGACCACCTCTTCCAATTAAGTTTTCTACAAGTAATTAAAGTCACATTGATGACATTTTTGAGAAAACAAAATTATATACTCAAGAGAAATGCCACTAATAGCAGCCAAAATTTATTGAAATTTATAAATTTACCGTAAGACTTATTAAATAAAAAAGTGACATTCATATGATTTAGCTAGTTTCATTAAATTTCAATGAATGATAAAGAAAGTGTTAAAATAAGCGTGTCTGTGAAAGTAATGCATAAATTTTCTACCCACTATTACGTAGATAGCAAATATTTTCAAATGAATTCACAATCAACTATACTATTATTGAATAAAATACTGGATAAACCATTGGTACAGACCATTGCTGAAATTGTTGGTTGCATTTTTCAGGTCAGAGAGGCTGAAATTCACGAAAGATCCGGTTTTGTCTGAATTACATAGAACAGGATATTCTCCAGTGCTTTTGCTTTTAGATTTCATTGCGTTTGGGAAGCAAGAAGAAGAGGGTAGGTGCTTAAATGATATTTTTTTCAATAGTTTAAAAGACTTGCTCCATTGAAATCGTGTCCCGAAGCTTGGACAAGTAGGAGCCAGTTCAGGTGGTTGATGAGAGTCAATGCCTGTAATGCGTAAGACTTCTCTTAGAGTTGAGACAACTTCTTCCTTTTCCCCCATATCAAATTGTCTCGAGTCTTTAAGAACACAATAAAAATGGTGGAGTTATGATCACAGGCACATAATTATGGTACAAGACAACGTTTATTGAATTAGAAAGAGGGGTGTAGCAATAAAAGAAATTAACCTTGTGTAGAAGAAGGGCAAGAAAATGCATTAATGCCTCGCTTTTTGCGTTTGTCATTAAAAGCTTTGTCCACTGGGACCATCCTTGATCCGTTTGCAGGACTTTTTTCTTCACTGTCCTGCATGACACGAGTCATCTCAAACATCAGCAACGCCAAACTTTTATGGATTGAAAAAATTATAATTTTTTTACTAAAAATATAAAAGGAAAAAAATTAATTTTTAAAAATAAAAATTTATTTTTTTCCATTCTTTTTTTCATCTTTAATTTAAATTTAAAAACAAAATGCCCGTTCTTTTCATTTTCCCTTTGAATGAGAAGAAGACTGAAAGAAAGAAGAGACACAAACAAACAAAGTGAGTAACTGAACAAGGATTAGCATAGTGCACTTGAAAGGTAGAAGAACAATGAATAGCATCGAGAAGCAGAAGAGTAATAATAATAACAATAACTTTTGATACTGAATTTCGGCATGGAGAGAGAGACACAGTAAATGAGGCAGTGTTACATTAGCAAATTTGTTCTCATTTGCGATGAACTCATTAAAAATAAATGAATAAAAAACTGCCACCTGTTTTGATAATTAATAATATAACATATTTTCTTTGGTAGACAGAAAAAGAGAAGAAGATTCTCACATCTGCTGTGTTAGTGATCACTGGCGATACAAACTAAAAAATAAAATACAATCAGAAAACAATAGAAGCTGAAGCTCAGTGTTGTAATTGGAAAACATGGTTGAACATAAACTGAAACCAGACATGTTGGGAAAGCATGAAAGTGAACTCCTCAGAAGGAACATCACCGGAAAAGAACAACCTAGAACCCATCAATGTTGCACTCAAAAACTTGAGAAACCATTGCAGATATCATATATATGGCACCCTCAACAACATGCTCTAAAAATTATAAGGGGTAAAAGTATAGAGAGATTCGCAGACACATATGAAGGTAAATTTGGGAAAGTAGAGAGAAGAAAGGACTTACCTGGAGTTTGAACGATGAACAATAATGAACAGTGTCTCTGGTCACCGCGCGTTAAAGGTGCAGTGGTGATAGAAGAACCCAACCATGCTACGCTATGATAGTTAATGCCTTCAAAATGAACTGTTTCTTCTCTTTTTATTTGTCAAAGTCTCCAAACATGGGTCTTCAAAATATTGGCTAACACCATTAAAAATTAATGAGATTATATTGAGAGTTATAATAATATTTTTAAAAAATATATTTTTCATTTTTCAAGAGTTGTTTGCTTATTTTTAATAAATAAAAATTTAATTAAATTGTGAGTCTTATCTTAAATAGAAAAGTTAATTAAATATTTATTTATTAAATTTTATATACTAATTTGTATTATAATTTTAATAATAATTTTTTTTATAATTTTTATTTTAATAAATTATACTAAATTTTTTATTAAAATAAATTAATAAATTATAAATTATTGTCGTAAACTTGTAATAAATATTTTTCTCACCTGCTTTTTAGTAAGTGTTCTATAAAAAATATTTATTATCATTTTATGTGATTATTATCACTTTTATTTAATTAATTTTAATTTAAAATAATAATATTATTATAAATAAATATTTTAAATAAAATGACAATAAACATTTAAGAATAGCAATAAATGTTTAATTAAAGAGTAATAATAAATACACTCTCCTATAAGTTACAAACTTTAAAGTGTTAAAAATCCATAAATTTATTGAAGAACTGAGTTCTCTTTCACATTTTACATATAATCCTCTTTTCTCTTTATCTCTCACACCCTTTTACATGAGTGATAATTAGTTTTTTCTTTAGCTTTAGTGACTTTCGAGTTTTATATATTTGTATGATATTTTATTTATTTATTTTTTCTTATAACTTTACATAATTTATCATGCATAGTATTTGTTACATTTGTATTTTTTTAATTGTTTTACTCTTTCTATACATTTCATCGGTCAACTATAACAAAATTGTTAAGCGTTTTTATTATTTAACAACTACAAATTAATAAAATATAATATAAATATATATATATATATATATATATCCAAAAATACCGAAACAAATAAAAAAGTATTCAAAATGTCATTTTAAATTTTTTTAACACTAAAGCCTTACAATGCGATGCAAAAACTGAAAAATCAATTTTTAAATCAAAATTAACAGTAACAATATTTCATATGCATTCTGGAAATACTTTCAAGTACAGTGATTTATTTTAGTAAATTCTACTGTATTCTCTAAAATAAAAATATATTTTATACTCTCTTAAATAAGATTATTAATTTATTTAAAATATATAAATAATTTTTAATTTTAAAGATATTAAATAAATCACACCCTTTTTACCTTTTATCTAAAAAAAGTATACAATGCTCTCAATTTCAAGAGCACGAAACACTTTATTTTTTATCCTGTGTAAATTTACTTTTGACTACTTTTTAAATTGAACATGAAAGAATGATTTAGAATATGTTTGTTTTATTTTTAAAAAGTTTTTTTAAATAAAAAACTTTAATTATGATATATTACATCTCATTAATATTATCATTTATTTGACAGAATTTTCTATCTCTCTTTATTTATTATATATATATTTATATTTAATGTATTTAGTGAGATAAAAAAAATTTATATAAAAATAAAATAATAAATCTGAATTATATAATCACACATAAATATTTATAATTATAAAATTTTTCAAGTCATATTATTATTAAAAAAAATTGACATAATTTATATGTTTTAATTTTAATAATTTATGATAGGCTTAATGAAATTAAACTATATAACTATTTATAAATAATTAAAGTTAAAAAGCTTGAGAAGTCATGTAGTTATTTTAAAAAGTAATTTTAAATTTTAAAAATTTACATGACTTATATATTATAATCTTAACTATCATAATAAAATTTAATAATAAAAATTAAAATATATAAGTTAAATAATTTTATGTAAAAGTTATGTGATATTTTTAAATAATAATATAATTTGTTAACTATTAATATATGATTATGTAATATAAAATTGTGTCTTTCGTTATGTACAAGAAAATTTATCTTATTATAAATGTATTATATATCAAAAATATTAATTAAATATTCCCTTTCAAATATAGAGAATGAAAAACGATAATTATGAATCTAGATTTAGTGCAATTCATGTGAGAATTGCAATTTAGATAATTTTTTGCATTTTTGTTTGAGCAAAAAAATATGTTAATTTAAATAAAAAATACAAAATAATGTAACGAGACAGTACAGTTACTACACTAAATCTAAATTCGATAATTATATATTTATTTAGTAAAATAATAATTATATATGAGTGACTAAAATTATTTAAAGTAATATTTTTATTTCTTTATTTTAATTAAAATTAAAATTTATTTAATAAATTTTGAACATTCAAATTTTAAATGACAAACCTTAAAAAAAATAATTAAAAAATACAAATAGGTCCAATATACCTAAGAAAAAAGTGATACGCATGCAAATTTTGTGAATTTGATTGATGAATAATTTTAAAATCTTATATCCCACAAATATTTTTCTTCAATTATATAATAAAATATTAATTTTTTTTTCATATAATTAATATTTTATTTTTAATTAATTTTTTTTGGTAACCTGAAAGTATCTATGCATTTCTAAAATTTTAAATTGAATCCGCAAGAGCCACGTGCACGCCGCAAAATAAAATATAAAAAACAGAAAAAATTGAAGATATGTACAACCAACGTTTTAAGAGTAGCCTGCGACACTGTTCAAAACTCGACATCCATTTCATATCCGAGGTCTCGTGTAGTTTTGGTCAACATCATTGGCATTGATCCACAAAATTATCCTCTTTCTCCATTCCTCTGTTCGTTTTAAGACATAAATGATGGATACCAAAAGCAGTGATCAAAGTGGTTTTACAAGTCCTTTGCTTTCCACTGAATCACAAAGGAATAGCGACAATAATGGCTTTGACTTTGAGGGAAAGAGACAGAGTAAAGCTTCTTCCATCCCAACTACTCTTATACTCAGCACCCTTATCGCTGTTTTTGGTTCTTACGTTTTTGGGTCTGCTGTAAGTTACCATACACATTCCATTTTGTTAATGTCAAGTTATTAGGATTAATTTTAATCATCTTTGAAAAATATATTTATTGTATTTAAAATGAAAAGTGTAATAAATATATCTTATTGATTTTAATTGCTTAAAATTAGACTAAAAGACTGATGTTAGCATATTTTCTTTATAAATTTGGTCTCGTAACTTTATCAGAATTCAAAATGGTCACTGTCACATGAATCGTATGCTAATTTTGCAGATTGGGTATTCATCCCCTACTCAATCTGGAATAATGCAAGACCTCAATCTTGGGGTGGCTCAGGTTTGTACATTGAATCATAAATCACAATCTATGGTTTGTACATTTACACAGTGTTATTTATTGGGCACTTATTTGACTGTGTTGGAACTCTTTGAACTTAAGCAGTACTCAATTTTTGGTTCAATATTGACAATTGGAGCGATGATTGGCGCCATTGTGAGCGGTAGAATAGCAGATTACGCAGGTCGTCGAGTTGTAAGTCATAGCGTGGTTACATTTAATTTTAATTTCTGTTATTGTTGTTCATTTTTGGTTAATTTGCATTTTGTTATGCAGGCCATGGGATTCTCGGAGGTTTTCTGCATCTTGGGATGGCTTGCTATAACATTCTCTAAGGTTTGCCCTTATTTTTTTCCACCTCATTTCCAATTTTCTCTAAGTTGATACTTACTAGTTGAATATGTTTGATAACTAGTAATCCTTGTCACGGCGGTCACAACCTTTTCTACTGTAAGAACTAAGAAGGAAAATATTTAACTTCATTAAAGGTAGGGGAAAGAAGACATTCATGGAAAGAATTCATAGTAACTATTGAGAGAAGTACATGCCTTGGTATTAACTGTGAAGCCTATTTGGAAGAATAGCAGTAATCCTTTTTAACAAAATTCCCAGCAAAATTTAGATTGAGTTACTGTTTTTCTATAAACGCAACGAAGTAGAAGGGATAGATTGGAGAATGCAGAGTCTGTGCCACTCTGATTCTATCAGTTGAATGTCCCCATCCCACATGGCTTCCTTAAATTCATTCTTTGATAATTCATTCTTGTGATATCTACCATTTGGTGCTTTTTGAAGGTAGCATTGTGGCTTTATGTTGGAAGACTGTTGATAGGATGTGGGATTGGCCTACTATCTTACACGGTAACTGTTGCGATGTGCAATATGTTATTATTGCAGTTCAAACAACATTCAATCAAGAAATACAAATAATAGTTCCCTTTGCATATTAGGTACCAGTTTATATAGCAGAAATAACACCTAAGAATTTTCGAGGGGCATTCACAGCAGTTCATCAGGTATAGAAATACTATAATGATACAATCTCTTTCTATCATTTTACTCTTATTGCCTGTAGCATACCACTTATGTTTTACTATGTCACATATAGGCTTATTTTAAATCCCTATTTGGTATATTATTTTGACAGTTAATGATTTGTTTGGGGATGTCATTAACTTATCTTATTGGAGCATACGTAAATTGGCGAATCTTGGCTCTAATAGGTAATATTATTCTTTCTGGTGTTCTTTTTACAGACCAAATTAAAAGTAAAGGTTCCACGTAACTTAAATGTTTTTTTGTTTATCTCAGGAACTATTCCATGTCTTGCACAGCTCATGTGTCTTGCGTTCATCCCTGATTCTCCTAGGTGGCTGGTGAGTTGTTCATTGATTCTGTAATTTTATTGTTTGGCTTGTACATGTTGGACACTGCTCACACAAGGAACTGATGTTTTTCATCACTTTTTCAAATGGTTGGAATCAAGATAAATCATTAGACAAACATATCACAAGTGAGACTTGTACCCTTTTGCAGGCAAAGGTTGGTCGATTCCAAGAGAGTGATTCTTCTTTACAGTACCTCAGGGGGAGGAATGCTGATGTTTATCAAGAGGCCACTGAAATCCGAGTATATAATTAGTTTCTGTTCATTATAATGTTAAACTTGGGTGGCTATCTTGCTAGGAAGCAAAAGAAGGGAAACAAAAAGGGAAGAAATTTAATCTATCATTTTTACATTGTACCTTCATTTGTAGGATTATACAGAATCTTTTCAGCGGCAAACAGAAGATAGCATCGTTGGCTTATTTCAATTGCAGTATTTGAAGTCTCTTACTGTGAGCTTTCTAAATTTTCCCTCTTCATGCTGCCTATCTTGACCTTTTGCAGGCCCTTATGGTGTTTAGTTGGTTAGGTAGGAGTTGGCTTGATGATGCTGCAACAGTTTGGAGGGATTAATGGCATTGTTTTTTATGCAAATTCTATATTTATCTCTGCTGGTATGTGTTGGTTCTTTTCTATGCTTCCATCATATGACAAGTAAGAGAAAATGAATATGAGAATATTCGATTTGTGACATGATTCATGCAAAAGCAAAAATTCTTCCCTATGACAGGGTTTTCGGAAAGTATTGGAACAATAGCAATGGTTGCTGTTAAGGTTCTTAATTCTCTATAACTTCACGGTTTCTGTCTGCTTAATTCTGTCTAGGATATGATGGATGCTTTGATGAGTGTACCCTTCATTTTTGAATCTTTCACACTATTCTGTCATCTGTGTTTGTAGATTCCAATGACAACTTTAGGAGTACTTTTGATGGATAAATCTGGAAGACGACCACTTTTGCTGGTAAAAAGGTTGAACTTTTATTCCAACTTTTTTGCAGTGTTCTGTAAATTCTGAGTCCATAATTTTGATTCTCATCCAGGTGTCAGCAGTGGGAACATGCTTAGGATGTTTCCTGGCAGCCCTCTCATTTGTCTTGCAGGTTCTTTCAATAAAAGAATATGCTCCAATAAATTGTTTTTTAACTTCACTTCTAAGAGTAATTAGAATTTCCTGTGCAGGACTTAAATAAATGGAAGGGAGTTAGTCCCATTACAGCACTAGTGGGTGTACTGGTACTGCTTTTGCATTTATTTGCCCATATATGTATCATCAACTATAGTGTGAAATCTCAAATTTAATTTCTCGGTATCATAACATAAATGGATCGTAATCATTACTATATTGTATGACCACAAAAAAAGTCATGTGAAACACTTAACTAATAATCTTTTATGTATCAATATCACATCACAACTGAGTAAAATTTCATGGAAGATTATTAATGTTTCTGGCATATCGAGTGAATTTCTTGGTTTCTTGCCTAACTTTTCTGATGTTTCACATTCTTTCATTGTCCTTGTATTTTGTCTTTGTGAGATAAATTGGTTTTAAGATTTAAATGATGCCATTAAAGTTTAAGTTTCAAAATATGAATTCAGTTCCTGTTACTATTGAAACCAATTACTTATGGATTGACAACAAAGGTGTTTCTCCTTTTAATTTTATTAATGGGCAGGTATACGTGGGATCTTACTCAATAGGCATGGGAGCAATTCCCTGGGTTATAATGTCTGAGGTAGCATAGTCTCACTATGTCTGAACTCAGGAAATAATAAAATCAAACACCATAAATCCTCAGCATGATTAATGGTTATATTTTATTTTCCAGATATTTCCTATCAACGTGAAAGGTTCTGCTGGAAGCCTTGTGACCTTGGTCAGCTGGTTGTGTTCTTGGATTGTATCATATTCTTTTAACTTCCTCATGAGTTGGAGTTCAGCAGGTAGGTTAGCATTTACCTTATTCTTGATCCTTAGTAAAAATAAAGAAGTTGAGAAAAGTTTTAAGAAAATAGGTGAAGAAAAATAGACAATTAAGGAATCCTTATTTTATATATGGAATAAAATTCATTAAAATTATATTATGTTTGGCAGGAACTTTCTTCATATTCTCTAGCATATGTGGCTTCACCGTGCTATTCGTAGCAAAACTAGTACCAGAGACCAAGGGGCGCACTCTAGAAGAAATTCAAGCTTCTTTAAATTCATATTCATCAAAGAGATGATTTTGGTATTTCCCAGTAACATAATAAACCCAATAATAATTTTCCGAAATGGCATATTGATGAAATTTTCCTGAAACTGTCCATTAAAAAAAATATTTAAAAGGGGCTATGCATACGCAAATCTGCGTAAAGGGAATGGCTTTCAGCAAGCATCACAATAATTATAGTGATGGTCTTGTGATGTATGCCTATCGGCATATCCTTAGAATTAGGAGTTTACAATATAGACACTTCCACTTTATTCTTTTCAGACTGTCATGTAGATTTGGATATTTGGTTTTAAATTCAATGTAACTGCCATGGGCATGTTTCTGTTTATGAATTGCAAGTTACTAGGTAAGAGAAATGATAAATAATTCATTCTCTAACTTCTTTTTTTCTAAATATATTATTTACTGTTAACTTAAATTTATTTTTAAAAATATAAAACTATGAGTAAAATTGATTAAACAGACAGTAGAATATATGTCGTTTGTGAATTTTAACAAATTTTATTCAACGATACAAAGTTGTTTTTCCAAAGTATATTTAAAACAATGGATTAAAAATGTGTTATTAATATTGTTTTAGACAGGGGGCATGCATAAAGGAAACAGTACTACTGTTAAAAGGTATGAACACATTCAACAAAAAGTGCTTGGTATGGGTATGTAATCAATAATCAATATATATTAATAAATATAAATTTAAGAATTATTAAACACGAGATTAATTAGGGGAAATTATTTTAATTTAATCTGTAATTTTGAGTTCAAATTTTACCTTCAAAGAAAGATACTTTTAGATTTGTGCATGTAATATTTAAGAGACATAAAAAATTAATAAATAGATTTTAAGCAAATCTTAGTCACGTTTTAAAGCCACTTAAAAACTATGTCAACATTATTGTGGGTAATTTTATTAAATTGTATCCTTATAGCAAAGTTAAAGAATAAAAAAGAGTGATTCTTTATTTAATTGTTCTCGTTACATATAGATGAAGCGTTAAATATTTTTGTAACTTTTAAAATATTGTTTTATTCAATAATATTGTACATCTTTGATTCGTTAAAAGAATCATAAAAAAATATTCATGTGACCGGTATGGGATATTTAAAAGTATATTTTTTAAAAAGTGTATACATAAATTAAAACATGCATATAATATCACAAATATGGTACTAAAGTTTAAGTAAATTATAATATAAAAAAAAGTTAAGTAAATTAAATAATAAAATTTATTAATTTTTCATGTGATGTGATTTTTGTAATTATTGTAATAAAAATAGTTATTGTATTATCTTCTGTTCTAACGCCTCTCTCGCTGCAGTGTCTATCAAATCTTTTTGATGTACTCGCCAACGCAAATATGCTGAACAATACAACAGGTATCCATGAAGATATGATATTCTTACAATTCTCAAAGTACGAAAAGATAAAGTTATGTCATTAATTATCTTATTAATTTTAAAAAAATCGTTGAGAGTTACAAATTATTTTGTATTTTTTATAATATAAATATCATTTTCTTTATGGACACGCCACAATCTCAAGAACTCGTCATTTTGGGTTGGTCAACGCTGAAGCACCATTGAATCACTTAGCTCTGTCATAAATAACCTTAAACTCTGAGAACATTCTTCTGTGTCTGGTTAAGTGGTTGTTTCAAACAGTGATCATGAACAACAAAAACATTGAACCAAGCGAGTTTTCAAGTCCTTTGCTTTCCACAGAACCACAAGGTTATGGTGGTAACCATGGCATTGACTTTGAGGGAAATAGGGAAAACGAAACTTCTTCAATTCCAGCTACTACTCTTATCTTCAGCACACTCACTGCTGTTTTTGGCTCTTACGTTTTTGGGACTGCTGTAAGTTATGATTCATACATTTTGGTTCAGCAAATTCATCAGAATGATCACTATCACATGAGAACCAGTAATTTTGCAGGTGGGATATTCATCCCCTACTCAATCTGGAATCATGCATGATCTCAATCTCGGTGTTGCTCAGGTTTGAAATTTGAATCACAAGTTATGATCTCATTCACACCTTGTAAAACTTTTTCTATAACTACAAGGAAAATAGAATTAGTTTTTATACCACTTTTGGGGGACACTTCAGTTTAAAGGAATACTATTTATAGTTAAAATGTATTTTCGGAATGCAATGTGTATAAAAAGGATAAAAAAATAAAGAAAGTTAAAAATAATTATATACTCTTATTTTGTAAATTTTTAGTGAAATGAAGCAAAAAAAAAAGAAAGAGGAAAGAGAAGTGTTGATAAAATGTATGTAACAATAATATAACTTAATTTGATTATGTCTATAAGTTGAAGTCTTTTTACTTTTACAGTACTCAACTTTTGGTTCAATATTGTCGATTGGAGCGATGATTGGTGCCATTGTGAGTGGTAGAATAGCAGATTATGCAGGTCGTCGAGTTGTAAGTTAAAAGTTCGCTACATTTGATTTTGGTTTTACTTTCATTGTAATTGCCGTTCACCTTTGGTTATTATTTTGCATTTTGCCATGCAGGCCATGGGATTCTCAGAGGTTTTCTGCATTTTGGGATGGCTTACCATAGCATTCTCAAAGGTTTGTTATTAATTTCTTCCATTTCATTCCCACAATTTTCTAACTTAGTACATATAGATGCTCGGGTACTGACAGAAAATTAGTAATATTTTGTAACAAACTTGAAGTAAAATAAAGTAAAACTGAAGAATCCGAGCCACTAAGATTCGATCCATTGAATGTCTTCGATATCACATGGTTCCCTTAAATTCAGTTTTTGCTATCTAACATTGGGTGCTTATTTGAAGGTTGCTTGGTGGCTTTATGTTGGAAGACTCTTGATAGGATGTGGAATTGGCCTGCTATCTTATGTGGTAATTGTTGTGTTGTGATCTGTAGTATGTTATGACTGCACTTTATGTTAACAATATTCTGTTTCTCAATATACACAAATAGTTCCCCTTGCACAATAGGTACCAGTTTATGTGGCAGAAATAACACCCAAAAATCTTCGAGGGACATTCGCTGCAGTTCATCAGGTAAAGTAATACAGTATTGATACAATCTCTTAATATTGTTTCGCCCTTATTTTGTGTACCATGGAGCTTATGTTATACATATATCACGTAAAGGGTTATTTCATATGTCTATTATTTGGTATGGTTTTGACAGTTTATGATTTGTTTTGGATTGTCCGTAACTTATCTTATTGGATCATATTTGAATTGGCGGATTTTGGCTATAATAGGTAATAGCCTTCTTTCTGTTGCTCTTTCACAAAACAAAATTAAAAAGGGTTCTTTGTAACTCACATATTTTCTGTCATTATCTAAGGAACTATTCCGTGTCTTCTACAACTTCTGAGTCTTCCCTTCATCCCTGATTCTCCTAGGTGGCTGGTGAGTTGTTCAAACTTTGTAATTTTAGTTTGGAATGTACACGTTGGACACAAGCAACTGGAATTTTTCATCACTATTGTCAAATGGTTGGAGTCAAGACATGTCAAAGATAGCACAAGTGAGACTCGTAATCTTCTGCAGGCCAAGATCGGTCGCTTGAAAGAGTGCGATTCTGCCTTACAGCGCCTCAGAGGAAAGAATGCTGATGTTTATCAAGAGGCCACTGATATCAGAGTAAATAACAAGTTTTTATTCATTAGAATGTTAAACTTGGGTTACAATCTTGCTAAGCAAAAGAAGTGAAAATGAAGAAATCGAAGAGTTTAATATGTCATTTTCTGCATTGTACCTTTATTTGTAGGATTATACAAAAGCCCTTCAACGACAAACAGAAGCTAGCATTATTGGCTTATTTCAATTGCAGTATTTGAAGTTACTTATTGTGAGCATTCTATATCAGCCTCATTCATGCAGCCTATCTTAACCTTTTGTAGGCTCTTATGGTATTTTGTTACTTGGTTAGATTGGAGTTGGCTTGATGATACTGCAACAGTTTGGAGGGATTGGTGGCATTACTTTTTATACAAATTCTATATTTATCTCTGCTGGTATGTACTGCTCCTTTTCTATGATTCTATCATATGACAAGTAAGAAAAAATGAATGTGGGAATATTATATTAGTGGAACCATTCAGATTAAACTTCAAATTCTTTTCTATGACAGGGTTTTCGGTGAGTATTGGAATTATAGCAACAGTTTCTGTCAAGGTTCTTAATTCTCTTCACACAATTTCATCATTTTTGTCTGCTTAATTCTATATGCTATTTTTTATGAGTGTTCTCTTCTTTTCTGTGTGTCTTTACACAATCCTGTCACTTGTGTGTATAGATCCCATTGACAACTTTAGGAGTACTTTTGATGGATAAATGTGGAAGACGACCACTTTTGTTGGTAAAATTTATTGAGATTTTGTTCTTGCTTTTTTTCAGTGTTCTTTTACTTATGAATCCTGAATTTTCACTCTGACACAGGTTGCTGCAATGGGAACATGCTTAGGATGCTTCCTCTTGGGCCTGTCATTCTTCTTGCAGGTTTATTTTATGGCAGAATATTCTCTGACAAGTTGTTTTATATGTGAATTATTTCTGGGAATAATTAGGCTTGGCTTATGCAGGACATGCACATATGGAAGGGAGTCAGTCCCATTATGGCGCTTTTTGGTTTACTGGTAATGCTTATGCAATTATGCCCATATGTGTATCTTTGACTATATCATGAAATCTCATAAATTTAAATTCTAGCCCTAGGTATTTAACTTTTATGGATTCAATCATTAATTTGTTTTCTGGCAATGAAAGTGTTATGTTAAAATCTCACCTATTAATATTTTGTGCATCTATTGCACAATTAATATCAGGAAAAAATTGTAGAAGACTAGTACTTCTTGGATATATAATGAAGTTCTTGATTTCTTGTTAGAACTTTTATGATTCGTCTCATTTTCTCTCATTCTTTCCTTGGCCTTATATTTGTCTTTGCAAGATAAACTTGACTTCAAGATTTGAATGATGCCTCTGAAGTTTGAGTTTTATGATAAAATTCAATTCATATATTCATATCAAGTATTGCAGCGTTAATGCTATTCTTATGAATTTATATAAAGGTATTTTTCCTTTTGAATTTTTCTTTTAATTAATGAGCAGGCATATATGGGATCTTTCTCGCTAGGCATGGGAGGAATTCCATGGATTATAATGTCTGAGGTAGCTATGTCTAACTATGCCTAAACTCATGAAATTAATATTCAAATATAATAATTCCTCACACGATGAATGTATATATATTTTGTTTCTCAGATATTTCCTATTAACGTTAAGGGGTCTGCTGGAAGCTTTGTGACCTTGGTTAGCTGGTTGTGTACTTTGATTGTATCATATGCTTTTAACTTCCTCATGAGTTGGAGTTCAGAAGGTAGGTATAAATTCCCTAAAAGGACAAGGCAAAAAAATCAAAATTTAAAGTTTATAAAACTAGGGAAGAAAAATATATAGCATAGTAAGGAGTCCTTATTTTATACATGGAATGAAATTCTTATGTTGTTGGGGCAGGAACTTTCTTTTTATTCTCTGGCATATGTGGCCTCACTGTTATATTCGTAGCCAAACTAGTACCAGAGACCAAGGGTCGTACACTAGAGGAAATTCAAGCTTCTTTGAATTTGTATTCCACAAAGATGTGAATTCAGCGTTCCCATGTAACATAAATCCAATGCATGATCATTGATAAACCCAGTTAGAATTTTTTGAAATGGCAGATCAATGAAGGTTTCATGTTACAAAGCTTGTTCAAAAGAGGTGCTAAGCATCCGCAAGTCTGAATGAAGGGATTAATCATGTGATGAGAAGTATTATGAACACACACTTACTCATTGATTGAATTTTATCGAAAAATGAGTGATGATCATTAAATTTAAAGTGAGACTCACATGATTTTTGTTATGTCCAATAAATTACCCATTGTTAGAGTGTGTATTGTTAGCATTTCTCTTGTTATAATATTCTCGTGATTTACATATATCCTTAGAATAATGTGTTTATACTTTGGAAACTGTCATGTATAAGGGAGCTGCTGTGGGGAACGTATTTCCTTAATGAAATTGCAAGTTAACGTATGGAAGGGAACTATTGATTCGAGCTGTTAAAATCCTATTGAAGGATATTCCAATATATCTTGTGTTATAAATTAAAATTGAATTTAAATTTAAAGATTTAGTAATCTAATATTGAACATTAAAATAAAATATAATTATTAAGCAATGAACCTCATTAATACATGATTCCACTAAAAACAAATTATGCAAGAATATCTTTACATAAAAAAGATAGTGTAACTACATAATGTGTTGAGAAAAAAAGGCTGCGCACAAAAATATCTGAAGATGCTACATTGTGATTCATCACATGCAAGAAAACGAAGGATACTGCCAAAGAAGACCGCGAAGTTGTAGTATAATACTACAGCTTGGAGCTTTTGGCGTTTTGTGCTAGCTTATGGTGACACATCCTCTACAATAATTTATGCCAATTGCTTCAGATTACGAATCATGACAATGAATCAAAGTTCAAAACAACAAACCAACACTGTATCTCAAGGCACTACTCTTTAGTTTAAAGATCCATTAACTGTGTCACAACCTTAAAAATCTGTGTAGCTCTTTGTGGGTATTCAATCATGGACAATACTAAAAGCATAGAACCAAGCGATTTTTCAAGTCCTTTGCTTTCCACAGAATCACAAGGGTATGGTGAGGAAAAGAGGGAGAAAGGAACTTGGTTGGTGCCACCTAGACTTATACTTAGCACCCTCGTTGCTGTTTCTGGTTCTTATGTTTTTGGCTCTGCTGTAAGTTCCCATTCACAAATCATACTTGGTTGGTTTAAATTTATTACAATTTTCATAATTTCCACTGTCACTGTCTGATTTTTTTCAGGTGGGATATTCATCTCCTGCTCAAACGGGAATCATGGATGACCTCAATCTGGGTGTGGCTGAGGTTAGAACTTTGAATCATAACTCCTAACCTTTGCTTTTGTCATGTATTCAACGTTGAACTATATTGGCCTTATTTTATGCAGTACTCACTTTTTGGTTCAATACTGACAATTGGAGCAATGGTCGGTGCCGTCATAAGCGGTAGAATAGCAGATTATGCAGGTCGACGAGTTGTAAGTTTCTCCAATCTTGGGTGTGCCTCAATGTATCTTTGTTCTTTCAATCTTCGTTTATGATGCATTTTTCTAAGCAGGCCATGGGCTTCTCTGAGATATTCTGCATATTGGGATGGTTTGCCATAGCATTCTCAAAGGTTTACTATTTCTTTGACTTCCTTCCCATATTTGTCTAAGTTGCTGACATACTAGTTGCATGTGTCTGAGAACTAAATAAATAAATGAACAAAATTTATGTACAGTTCTTTAGTTGCTTTGGTGTTATTTTTATTATCATTAAAATTAGAGTTTTAGTTCAGTAAAAAGTCCACATTTAAGGTTGTTGCCTCTTACTGAGGTGAAACTCTAATTTTGATTGAAAAATAACACAAAGTACCAAGGAACTGCATTTAAGTTTTGTCTTAAATATATTTCAAGGAAGGGAAAAAAGCCTCCATGTAACGCTTAGTGCTTGTTTGAAGGTTGGTTGGTGGCTTTATGTTGGAAGATTGTTGGTAGGATGTGGGATGGGCCTTCTATCTTATGTGGTAATTGTTGTGACTCTTAGTTTTCATAATTCTAGTTCCAAAGATATTCAGTCACTCAAAGTAAATACAAATGGGTAGTTCTCTTCTCTTTCCATGATAGGTACCAGTTTATGTAGCTGAAATAACACCCAAGAATCTTCGAGGGGCACTGACCACAATTCACCAGGTAAAGAGATGTTATTTTCTCTAACCACTTATGTCTACATATTTCGCGCAGAGGCTTATTTTAAATCCTTATTTGGTGCTTATTTTGGTAGTTAATGATTTGTTGTGGGGTATCATTAACTTATCTTATTGGAGCATTCTTGAATTGGAGGATTTTGGCTCTAATAGGTAATCAAATGTTCTTCTTTTTTATGTTTTTTTAACAAAATCAAATTTAAAGAGGTTGGATGTAACTCACCTTTTTTTGTCTCTGTCTTAGGAACTATTCCTTGTCTTGTACAGCTTTTGGGTCTATTCTTCATTCCTGAGTCTCCTAGGTGGCTGGTGAGTTGTTCATGGCTGCTATAGGTTTATTGTTTGGTATATTTATTTTGGTTTGTTAAATAAATACAATACAGGAACTGGGATTTTTTCATCATTTTTTTCAAATAATTGAGGTCAAGGCATGTTGTTAAACAAACATCAACAAGACAGTGATAATTGCAATGTTCTGTTATGCAGGCCAAATTTGGTCACTGGGAAAGGAGTGAATCTGTGTTACAGCGCCTTAGAGGAATGAATACTGATGTTTCCCAAGAGGCCACTGAAATTAGAGTATATAATAAGTGCTTGTTCATTGGAGTGTTAACTTGTGGGTCAATGTAACTAGGAAACTAAAGAGGGAGGGAAAGGGATAAGAAGCCAAAGTGTCTAATGTATTACTTAATAACATTTTCTTTTGTAGGATTTCACAGAAGCCCTTCAGCAACAAACAGAAGCTAATATTATTGCCTTATTTCAACTGCAGTATTTGAAGTCACTTACTGTGAGTTTTCTAAGATATTCCCATTCATGCAACCTTTCATAACCTTTGGCTTACTCTTATGGTATTTAGTTACTTTGTTAGGTAGGAGTTGGCCTGATGATACTACAACAATTTGGAGGGGTTAATGGCATTGCTTTTTATGCAAGTTCTATATTCATCTCTGCCGGTACATGCAATTATTATTTTTTAAACTTTATCTATGCTTCTAATATATGAAACACAAGGAAGATGATTATGAGAATGTTAAAGTTTTTAACATGATTGTCATAAAGGAAAAAAGTATTATCCGTCACAGGGTTTTCAGGAAGTATCGGAACAATAGCAATGGTTATCGTTCAGGTACTTCATTTCTTGATCTTAATGCTGCATAAGATGAGATAATATATGCCACTTTTTTTTATGGTGAGTCTTTTCTTCATTTCTATTCTGTCATTTTTGTCTTTATAGATCCCGATGACAACTTTGGGAGTACTTTTGATGGATAAATCTGGAAGACGACCGCTTCTACTGGTAAAAAAGTGTTGAACTTCTGTTTTACTTCTTTGTTAGTAAAATCTGGATCCAAAAGGTTTACTTTTATGCAGATATCTGCATCAGGAACATGCTTAGGATGCTTTTTTGCAGCCTTATCATTCTTCTTACAGGTTCTTTGAATATCAAAATCTACTCAACTATGTTGTTTTTTCACATTAGTTATTTCAACCTAAATAATTAATTAATTTTGCTTGCCATATGCAGGACCTACATAAATGGAAGGAATTCAGTCCCATTCTGGCGCTTGTTGGTGTACTGGTAATTAGATGTATTAGGATGTTTGACACATTTTGAATATCATGAAACCTAGAATGTTAATCCTTTTTTATACTAATCAAATCCTATCTAATTAAGAAAATAAATCATGATAAGAAAAGGAAATATGATAATGAATTCTAAGACATGATAAAATAAGGTAAATAATCCTGAAGGATAAACTAAGATATGATTAATAGTGTTAGATTTTTTTTTTCTGTTTTGTTTTATGACTTTGAAAGAAGGATGATAGATACCTTCTTCTGTTTTATGACTTTGCAGGGTTAGAATTAGATCATAGAAGATTAAGTACCTCTAGAGTAGCTAATGAAGGTCTGAAATTCTTGCTAGGACATTTTTTTTTATGTATTCTATCCTTTCACTCCGAGTTTTCATTAACCTTTAATTTACTTTCATGAGATAGATTTAGTTTTAGATTTTCAGGATTTGCACGATGCCTGTAAAGTTAAACGTTTATGTCTTTCCTATATCAAATTTCTAAATCAAACAATCACATAGGAATTATTTTAAAATTTTCCGATCTATTTTTAATGAAAACTATTTAATGTTGGAAAACATTTATTACGTGTCACTGTTTGATTTAAAAATTTGAGAAAAATAATATAGAAAACTTGATGTAAGTTATGTTTTAAAGGTAATTCACCATTTAATTTTCATAATGAGCAGGTATATACAGGATCATTCTCACTTGGCATGGGAGGAATCCCTTGGGTTATAATGTCTGAGGTAGTAGTTTGGTCTTGCATTGTCTGAAACTATGAAATAAAAATTAGATCATAATAAGTCCTAATGATCTTGACTAAATAATCATTTTCTTTTCCAGATATTTCCCATTAACGTGAAGGGCTCTGCTGGAAGCCTAGTGACATTGGTTAGCTGGTTGTGTTCTTGGATTGTATCATATGCCTTTAACTTCCTTATGAATTGGAGTTCATCAGGTTGGTTCACGTTCGCTCTTGATCCCTTGTTTTCACTCACTCCTCCCTCAAAAAAGAAAGCCGAAAAGTGGAAAGCACAAAAATTGAGAAAACGGGTCTTAACAACATGATTGTCTCTTCTGAAAAATATTAAAAAAAATTGAGGAAAACAAAAATTATAAAATGAATGAGTCCTATAGAAAAGGAAGGAGGGCCTACTATATGAGGATAAACTTTTATTATGTTTGGGCAGGAACTTTCTTCATATTCTCTAGCATATGTGGCTTCACCATTCTATTCGTAGCAAAGCTAGTACCAGAGACCAAGGGGCGTACACTAGAAGAAGTTCAGGCATCTCTGAATCCAAATTCCACGTAGAGATGAATTTTGGATGACCCAGTAATGGAATTGCCTGCATAATAAAGCAACAATTTTCAAAATGATGAAAGATGGTGAATCGTGATTTCATGAAACAAGCTTGACCATGTTTATGATGCAAAGAATGTGTTTGCTTGATCATTATGGTCCCTAAACAATTTAACATTGCTTAAACCTGTTGATAGAAGTAAATTAAATTGAAAGGGGCCGTTTAAGCAATTTAACATTAATTACAAATAAATTTGCTGGAGAAGAGTAAATTTTGTCACAAGGACGGTACATGTGTGCTGTGGAATGTTCTATTTCATACACGCGGATTAATGTGAGTCCTTAAAACAAACAGTGAATATCACATGTTTTTATAATGAAAGTTACAGAATCACGTGTGAGAGCATCTTACGGAAGAAGATTAAGAATAATTATACCTTAATACCCTTAATTATAATATAAATATAGACTAATCTTCATTTATCCATTCCGGTGGATGGGGAGAAAGAAATTAAAACGTGTGCCAACTCAACCCTTATGCTTAATGCAGCGCACTAATTAAGTGCAATTCATCCAGTAAAGTCTAAAACACGGTCAACGTGGAAATCCGAATTTGTATTCTATTTTTGCCGTAAATGGTCAAAGGAAAAGACACAAGTAAAAAAAAAAGGCATTTTGAGGTTTATTTGAATGCCAAGTCAGTAACAGAGAGCAGAAAAGGGGTATGAGTGCATGAAAAATGAAACAAAAAGAAGCTATTTGGGCGGAGTCATAAGGCATGCACCGTGGGACCCGGCACCGTTTCCTCCATGACGAGTCCAGCTCATGTTTTCAAACGCTCTTTTGGTTTTGTTGGCACCACATAACCCTCACTTTCTTTCTATCTTTGTCACCTCTCTCTCTCTCTCATACCCTTTCTTTTTATTAATACCCTTTTCTTCTTCCTCTTATATTTCATGACAAACACAACCGTTATTTTCTCTTTATATTACTCTTTTCTTTTCTTCTTACTTCTTCTCAAAATGATCAACTTGTTCAAGAAAAACATTCACTCCTTTCTCAGCTTCACCACAACTGACACGTGTCATGACCCCCACCCCCACCACTTTTCCATTTCGGGCCTGGGCCTCGTCACCGCCACCACCAACGTGGACCGCCCTCCCAATGTTCTGGAATCGGCCATGTTAAGGCCCAGTGGGACCAACACTCCTCCTCCGTCCACATCATCACCAACCGGCGAAAAGAGAGTCATTGGGTTCGCCGATGACGTTGGTGTCGACGGGTTGAAGTCTTGCACCGAAAGTTTAGGGTTTGAGAGTTCTGACGAAATTCACAGCAAGAACAATGGTGGAGGTGACGACGACGACGATGATGATGAGATTTGGCGAAGGAGGATGATGAGAGCGGAAGGAAGAGGAAATTGGAAGAAGGTGCGGTCGTTTCCGCCGCCGCTTCCGTCGTTGAATCGTAACGGTAAACCGAGTTTTTATCTCCGGCCGGTGAGGAAAGACGGAAGGTTGGAACTGACCGAAGTGAGAATAGAGCAATCGGAGATTCTGCATGCTTCGCGACATAACGGACGGTTAACGTTGCGTCTGATTCCAGATTACGAGAGCGTTGTAGAAGATGAGGAAGATGAAGTTGAAGTTGAAGAAGAAGAAGAAGTTGAAGAGTGGGTTGGGGAGTGGAGGTTCCGTGCAGAAGGTTTAAGGAAGTGTCATGAAATGGTGAACCATCATCATAATCATAGTCGTCGTCATCATCATCATGTTCATGGGAACCTGAGGATGTGTGAAATCGGCATTGTGTGACATTATTAGGGGGACACGTGGCGAGTGAGTGTTGATTTGGGACATGAGAGTGAGTGAATGATTCGACGTTGGAAAATTGTGCCCTTTTCGAGTGTTTGTGAGATGTGAATTTGTTTTTGTTCCGCTGCCAATTTTGGCTGAACAGAAAAGAGACGCTGCACGGAGCATGCGGTGTTGGAAAACGACAGTAGCAAAAAGCCCTCTAATTATGTAACTGCGTTCTGTATTCTTAAGCAGTGTGAAGAGAAAGAGAGTAGAGGCGAGGCCATGTGCCAATTTGAGACCCAGACAGATTGTACTGTGTTTATCAAATTTTGAAGTTTTATGTTAGAAAAGCAAAATTTTAACTTCTACTACAAAAGGAGACATTAACTTACCATTTTATTGAATTTTAAAGATGATTGAAACTAGCTCAAGTTTTCTTAAAAGGTCTGAAATAATTTGAAATTTCCTCATATTTGGAACTAAGTCTTAGAATAGAAATAAATATTATTTATTTTAGTAAGGTTTAAGAAATATCCAATTACATTAGTTATTTTCTCAAATATCTAATTTTACTAATATTATTAAACTAAAATACTCGTTTCCTCACACAAAGTATAAAACACAACCCCCCATTTGGGCTTATAAGCGAAAACGTCGACAGCAGGGTTCGAACCTGCGCGGGCGAAGCCCAACAGATTTCAAGTCTGTCTCCTTAACCACTCGGACATATCGACGATGTGTGAATAATAAAGTAACATTCAAATTAAGATGGTCATTAGTCTTTTGATTGTCTGACATCTAGGTTATTTACACTGATGTCCTGATTGGTTTGCCGGTCTGATTTTTCAATCGAATTGATCGATTTATTCTGGTTTTTATCCATGATTGAAACTCATCCCCATCACATCGTATTTGGCTATTAACTAGTACAAATTTATTTTAATTTGGTTTTGTACAAATAACCTAAAACTGTAGTACATGCGCTCATGGATACAAGGAAAAGTAGAAAATACAAATAAAAGAACAATGAGAATTAAATTTTCGTGATATTTGTGAGTGATAATTTAAGGTAAACGCAAAAAAGATAAATGAGAATTAGTCTATTTTTATAATAATTTGTAATAAATAATTAACTAAGCTAGCGTACACCAAACATGTTAAGGTAGCTAAGAAACAGGAATCACTCAAATTTACATTAATCTTCGCCATATGTGAGTATGCTACCTCAACCTATTCTTGACCAGAGCATGCAATAGCCCAGAATTAAAACCAGTAATCCACACTCAAGATCTCATCCTCGAGTGAACTCCTGGTTGTTTGTGAGTGGCTCCGTACGCTAAAAGATAGAACTCGAGATTCATTTAGTTGAGCAGCCTTGACACTTGGTCTTCCTCTTCCTGCTTTATGTTTCCACCGGAAACCATCTGAGAGTTAGATCATGCTCAATTATCCATTATTCTGCAACGATGCAGTAGGAGTCTGAATATATCCCAACTCTTCCAAGAATTTATTCAGCCTGAGTATACTCTAACAGCATGTGTGGAGAGCGGTAGATCTTAACAAGGGTCCAATACAAAACCTCTTCTACTTCAAGCTCTCCCCTTGCTCTTGCAGCATATATATCTTCACATATTGCCATCAATCTGCATCAATAAACACATTATTTAGGCACTTATCGAAACCATTGCCACCCACTTCGTTTAATTAACTCCTCGTTAAAACAAAAGGGATCCCATATGTGATGGACATTCATCAGAAGAAGGATTAATTGTTGAGCACCTGTCACAAGACGGAAGATTCTCATAAGGAACTCTCATTCGCAAGTCAGAACATTGTAATCTGATAAAACGTCCAACTGCAAGCACGAAGGTAATGTAAAGCCCCCAGATGCTGAACTTGCTGAGAGTTTCTCCGATAATGCCCTCTGAAACAGTAAGGACATTGGTATTAGTCAAGCTATTGATCAAATCTGAGGGGAAACAATGTTCTGCCTCTGACTCGGGTATGAGCTATTTACTAAACAGGTTATTGTATTAAAGTTTCAGTTGAGCTTACGAGGGGTTTCTTCAGATACGATTATAGCCATCGGTCCTGGGAACTTCCCACATCCATGTGTACCTGAGATATCAAGATCATAAAAGGACCACCACTCTGGATACCCGCGGTTAAGAACAAGATCCCCACTAACCAGCTCCACCTGCAAAGATCTTATTCCCATTATTTATCCGAGCCATAGCTAGTGAACTAAAGTAAACAGTCTAACCGAATAAAATTAGGTACATTTTTTGGTCTTTAATACACATTTATGTGTTGAACATACCGACTGCTCAAGGGACCGCACATCTCCGGAGCCTGTGACCCGGAAATATCTAGGGTAAATATTGAATACTGTGAAACTATTTGAAGTACCATTGAAAACTTCAGTCACTTGTGAAGATTTGGGAAGATCCTGCTCCAGTACGGTTAATTCATACTTCACTACTTCCTTTCCTTTAGGCCTATCTCTGATAAATTCCCAGGAGAAAGTAATGTCCATGTTCCCCCCAAGGGACTTAATAAACCTGTCCTGTACAATTGGTGGAACAAGCCACAATGTACTTGCATCTGATTGGCAGCAAATTAGTTGAATGTCTTTCTCGGTGTATTCACTAAGATAATCCAGGGGATCCAAACTTGTGCGGGCTTCAAGCTGTTCCCAAGATATCTTCTCGCACAAAGTAGTCTCAAACAATGTCAACCTTCCACTTGACGTCTTTATATCAACCCGAGCACTTGCATCTTTGATCGGGTTCGCGATATTTGTTGGGTTACCACTGCTGTACATCTGTCAGAAAAATGTAATTTCAAAGAAATGGTGCAAGTGGTAGCGCATAAAATAATTTGGAAAAAAAATGGTTCCAATTCGACATTATTATTGATCTAAAATTGGTAAAAGTAGCATTCAACAGACATGAGCTTTCTCTGTAAAATGACAAAAAGGCTTACAAGGTATTTGAAATATGTACAATCGCATTGTGACAGTCAAGACTTGAGAGTTTAAAACAGTATTATTTAGGTTGAACAGTTCAGTGCTACTTTGTTCCCAAAAATAATTTGTCGTGCACTCAGGCGAACAGGCATTCAGGGGAGAGAAGCTGTGCTGCTGATTTTATATATTTCTTTTCATCTAAAAGCTATGAAAGAATAAAATTATATCTTTTAGTTTTTTGGAAGTTATGAAAGGAATTACTTAAATTGAAGGATATTGGCTTCAGAGTTTTTCAAACTCATTCATTCCCATACTATTTTATTTATTAAATGAGACTCAAAATTGTACTTTTCTTATTTAAAAAGACACATATATATATATATATACACACATATATGGAACTGTGGTTCTTACCAGCATTGGAGCCCATATGACACACATTAACACAAAGAATAAACATATCCCATTGCAGAACTTCGTAATTTTTGTTTGCTTTTGTCCTTGTTGGTGGTTGGCTCTATTCAACTCCGCGTCACATTTGACAAGAAAAAGACTTGCATGAATATCTTCCAACTAGAAAGCAAGCTTAACTGTTAAAATTTGATAGATGAGGAAAGGAATACACACACTAACGGTGCCAGTAAGGGAATGTGAAGTAGCTTAAAGAAATGTTAAGTTCGAAAATATATGTAATAAGCGTTGTAAATATAAGTCAATGAGTGAAAGAGAGTTATTTGCTGGAGTACTAGCACATCAATATTAAGATGTTGGTTGACCAACAGCATCCAATGTTTCAGTTTAGTTGTATGTTAGTGAAAATTATTAATTAGCATCAACTATAAGAGATACTGCTATAACTTAAAAAAAAACACTACTGCTCACAGAAATGTTCATAAATTTCTCATTGCAAGTTGTTTTCCTAAATAGATGGTTGAAACACGAAAGAGAAAACAATATAATTTGTGACCTCAAAACCAGTAATGAAAATTAATCACCTAAAGAACCTCTGGGCATTATTATAAAAATCAAAAGTGATGAGGTTGCTGACTCTTAAGATTTAGAATATTTGGCTTTGTCTGAAAATGAACTGAGGAGTACACTTCCATCTTCTGTTTTTATGTTTACCCATAACTGCATATATTTAATGATTGGCTTAGTAGTAAAGTCTTTCAGGGCATGTTTTAGCGCGCGCGCGCACACAAATATATGTGCGAGAGATGAAGAATAAAAATTACACTAATATGACTAATATGAGTTACATCTATGTCCAACTACTATTATAACTATATATAACCTTGATTATTTGTGTTAAATTTTATCCAAATTAAACAAATATAAGGATATAATTAAATGTTTTTATCTTCATATATTTAAAAAGTATATATTATTTTAATTTTGATATACATGAAGAGGGATCAAATTATTTTGAATTAATTTAATATTTTTTAAAATATGATTAATATGATAGGAACTCTCAATCGGATGATTGAAAGTTATCTAATAAAAAGTTCATAATCGATATAAAAGTGGGGAGGAATATATATATATATATATATATATATATATATATACAAAGAAATGGAGACTGTTGACGACATACCTTCAGCCAGTCATACATAGTCAAAGATGTCTTTGTGCAAGACCAATCTAGCACGCATCTCAATTCATAAAGGAAAGGTAGAGCACGGTATAGTCGAAAACCTAAAACATTAATTCGTGAAACACTGCTGGTCAAAAACTGCCTGTACAAAGTGCTCTTGTGTGGAATCCCAAAATGCAGCTGTTTGGCTTGCAAAACCAGAGAAATTGTTTTTGTGAAATAAATGGCACGAAGCACTAGTCTTCCAGAATATCTGTGCAAAGGATCCATGTCCCAGGCATATTTTGTGACTGAATATGTGAAGAGAGCAAGGTTGAATAAATAGAAAATAACTTTTCCTGTTGCAAATGACCAGAGGTATATAATTCGATCAAGCACGATCAAGAAAAAGACAACCTGCAAGAGAAAGTTCTTATGCTGAGTAAGTAGGCAGAAATACAAATTTATTAACATGACAGACTCAAAAAGTAGATTTGGATCGATCAAGTGAATCAAACAGTGGAATATATGAAACCATGTCATCTTAAACAAAATAAAATGAATCACTTCGGCATAGAGAGTGACTAGCAAGGTTCTGAAACAATATGAATGAAAGTCACATAAACCTTTGGAAGTAAAAAACCTAGTGAAAAAAAATTAGAAGTGGCTGGTCAGTACTTCTAACCTTTAATTACTTGATTTTTTTTGTCTTATCCCATTGAATATTTGAGGCATAATATATACCAAATATTTTCCCCAAACATGTATTAAGAATCTATGATCATGTTCTGCAATATTAATGAAGCATACCCCCCAAAAAATGAAGAATGAAGGAAGATAAAGCTTCGCATCCAGTTGTAAAACTTTGAATTAACGAGTTTATAAATGTATTCCATCATGAATGGGAAGTCATATCAAGCTGAATGATCAGCCACTGGCATATCATCGGATGCATAATATCCGTAATAGAAATAAAACAAGACATCTATATCGTACACCCGAAAAAAAGAAAAAAAAAAAATTACCATGAGAACTAATACAAAATCTTCTGGGAACTGATCTTCAAGCTGATACACTTCAAGAAACTCGATGTTAGCTTTCCTAACTGATTCATAAAAAATGGCAATTAAGAAGAAAACAGCCAAATCAGCTCCAAAGATGTATGCATACAGATCAATTTCCCTTTTTCCACCGCCGATGACGGAAAGTATTCGATATGGAAACCCAATTTCTTTAAAAATGCCAGCACGTTGAGCTTTCCGAATCTCATTGGTTACATCTCCTGCTGGAGTTAATGAACTGTACCATTCTTCGGCAGCAAATTCAATTGGAGGAGAGGCATATAACACCTCAAAAACAACAAGACATAAGTTCTCGTTTTCTTCACCATTTTCAATGCTCTGTACACGAACCCTACTAGCCGAGTGCAAATTAAAATGCTTCTTCTCTCGGCATCTCCTCTTATGCAAGATCCTCAGCAACTTGTTTATTCTTGATTCAATTTTCTTTGGTTGAATTCCCTCTTTAGGCCACGAGTTAACTTCCATTGACAGCTGCACAAAGTAAGGAGGAGTTTCTGCACCCCATGTCAATGATTTCCAGTACCTACTGAGGCTTCTGATCAACAGTTTCAGTATATTTTTCAGTGGTAAAAATAATCTATGTAATCTCTCCAGGTAGGTGGAGCACTTTACATCCTCTATGTAGCTCTGATTTCTTCTCTTGCGAAAGCTGAGATCTACAGTCATCGTCCAACCACCATCCTTGACCGTTATGGAGGTTTGCAAGAGCGTGAATATATAAACCAGGAAAAATGGGAAGTTGCTTGTCACAAAAGCCGATGTTATTTTCTTTGCAGGAAATCCCAATTTTTGAAGTAAGCTCATATGGAATTCAAACTCAGTGTGTTGAATAATGATTTGATAGAAATACTGTAGTAAAATGCACCCTTCTGTATAGATTAGCATAGTAACCCAAAATATATAACCGGGACCAGTATTTTGACAGAGTGCATACAAGAAGAGTGCTGCTAGATAGACCACAGAAAGCAAACTGAAGTTCCATAGATATATTAGAATAAAGCAGAAATAGCAAACAACATCGTTATTGGACCTCATTCGTGACCACATGTAACGTAAAATAATTCCAATTTGGAGGTAAGCAGTATCAGGCACGGTATGCTCATGAACAGAGTGTGCGGAAAATGTAGGTTCCAGAAGTTCTGCACCCATATTCTGATTATCAATTTCAATCTCGTAGTACTCCTCATCCTCTGAAGAATCTTCAGTTGACTCTAGTTTTTCATGTTCTATCTTCAGATAGTTCATTAGATTGTTAACTGCCATATTTCCAAGAGACTGCACTTGAGATAATCCGCTCCCTATGAAATGTATAGCTGAAACTAGAGCATTTTTCCTGACCGGAAGTTTATAATGTTTGCTTCTTTCCAAATCAGAAAAATCATTGCCTTTAGTTCTTTCCTTTACTCCAACAATTCCATGAGGAGAATCCATTGGATGCTTCCAATATTCTGGTTTTACAGGAGTTGAAGATTTTTCACTCAATAGAGAATGATTCACACCAAATGGGCCTATTGACCTAGTACTTATATCAAGATCTTGCATCCTGAATTCATTATTCAAATCTAGGGAAGAGCTTCCTCTCTCTCTTAGGCCATCTATTTCAAGAGAAGCACTGCTACAGTTTGCTTTGGTGCTCATATTATGAAGCTGATTTTGAAGGTTTAGCATCTCTGATTTCATCTTTTCTACCTGCAAGCTTCGGAGATGCTTCAGCTCTTCGGCTTTACGTGTGTGCCGCAACTGAGCTGTTTTTGAAGCAGCTTTCTTCTCCTGCTGTCTCAGTATTGCACCTATCTGCTCTTTCTCAAGATATTTTGAAACATACTCAAACTCTGAAAATGAAAACATGTATGACTGTAGAGCTACTGACATGAATATTATGATTTCCACAAATGCAGATCTTGATGTAATTCGAAACCCATAATCATACTTGTGAAATCCAACCAATTCATTGATGGATTCTATTGAACCACGTTTGATTTCACTTAATTCTCCAACAAAAGGAGATTGATATGCAAGAGACAAGACAATAAGGACAAAATTGTACATCCTTAAGAATCGAAAAATTCCATTTCCCTGCTTTAGTATTTTAAGCCTCATGCGGAAGAAAACCAGAGCAAATCCAAGGTAGCCAAGATGCAGAATATCATATTCAAGAGTTCCTGTAATCAAAACCAATGAAAGAACAAAATCTAGCGAGTGACAGTAACCATAAAGCCTCAGGTGGTCAAGAAATGTCCAGTACCCTTTTGTTTCAAATGAAAGATCACTAAGTACAGAAGCTGACTTCCATTGAGAGAGTATTTTTTGATAAATCTCTAACCCAGTGAGACTAGTTGACTGGTCAGCACGGAATTTGAAACATGAAAACATGAAAACCCCGTAATACCAAATTAGCATACGAGGATCATCAATAATAATTCCTGCAGTAAAGGCATTTAACGTAAATTATTTGGGAGAAGTTATCACATGAGAATATTACAATTAATGCATCTTGAGTTATAAGCATTCTCTAGTGCCAAAAACAGGTTTCAGGTTTGTTATACTTGATACACATTACCCACAAGATATATACCTGATACCAACTATCTGAACACACACAAAGACACTAATTAATGAAGGGATACCTAGCCAACATTTTTTGCAGCAGCTAAAATATATATCGGATACTCTCCAACAGTCATGACATGGTACTTGCTCTTCAACCTGTTGGTTAGTAAAAGTGAGGTGCATCCAGATAGCCAAGTATTCAATAGTGACGATGGAAGCAAATAAAAGAACAAAAACAGGCCATAATTTTTTATTAAGTAGCCGATGAAGAAGAACACAAGCAGCAAGTGATGCTATATAGAGCAAGGAGAAGGCATTCAACACAGCAAAACTAGCCAGAAGCAATGCAATCATGTTGATTTCAAGACCAAACAAATTGAACATATTCTCTATCCAGAACTTCAAAGACACTCTTAAAACAGTCTTCTGCATCTCCATCCTCTCTTTTCTCAAGAAAAGAATTCGTTTTCTGTTCCACTTCAAACTATCCTTGGAACTCTCCCAGAAATGAAATCGAAAGTTTTTGGAACTGTCAATTTCAAGCCCTGATTCTGGCCCTTGGGATGATGGAGTATTAACTGTTGGCCATGAATGACTTCTGACACCTCGTTTAAATGTTGGTGAAGTGGAATTCTCCATTTGTTTGCTTTGTGGAGTACAGGTAGTAGTTTCATTAGGAACTTCTTCTGGATTGAACAGAGGACAAGGTTCGTTCCATTTTTCTCCATTTCCGTTAACATGTCTTTTCTCCAACCAACGAAAAACATTGTATTGAAGAATGCATGCAACAATAACCACAACCTTTCCCCTCAACCCCGATTCTAAACCTTTAAAACCAGGCTTATACAACTGTAAACCCATAAATAAGGATAATTGGGAGTGCTCTTGACCAGGGAACATCCCAGCCTGATCTCCCCACATCTGGAAAAGATATTCAAGCATTATAAGAACTCCTGAATAAACTAGAAATACTTTTGCAGGGATCTGAGACAACTTTGGTAATCTTGAAAAATTAATTAGACCAAGAAGATACAGAAAACCAAATGCACTTATAGGCGATAAGGATGCATAAAATAGGGCAAGAGATAGTATTTTCTCAGCATGCCGAATCAAAAGACGGTTGGCAAAAGCAAAAGGTTCTATTTCTGATGCATCATTGTCACTTGATCCTGATCTTTTGCTCTGCCTCCTTTCATAGCTATATAGCTGCATCACTACCAATACAGCTAAGGATTCCCAAATATTTTGGAACACGGAAGCTGCCGGGTCATAGCCAAATGCAGTTTGAAGATCAATGATTCTGGGAAACCACATCTCTGAGCTGGAAAAGACACCAATGCTGTAAATGGAGACAAACACCACTATAGCATACACTTTCATAGGATACCAAAGATGCTTTCTTGTTTTCCCCACAAGTTGTCGTCCACTAATCCACAGTAGAAGAAAGAATAAGTAACCAGATGAAGCATAGTTGGGCGTGCAAAAGTATACACTGAAGAGAATTGTCAAGAAAGCAACGTATTTGCCACATGACCGATAAACAGAGAGGAAATTCTGTCTTATGACCTTCAAATAGGATATAGTCGTCCCCTCTGAATCATTAAATTGAATGGTAAGAATATTGACATCCAGTTTTGGAACAGTTTTGGCTAAATATGTAGCTTAAACCAATCAAGTAACAGAAGGATAAGCATTAATCTTAAGAAAATAAGGAATTTAACTAGCAAAATAAAATGAGATGGAAATCCTAGGGCATAGTCAACATTGACTGGAGTTTTACCATGAGTTTCTTGGCTCTCACTAGATGTTGGACTAAAACCAGATAAACGAACAGGTTTTATCAAGCCAGCTCTCAAGATGCTAAATCCAACTGGTTGGCAAGATGTTTGCCGCACTATAGCTGAAAATAAAAGGAGTGTTTGCAGCCCATGATTGTGAATTGCACAGAAGCAAGCAAGAATTGATACTTCAAATAAATCCACTGAATGGATATGATTAAGCAGGCCTGCAATATTCACAAGAATAATATCTCATTGAATAGAATGACGGTGTTGAAGGTAAATGCAAATTGCAAATTTGCATCACAAAAGGGCAAACAGATGTCTAATAAGCATAACAAAAGTTTTTTTTTTTTTTGCCAGTACATAGGCATACAAAAATTAATTCTTACATTAGAAAAATTACCTAATTGTGAGAGAATTTTAAAAGCATATGAACCCTTTTGGTGCAAAGCATTGGAGATCAGATCAAGTCGAAGAATGAACTGAAGTGCAAAGTGTGCCTCACACAAAAGGATAATAGCTTGGCGCAATTTCCAATTGATAGCATCGCTTAGAAGATAAATCAGAAAGAAAATCACTGCACATGGAAAGAGTAAGCAGTTAACAATTTAGGAACACTGGTACTACACTCTCAAACTACTCTAGATAATGTTTCAACGAAAGTTTCAATTTGATCCCGAGTCACTTTAGAACTCGTCACACTATAAATAAACAAGAAATTGCCACATCATTATAGTGACTCATTTTTCACTTGATTTAAGAACTTGAGTTATTTAAACAATTAGAACCTCATGGTTCACTGGTATTTCTAAAAATTTTTATATTAAGGGTGTATCAAAACTATTGAGAAAAGAGAACAAGAAACATATGATGAATCCATGTATTTTAACTACACACCGAAACATATATTTATAATACGAACTATTAATATAGAATAAAAAGTTACTATAATTACAAAAATATTATTTTTCCTATTTATAATATTATTATAATTACATAATTTTAACACTCCTCTTTAAGCAAAAACATATAAATCATATATACCAAGTTTGTTGCATATATAACTAATTCGAGGATTTCTTAAAAGCTTGGTATAAACATCTATCAGTTAATCGTGAGAATTTACAAAGATAGTTGAAGTAGTGATGTCTTTAGATAAAATCTTTTATCTAATGAAGTGATAGTTTATCTTAGTGTGTTTAGTCTACGCAATATGTATAGTTGCATGATTATCACAAATAAATGTCATCTTTCTAACTTCTCCAAATCTCAATTTTTTGAGTAGTTGTTTGAGTTATATAAGTTCATAAGTAGCTAAAGTCATAACTCGATATTCTGCTTCTACACTAGACTTTGTAACTACATTTTGTTTTTTGCTTTTCCAGGAAACTAGATTTTCACCAATAAGGATGCAATAGCTAGATGTAGACCTCTTATCACTAGATGATCCTCCCCAATCTGCATTTAAATACCCCACAACCAAAATATGTCCTTTATCTTTATATAAAAGACATTTTCCTCCTTTAATATATTTCAAAAATGCGGATTACTACATCTTAATGTCTATCACGAGGAAAGTTAAGGAATTAACTCACCACACTAACTGCAAAAGAAATGTTTGGACAAGTAACTATCAGATAGTTTAATTTTTCAACAAGTCTCTTATATCTTTGGGGATCTAAAAGTTGCTCCCCTTGACTTGGCAAAAATTTGGTATTAGGATCCACAGAAATATCAAAAGGTTTGGCCCCTATCAATCATGTTTCCTCTAAGATATCCATTCCATGCTTTCTTCGAAAAATTACAACACCATTTTTGGATTATGCTACTTTAATTCTTAAAAAATATTGAAATCTACCAAAATCTTTTGTTTGAAAGTGCTGACAAAGGTGTTGCTTTATCTGTTCAATGGCATGATGATCACTTCCTGTAATGACAATGTCATCTACATACACAATTAAGTAAATATAACCTGAGGTTGAATAACGATAAAAAATGAAGTTATCTACTTCACTTTGAGTCATGCCAAATCGTTGAACCACTATGCTGAATCTACCAAACTATGCCCTTGAAGATTGTTTGAGACCATAAAAGAATTTTCTGAGACGAAAAACAAATCTTGAAGATTCTCTCTGAGTAACAAATCCAAAAGGTTACTTTGTAAATTTTTTCTTCAAGATTACTATGAAAGAAAACATTCTTAATATTAAGCTAAAAAAGATACTAATGACAAATAACAGCCATCGATATGAGTAGACAGATGTCATTGTGGCTATTGGAAAGAAAATGTCATTGTAGTCCAAACCAAATATCTATGTATAACCTTTAGCTACCAAATGGGCTTTTAGGTAATCAATTTTACCATAAGGACCAACCTTAATTATATAGATCCACCTGCAACCAACAAGAGACTTTCCAGAAGGAAAAAGAATAAGGTTTCAAGTACTACTATTCTAAAGAGTACACATTTCATCAATCATTGTTTGTTTCCAACCAGGATGTGAGAAAGCATCACCTATGGAGTGAAGATTAGAAACAAAGGACAAGGAAGACAAATAAGTATAATGGGAAGAGGACAACTGTTGATAACTCAAAAAACACAATGAGAAGAAGGATTACGAGTAGAGTATATATCTTTACGAAGAGTAATGAAAAGTTCAGTGTCAGGAGACAAGTCCAAAGGAGAGGATGATGGGTGGTACCAGAAGCGATTTAAAAATTGGACCAGCAAACATTGGTGGTACATAGAGGGGTTGTCGATGGTGATATACCTACAAAGAGCGCGAAGGAGGTGGTGCAGCAAAAGCATGAGATAGTTCTGGTGGAACATAATAAAAAGGCACAAAAGTTAGAACAGGAAAAGCAGGAGACTCAAAGACTAAAACAAAAGGACTAGTTGTAAAGAAAGGAACATATTCAAAGAAGATGACATCAATCAAAACTAAATAGTGACGAAGAGCAAAAAAGTAACAATTATAACTTTTTTTAAACCTAATGTAACCTACAAAAACACATTTGTCAGATCGTGGTGAAAGTTTATCAAGCTCGGAACTAAGGCCATGAACAAAACAGGTAGACCCAAAGAAACTGTTGATACGAAATAAGAAGTTACTATAATTACAAAGAGACTACTTTCCCTATTTATAAATTACTATAATTATATAATTCCAACAAAAACTTTTTCCTAAAAGAATTGATAAAAGGTGAACCAACATCTTATGCTTACAGAGAATACAAATAAGAACGTTTCCTCATTAACAGAATAATAATACCCTGATATATAGATAACAAAGGTGGAAACTGTTAGCCATTGAACTTACTATAAACAGCATGAATGAGACCAGGTCTTATTGCAATAAGAAATATCAGTATCAACACTATAGTATGTGAGCACTTGCGTAGTCCCCATGCTATTGTAGCCACAACTAATAAAGTAGTCTCTTCTTCATCTAGAAATTTCACAACAAAAACAAATGAACAATAACTTTTCAACCTAAACACAGCAAAGGGCATATATTTTTATATATTAGAGAAACAGTCTGCAGAGATATAACACATAAGGCATGCCAAAATATTCCAGGATATTTGGGCAGCCAATACTAAGTTAAATTTAGAAACTTATATGGGTGAAAGCATTTTTTTTTCCAAAGGTTTTGGTTTTTACATAGAAGGGGTGCCATGCTAAAGATGAGATTTATCTAGGAATTTTTTTCCAAAGGTGTGAAACATTTCTTAACACGACACTATTATTTTAAAAAAATATGTGTTAAGCGAAACAAATGATTTCAAAATGTGCCAACGATGCCTGCGATTCCTTAGTGAAATCAATATTCTGAAAGTGACAACAGACATAAAATTTAGATGTGTTTCATAATTGGATTTAGTCCACCCAAAGCTATTAAAGCATGCTTTTTTTTTCAAAATAAAACAGCCAATGTTATGCACCTACCCTAGCACAGATTTCAAAATATTTTTTAAAATAAGTAAATTTAACCGTGGAGCTTGTATTCATCATTTCATCAGATTTCACTAACAAGAAGTACATGGTTAAGCACTGGAAAACCATAATTTCACACAGAAGCACATGTCTGTTCAGACTATCGAGTTCTATCACCTTCCACAACAGATTCACCAGCTGTTAATTGTCCTTGATCAGTAACGCATAATAACACTGAATTGTTTACAAGATTACACATAGCAACAAGAAAACCAAGACCAAATTGAGCCAGCAAATAGTATCCTGGGATAGAGTAATGCCACAAGCCTATAGTTTCCCATATCTCCATATCCTACAATTGAGTAACTAAAGATGTTAATAAAAATTATTTAATATAATTGTAAGATCTCCCAAAGCCACCGGCAATGTGTACCTTCCATGGTTTGTTATTGGAGACAGTGAAAGCAACATTGAAGACATATGTGCTGGTTGCCCAAAACAGAATGAAAACAAGAAGCATGCCATTTAATTGGTGCAATCGAAACATGGAAGGGAAGGCATACAAGATGTATCCCACATAACCAAGCAATCCAAATGAACACAGACTTGCAAAGTGGAAAGTCCAGAATGATAGGGCCAGCAAGGAAATCTGCCAGGTGTGCCAAGTAGCGCAATTAATCAACTCATAAAAGCTCTGTTATGTATCAAGTGGTGTCACACAAGAAAGGAGAGGGGGCTCAAAAGAAAACACTAGATAACATGCTCAAGTTGTTTGGGGATATCATAAAGAGTTTTGCATGTTTCAAGTGTTTATATCTGTATGTGCAATACATATTTCTCCCATGATAAAAAAAATAAAATAATAAAAATACAATTGTCACCATGACCTTGGAAGCCACAATATTTACTTGTGAACAGTCATTGCAGAAAAAGGACAAGGCAATTCTGACTTTGCATCCTCTCTACCTAGAACCCTTGCCATATCCTGCTATAGCCAGATAAATAGTTGCATGGTCCCACTAGCAACTTGAATCTATTGGTGCCATCTTTTAATTGATAATAAAGGATAGAGGATGAGATCATGGTTAATCAACCCAGTGTAAATGATTTCTAAACACCTATTTAATTTTCTTACCCTTACAAACCAATTTTTTACCTACCAAAAAAACGGATGAATGCCTATTCATGTTTAGAACAATTTATGTTAATTTGTATATGCATATGTCATACCAAACATTGGACACTAATGTTGCACAGGATTTTAGCAATTAAACTATCGGCTGATTAAAAAAGATCAACAAAAAAGGATATGGCAAGGGTACCGGAAAACCATATGTTAGAAAGTTAATACTAAATGTCCGAGACACAGCTCCTTGGAATAAGAAATTGGTATGCCTCACATCAGACCTGTCAGAAAATTATAAAACCAAGAGATAAAACAAATAAAATATTGTTAGAGTTTCTACCCACAAAATATAAAATCAAAAGGTTCAAGAAGCAGCAGATTTGATAGAGGACACCTAATGACTACATTCATTAGATATTTTATAAACGATCATCAAACATAAGACTGGTTAAATTTTGGATAATGAGTTAGAAACCAAGATGGAAAGGCATTGGGATTGACCAGATAACCAAGCAAAAAAGGGCTCAATAAACTATTATATTGACAAAAGTGTCCAATTCAAGCATCTTGTCATATGAGAAACTTCGTACCCAAAAGGAGGAGTAATTTAAGTATTTCATCCACAACATATTTAAACTATTCTGCTGTATACATGCAAAAGAAAGAAAAGAGGGAATTAAAGCCAAATAAAGAAGTATTTTTTACAAAATTAGATCCTGCTGGCTACATTCACATCCCACCCATTTGTCAGTCTTAAATCATCTTATTAACATTGTTAGTATCATCTCCTCATAGAAACTCAAGTGAATTACTGCATGATGAAGAGAAAAGAAATGTCATATTGAGGCACTAAAACCAGAGCATCATCATTGCAAATTTGCAACAAGTTCAGAACTTCATTGTTTAAAAGGAAAAGGAAAGAAAGAAGGATCAAATGAGGAAGATGCCTAGTTAATTACCTGGATTCTATAACAAAATAAGAATGCATTTTGGGAAGAAGCTGCTCGGTCAAGTCAATTTCTCTTGTTGATTTGATGATTTCCATTTCGGCCAGCTCACTTCTAATCCAAGATAGCTAGAAGAGGGAATAAATAAAGATCAATGACCTAAACTAGAGGAAATCATAAGAACAAATAGCAGAAATACACATTCTTCTCTGCTAAAAACTTGTACTAAAACTCAAGAAAGCTATCCATGACCGAGTTTAAGTTTATCTAAATCAAAAGGCAACAGAATTATATCGTGTGTATGAGCTGATTTTCTCCATAATCTAACACACCGTGCTGATATTCAATCCTAGGGAGAATGACATTGGGGTCATGGCTTAGGAGAAGCAAGTATAGATGGTAAATCAGTTATAGATTTTCCATTAGCTTGTGACTTCATGATAACTAACACTTGTTTTAGAAAGAGGTAGGAGCATCTTCTCACTTACAAAAATAGTGTGACATTTCTTAAATTGATTTCTTCTTTTTTTACGAAAATTGAATAGAAAACTTTGCCAGGACCACAAAATGATACCTAGGAGAGCCTAACTACTATGTAAGAGTTGGGAAGAGAGCAAGGAGGAAAGTCATCACAAAATTCCAAGGATCAAGTGGTGGCAATTGAAAGCCAAAAAATAAAGGAGCTTTCAGTGAAGAGTTATAGAGGAAGGGTGTTGATAGACATAAGGAAGTGCAAATGATAAATGGGACAAGATGGCAAAAACAATGAATAAAATGACAAAAGAATGTTGGTGGTGGGATGCAAGAACGCAAGTTAAGCTTAAACAAGAATATAAAGCATGGTTCTTCAGGTAAGAATGGTGAAATTTGGGAAAATGTATGGTAACTAAGAAAGATACCAATAAGGCAATGAGTGAGACAAAAGTTAGAGCTTTTGGTGGGTTATACCAATCCTTAGGCACCAATGAGTAAGAAAGAAAGGTATTTACAAGCTTGCTAAGAGTAGAAAAAGAAAGTCAAGAGCCTTGGATCAAATGAAGTGCATAAAGGATGAGGAGGGTAAGTTGCAAACATAAATGACATATATATTATAGTATAATTTTAGTTGAACATGTATAAAATTCCGCATGAAATAAGCTAAACTTGCAACAACTTGGTGTAAGTTGCATTCAGAAATTTTATTAATAGGTAAATCTTTGAAAATCACACATATTTTAATTCTCAAAAGAGTCAACACAATCATATTAATGCAGTTCACACCCCTTCCCCTCCACATACACACATAATGTTAAATAATTATTTTATTATATGTTGCGCATTTTCCTGAACAATAGAACAGTGTTATGGGCACATTTGATATTCTTACCATAATGTAGAAAAGTAGAAGTGAAAGACCAGAACAAACTTCTGACCATTCTGACTTTGTAGAAAGTTTGAACAGCCCAACATGGTAAAAGATCCACCTAAAGGTCTCTGGGAATTCAATAGGAAGTTGATTCATATACAACAAAATGATATTGAAGCCAGCATAAAACAGAAGGAATCTCCACCACCTACAAGTTCATAAAACTAGAATTGGTGAACTAAATAAATTCAAATTGTAATTTCTAATGTAACAACAAATAGTATTGCAATAATTATTTTGCTTGAGGAGGAGGAGATCACCGAAAGATGCCAAAATAATTGCTTGTCAATGACCAATCGACGAGCCCTACACAGCTACAAATGAAAAAGGGCAAAGAAACCAAAGATACATGACTAATCCCTGCAATTAATTGTATAGCAGGCAACAATAGGTAGCAAAGGCCCTTGAGACGAGATCCTGCAACCCAAAAACCAACATCCATTTATAATTATTACTTAAAAGACTAGGAAATCAGCTTGTTATTCAACTGTTCACAATTTTTTGTTAACAATATAATGCAACTTAATGAATTCTTCTCTTTTAAAAAATTCTTTTAATAGAATGGAAAGCAACGATTAAACTCCTAACCGCTCAACTGTTAAGATTATGATACATGTCAAGGAAGCAGTCATCCTCAGAGCCTGACAATAGAGAAAGGCTTTTATTACTATCTCTAAAAACTAGTTTTATGACAAACCTTTTCTTTATTTAGAAAAAAAAAAATATTTTATCGGAGAGAACAAGTCTAAAACAAAAAGGGATAGATTAAACCATCCTTGAAAAATGAAAACAGAAAAAGAACATAAAAACAAGACAAAATATAAACTAGAAATAATCAAGAATGCAAAAAGTCCTTCTGTATATCAGTAATGTTAGCTCTCTTTAAACAGACATGAGCAGAGCACGGAACAGATTTTATAAACACAACCCTATCCCAAAGCAAGAGTAAGAGCACGGAGAGAAGTTTTGATGGCAAACCTATCTTGACAACAGAAGAACGCAGATGCTCCGAATGAAAATCTCTCCATGCATCTAGACCAAACCAACTTCCATATATTTCAAGTAGAGAAAGGAAGGTTGCTAACACTTGCATGACCAAAAAACACTCTATAGAAAAAGTCCTCCAAGACTGCACTCTGCAAACCGTTTCATACAGTATTTATAATGTATTCTGAATATTGATACACTGAGAAGAAAACTTCTATAGTAATAAAAGGGTAAAACCAAAAGACTGAGAAAATTCACGTGCCTTATAAATCCAAGTAGCTGAGCCCACTGAGCATCAGCAGTACTCCACTGATCCCCCTCAATGGCCAAAACAATATGAAAAATGGCATGCGAGAGTAGTATCAGGGCAGATAATATTAGCCCAGACCATGATATCAAATATTGTTGATGGAAGCGAGACCCTGTTGAAAAAGGTTCATTACAAGAAGAAAAGATAGTAATTATTAAGCACCTAGAATAATAGAAAAGCACTATCGAGTGATGAAATGATAGAAACAGAATTATAAATCAGAGTGTGTACCACTAATTTCCTGATTTGACACCAAGTTTTTAAAGTATAAAATAGAAAAGGCAGAAAAAATCAATTGCGCATAAATAGATAGCAAGGATCAGAGAAAACTTCTCACCCTTTCTAGAAGCAGTGTACTGAATGAAAAGGAATGCTATCAAATCAAGCAAAGATATCAAACTCCAGTTAACTATGGATGCTGCATGAAACAGAGAAAAAGCATCAATTGCAATTTTGAGCGGTATAGTTGAGGCAAAACAAAGAGAAACAACTTTGGACAGCCATGAAAAGAACTTCATGTGAATTCAAGCAATCCTGCTTAAACATAAGATGGAATCCCTCATGTGTATGTGCGCGCGCATGCGCATTGTAAGATAATACTCTGTTGCATTTTTGTTTTCAATTAAAAGCACACCGCCCAAACTCATCATACTTACACAGTTACAGAAAACACTGAGGTATGAGCTTATGACAACTTGAATAAGCATCGACAGTGTGTTTCATTTGAAGATTGTTATAGCTGCTTGCACCGTTTGAAGGCAAAATTCATATAAAATTAGTTACTATTATATGACACACAATCCTAGAGCCGCAGTATAAAGCACCTTTCATCTAGTAAAAAAATATGATACACATGTAGCAAACAAAACCATAACATAGCAATTATAGCTTCATTTCAAGTATTCAAAATCGAAAAATAAGGATTAAAATATTAGGCACATTTGGATGGTAGGATCAACAAAACGAAACGCTAATAAAGTAAAACGGTGAAGCAAACCTGTTAGAAGAAGCATAGGCAATGCGAATCCAGTAATGAACCTCGCCATTACCACCGTTTAAGATGGAAAACTGTCGTCAGTGACTACATAATAAAGCGATAGAACCGAATCCACGTGTGAAACACTGAAAGTAAACGTGAATAGCTTTTCGCTTCTGGTGACAATGTAAAAGGCGATAATCGAAACGAAAAACGACGCCGGAGCTGCAGAGCAAAACAGATACAGAAGAGTGAAGAAGAATGATGTCAGATTCAGAATGAAGGAATGCGAATGGATGAGATGAGGAATGAAGATTCGGGAGAGAAAGTGGCGTTGAGATTTGAGACACGACGAAACCGTGTTCTGCGCTTACGCTTTGTTGATTCGTTACTGGGCAAAAACTCCGTGTGCTCAAGTTTTCCTTCCTTTCCTGAATTGGAGGCAACTGAATTTGTTCACTCAAAATCCACGAAGGGTAACTTCGGTATTTCACTCTTCCAGCATTTACTACCCATGCAGGAAGGGGGAATGGACACAACGAAATATATTATAGGAAACCCGCCAACACAATTTTTAAAGCATTTTTTATTATTTTTGTTATTAGTTAAAATTTATAAAAAATTATCTAAATCTTATTCTTATTCATTCTTAATTTAATATTTTTATAAATTTTAATTAATGATAAAAATATATTAAAAAATGTGTTACAAACAATGCCATGACTAAATTATCCGTGAGTAGAATGCCAGACAGAACCAATGACAATGCTTCTTACGTTATGCCTTGCGATTCACGCAACTAAGGGGTGAGTTCAAGATATACGCATGATCGTATGTATGACTATGGTTAGGTGTATTTGGCTTTCTTTGAAGGGGAAACTAACTTAAGTAACATTTTGAAATGTGATTGTGTTTTATCGTTATAGGATAAAACAGTGCGCTGAGATTTCATCACGAGTTAAGAATAAGGTAAGAATAATTGCTGTAATAGAATATAAAAAAATTTAATAACAAATTATACAATAAAAAAACTTATTGTAACAAAGTGAGAAGAAAAGGCTTCAATTTTTTTAGAATGATTAAGAGGAAGAGTGTTGTGTTTAAAGGGAGGGGAAAGTGATGAGTGAACACGAGTGTGAGTAAATATGGAAAAAAGGATTAAACAAGGAGAATGAAAAAACAATAAAATTAGTTGAGAATATGGTGTGTAATTATAATAAATTTGTACAAGGAAGGAATGAAACTATTTTTATTGGAGTCATGCGTGCTACAAGTTTTCAACTAATTTAAAGTTATTTATTTTGTTTTATAGTTTGTGTGTTTTATCCTTCCAAGGTGGGGGCGTAGCTCATATGGTAGAGCGCTCGCTTCGCATGCGAGAGGCACGGGGTTCGATTCCCCGCGTCTCCATTTTCAACAATTTATTTTAGTTTTAGTGTATAAATATAATAATAATAATCTTATTTTGGTAACTACATCACATCAGGTTGATGATTTGTGAAAAGAAAGTTTTGCTAACTAATTTAAAGACAATTATAATGCAACATATAATGTTCTTTATAATTCCAGGCTCAACACGAAACACATATAAATATTATGTTTTTTTTTGTGTATTGAATAGATTGTTTATTTTCAATAAATAAAAAAATATAAAATATCGTTATCGTCAAATAATAATGTTATTGTGTATTCTGAAGAAAAAAAATTCTGAATATCAAAAGTATGCTTCTCTTATACGGGTATAATCAAGGTCGAGTCGGGTATTAATGGTTATTGGTGGTTGGTGGTTCCTCAATAGCTGCTCACTCCTATTTGTTTAGTTAATTATTTTTCTTATTAAAAATATAAAAGTATAACAATTATTTTGAATAATTTTACAATTAAACATGACAGTATAAAGGCGATATTAATAATTAAAGGGAGATATTTTTACCCATGTGAATGATATTAAGAGAGAGATAGAGAGAGAGGAGAAATGGGAAAATGACAATCGCTAAAACCTCAGCGAGTAGCAGTTGAGGAAAGCGTGGGTGTGTAGAACTAAAATCAGTTACATGGCAATGGGAAGGCAGAGGGAGAGAGTGAGAGGAGTGTTGCCCAAGAGAATAATACTGGTGCGTCACGGCGAGTCGCAGGGGAATCTGGACACCGCCGCGTACACAACCACCCCCGACCACAAGATCCAGTTGACGGCGGAAGGCATTGCGCAGGCACGCCTTGCCGGGGCACGTATGCGCCACGTCATGGCTCGCGAGGGGTCTCGGAATTGGCGTGTCTACTTCTACGTGTCACCCTACGCGCGCACCCTATCCACGCTCCGGGAGATTGGTCGATCGTTTTCCAAGAAGCGCGTGATTGGCGTGAGGGAGGAGTGCCGCATTCGGGAGCAAGATTTCGGAAATTTTCAGGTGCCGGAGCACATGAACCTCATCAAGGAAACTCGCCAGCGCTTCGGCAGATTCTTCTACCGCTTCCCCGAGGGCGAGTCCGCCGCTGACGTCTTCGATCGCGTTTCGAGTATTTTTTTTTTCTTTTGACTTTATTATTGGGTTCATTTTTAGTACTTATTTCGTAATATAATTTGATTTTATTCAAATACTTCTATTAAATTTGTTAAGTTAATAAAGTAGTTAGTTGATAAAAATCGGTCTTAAAATTTGATTGCTAGAAATGATACAATAAGATGTGAATATTGGGTAATAACAAGATATGATAAGACTTCTTCTGTGCATACCAAAATAGCATTGGATAGATTATGTATATTTTTAATCCAAATCATTTTATAGGATAAATTATATTAGAAGGTAAGATAGAAAAAACAAATAGGATAAAGTTATTATATTTTATTGGCTAAATTAAACATTAAAATTACTATAAGAAAATAAAAGTTATCATGTTCTATCCTCTTGTTAGTAAGTAAAATTATTCCTAATACATTCCAGTATAATTGGAAAAAAAAATATAATTTTTTATATCTTAAAGTGAGAAATAATATAAAACATGGGGAGTAATTATCTATCCATGTGGTGTTAATTTTTGAATGTTGTTTGTTTGCAGGTTTCCTTGAATCTTTGTGGAGGGACATTGACATGAACAGGCTTAATCATGATCCTTCTGATGATCTGAATTTGATAATTGTGTCACATGGGTTGGCATCGCGTGTTTTCCTCATGAAATGGTTCAAGTGGTCTGTTGAACAATTTGAGCTTTTGAACAATTTTGGGAACTGTGAGTTTCGCGTGATACAGTTGGGGAGTGGTGGAGAATACAGCTTGGCAATTCATCACACAGACAAAGAACTGCTTCAATGGGGTCTCTCTCCTGATATGGTAGCTGATCAGAAATGGCGAGCTCATGCCAGCAGGGGTGCATGGAATGATCAATGTTCATGGTACCTTGATGCTTTTTTTGATCATCTTGCCGATTCTGATGATGAAAATGTGGATAAACAAGATGAGAATAATTCTTTGACTGTTCATTCTTAGTGTTGGAATTCATATTTAACATTCACTAGACAATTTTGATCAAAGAAATTTTCATTTCCAAAATAGAAGAGGAAAATTAAGAAAGAAGAGGATGAGGTGATAATAGGTTGTTCCTTGCTAGTTGGCATCTCTACTCACTTATTCATCATCATAAAACTCATCCATTTGTGTGATGCATAATGCATGCATCCTGTATTATACATTATGATAGAATTTAGAAGAGCATGAATATATTTATGTATATTGGACGCACTCAGTCAACGTCGCTTGGTGTGAAAATTTCTTCTGAATTTGTGCTGAATTTTTGTTATTTTTATGTCAAATAAACACGGGAAACTATGGAGAGCATAAAAGGGTGAGTGAAAAATTGAGGTCATGATATCTAGTTGTGAAATTTTCTTACACATTCCGTGCGACACCTCAAAAAGATACCAAATACTTCAGATTTCCTTTTTTTAAAAAATAATCTCTGGATTAGAAAGAAAAAATTTTAATTTTTTTTTTGTTGCGAAACATATTTAAGAAAAACATCTTTTAAGAATAAAAAAATATTTTTTCTAAAAATCAGAAAAGTTAATTTTAAAAGTTTATTTTAAGAAAATTTTGAAAAAACTTTTAAATTAACATGATCTTTAAAACTAAAATAAGTTCAAAAGTAATTTACTTGTAAGAAGATATTAACACCATACAATGTCTGTTTAAAAAATGATTATATTAAATTAATTATATAAATTTATTTTAATTTTAAAAAATATTTATTTAACTCTTAAATAATAATTATTTTTATTTTTATTGTAGAAGAAGAAAAATTAATTATTAAAATGTTAATTGATATCTTAAAAGGAAAAAATTATTTTGATTTGACAAGTACACTCTCGTTCTTACGTATCCCTAAGTGTAATAAGAAACTCAAAGACACGTAGTTCTATTATGAAATTATGAAATTAATTGATTAAAATTAAGTTTAGTAAAAAAGATTTATTTTGAGATTAATTTATAAAATAATATTTAGAATACGAGATAACACGATTATACATGTATCCTACGAGAAATAATACAGAAGCTAAAGAAATATCACACAACTATATTGCAAATCATTAAAAAAAATTATTTGTAAATGAAATATTTAAATTTATATTTTTAAATTATAATTAACGTTGAAAATTTAAGATAACGTAAGTTATATGTTCCTGTTAAGGATACAATGGTCTTCTATGATTTCTTCTTCTATCCTATATCGTGACGTCCTCGCAGATATCTCAAATTCTTCTTTACTTAACATGGGAAGAGTACCTACAAAAGACATTCCGATGATAAAGTAAGTGTCAGTTTATGCAATAAATGATATTTACTATTCAAAAGTCAACTTTTTTACCTATACATCTTATTTTCCTTTTATAGATAATATATTGGGCTAATTAGCTTCATGACTCAATTCTAACTTTAACCCTCTAATTATATAAATAATTAATGATATTTATTTTTAGTCTTTTTAATCATTAAATTAATTAATTTATTTTAACCTGACTATAGAGATATTTGTTCTATATGTCGAAGGGGTATTTGGATTCCTTTTTCTGTCATAATGTCCGTGTAGTATCTTATCCAGTACACTATACATAAATCTCTTATAATTTATTGGGTAATCGAAGGTAATGTAAATTATACATTGATGTTACAAAAAATTTCATAATAAAATTACGTAATAAAATGTTTTGTTATTTAATTTATCTGAATTAGAAATATGACTCAAGAAAATTAAAAAATAAAATAAAATAAAGTTATTTTCATTTAATGAAAGAAATAAATATATTTAATTGATTAAAAGATTAAAACTTTATTTTATAAATTTATATTGCATAGGATCAAAGGTAATGTTGTTATACCTAAGTCTTAATGATTTAAAGCGTATAAAAATATAGATGTTACACAATAACATTATAAATCACTGCATTAATATGATAAAAATATTCTAGATGATGAATTTTAATGAAATAATGAAAAAAATAATCAATTAATTTTTGAAATCAGATAGAATTGTTTTAATATATTGATGATGTATAAAACTCAAGATAATATTTTAGCTATAGAGAAAACATACTTAAACGAAAATCAGGGATAATATTTAAGCTCTAACTTAAAGAGAAAAAAGAAAAAGAAAAAAAGATCATACCAGATGTTTAAACACAAATAGAAATAACATTAAAACTACAACCCAGCAAAAAAGAAGAAGAAAGTCATACAAAAAGAATTTATATTATACAAAGCAGAAGACGATAATCTGTTTGTATTTTTTGATTCTTTTCTTTTCTCTGGTCTTCTTTTTTTGTTTTCTTTTCTCTATTATTTCACTTTTCCTTCTTTCTTTCTATTCTTTATCCCTTTTCTCCTTTGTTTAGATCTTTTAGAGAAACTTACTGTTTCTCTTAAATTTTTTTTCTTGAAAACTTGTTCTCTTTTTCTCAATTTTTTTTTTCTTTTCAACAAAGGAACTACTCTAACTGGATCTCTTACTTGCCTCTTTATACTAGACTATTTAGAATTTTTTATAAAACGTAAAAAATTGTGAATTTTTTTTCTCATGTTTAAAGCTCATTGTGGATGCTAAATATAAATATATGCACATTGTAAAATTTTCATTTCTGAGACTAAACTTATTTTTCAAATTTTTTTTTTATTTTTTATTATAACAGCATTTTATTCTATAAAATCTGAGAGTAACCATGGGAAAGAAAATAGAAAAAAAAATTATATTCACACTTTTAATCTAAAACCTTTGTGGTTTGGTCCAGGGAAACCCATAGGTTAAATAAGATTTAACTCACAGACCCTGTGTGACCCACAAGATTTATTAATTAAAAATCATGAAGTAGCTTCAGCTACAGATGGGTTCGAACATTTCAAATTAAAGGCCTCTGCTCTTCACATGATTTTTGGGCTGAAGAAAATGATGAGCGGTTGTTCTGATCTCACCATTGAATTTATTTCTTAAAGCATATCACTATTAAATTTAAGGTTGTCGACTTGTCGTACACACAAATTAATTAGTTGTTCCGGGGTTGGTATCTTAATTATTATCTTCGTCAAGACTATAAAAGTAAAATGTTTAAAAAATATTATCACATAAAAATTTAAACCAATAAATACTTTTTAATAATTTAAAGTGTTTAATAAAGTAGATTAAATTCTTAATCAGTATTCTATTTGTTAAGATCAAATTAGTTTCCTCAGCTTGTAACTGTTACAAAAGTTAAAATTTTAATTACATCTTTTTTTTTTCAAAAATAATCATATACTATTGTTAAATATTTTCCTGACTAGCACCCAACTTTATATAATAAATTACAATATTTATTTAAAATTTTTAGAGTGAAATATTCTCTTTTAAAGTGTTTCTCCTTTCAACGAACCATGCTTTTTGTTTTGTGGGATTAAGTATCCTGTTTAAATTATTTTTTTCACATATTATTACTTTTAAAAATCCTTTTTTCAAAACTTTTTTCTTATGGTTTTATCGCTTTACTTATTTACACTATTTTTTTCCTTGTCCTTTCAGATTATATCATCAAATCATCACTCAAAAATTAAGATTTTGACAGAGAAAACAAAAGAATAAGAAACATTTAGTGTATGAAAATTTTCGTCCCCTAACTCAGACATTTTATTGAGGATAAAGGTTTCAAGAATTTTTTAAAAAATAATTGTAAAATATATTGAGTTGTTATTAATACGTTGATTTTTTAAAATAATTCTAAATATTTCTTACGAATATGTTGATTTCTCAATAAAAGTTTTATTCTTGTAAAAATGTACAATAGCATTATGATCAATATCCATAATAAAAAGGTTTTACTTCTATTTATTTACACATTAAAACTTCCAAGAATCACTTATGTTCGGGAAATATTTATATTCGGTTCTATTATAAATGAAAAAAATTCTTATATTAATTTATTATAAATTTTTTAAATATCTTTTATACCAAAGGTTATCTTAAAGAAAAAGATAAGCTCATCCAACGTGTAAATTTCGAATAGAGAATAGAATCTTTGTCCATTTCTTTGATTTTTTACTTAAAAGTTATCCATAAATTAAAAAAAAAATCCAAAAATTGCTAATTTTAAAGATTTAATCGAATTTAATTGACTAATTAACATGGTTTTGTCTCTTCGGCAACACCCTGAAAATTTAGCAGTAGCACGTGCAGTGGCGTACCATTGGTCATGTGGTAGCCGTCCGTACGTGAACAAAGAATGAACCAGTTGAGCCGTTCCTGAATCACAGGGCGTATATAGAGTTCTTTAATCATATGATAATGATGCACATTTTGAAAAACTTGAGAGTGAGAGTACCCCAAACAGCACCTTATGAGACCTTACAAATATAACCTACCCCATGTAGTTAAACTTCGAATCCGATGTGAATGCATAACTTCCAATTTGATTTTGATTACAAACCCAATGATTAAAGTGACCTTCTTGATTATCCCAAAGCCACAAGAACTCTTTTCTTTCTCACCCTCACTCTCATAATGCAAATTCTTCCCCACTCTTCTGCAACAATTCCACATTTGCAAACCCCATAAAAACATCATCTTTTCACTTTACCGGGATCTGGGTCTCTTTTATTTTTCCCAAAGACAAAGTAGAGATTGCCTTCCACTCACTTTAAAGAGAGAGAGAGAAACTGTGTAATATATATATCTCTATGACCCCAGATCTTCAAATGGGAGTGTGATTGTTGCTCGAGTCACAATCAAGCATTGTTGAAGTAACTGTTAAGTTGGGTTTGTAATGAGGGTGTGGAGGGCTCATCCACCGGAGCAAAGGCATTGTACTAAGGGTGTTTTGAGGTGGGTTTTGGTTTGGATCAGTGTTTGTTTTCTTGTATTCACCGTTGGACCACCGTCACGTTGGCGGTTGAAAGAGGGTTTATCTACACAATCTTCTTGTCCTCCTTGTGATTGTTATTGCTCTTCAGCGGAATTTCCACTAGATCCTTTGGGTAAGTTTCATTTTTTTCAGTTACTCTGCAAAGTGACAAATTTGGTTTTGAAGTGGAAAAGGGAACAAAATTGCTTGGATGTAGTGATAAAAAAAAATAAAAAAACTTTATGTGCTTTAAATTGAAAACAGTGTTGCATTTATTTGTAGCCTGTGCTCGTAGGCACTACACTGCTTCCGCTAGCCACAATCTGTAGTTGCCACATTTGCAAAAAGTTCCAGAGAAACTGACTTCCGTACTTTGTTATCCTTCTTTTTTGAAAAATAAATTAGTCAGAAAAATTCACTGGCACCGTGTAAAAAATTAGAACAAATGTTTTTATAATAATGTATTTAACCTAGGTTTTCCTATTTCGGTTATTCAATTCGTACATATTAGGCTTAGATTTGGTGATATTGAAATCTTGGGTCTACCTTTGGTCTTAAAACGGGAAGGAGGAAGTTGGGGCATGCAGTTAATAGATGTTAGGTCAACTGCCATACATGGGGATTGCTTTCCAATTCGACATAAAATTGTGGAAAATGTTATTTTATTAAATTTTTGCGTTTGCTACCTTGATAGTTTTATTTATTTGGCTAGTCATTTATTTTTGTTATATGGTCAATATTAGCTTTCACCTTCTTTGATGCATTGGTTTTTTTCTCGATCATGTCCATTTTTGCAGTACTAGTCAATGGCTCAATTACCGGTAAGTTTGTGTCTTTTGCATTTGTGATTGTTGAAACGTTTCTCAATATCAATCCTAGTTTAGTCAGCTGCGTTATGCTTCTTATTGCAAGCGCATTATATTTTGATGCATGAAGCTATCAAGAACTTGAAAGCAGATATCCCTCTGCATTTAGACAACAGACTTTAAAATTTAAGGCAATTGTTAACTACAATGACAAAAAAGACCATTTTTCATTGTCTATGCAGATTGTGGTAAACATGATCCGGTTATGAATGAGGAAATGAATAAGGATCTACTGACAATGCTATCCGAAGAGCTAAGTTTGCAGAAAATTGTGGCCAACGAAACCTTGGAACACACCAAAAGGTTAGTAATGGATGCCAGGAAAACTTTTTCACATTACCAGAAGGAAGCTGAAAAGTGCAATATAGGGATGGAAACTTGTGAAGAAGCAAGGGAAAGGGCAGAGGCAGAGCTCATTGAAGAGCGTAGGCTAACAGCTTTATGGGAAAATCGAGCTCGTGAATATGGGTGGAATGACAGAACACAATAGAGGAGTTGACTAAACTATCATTACATTATTTGTGTTGAGTGTTAACGCTTCATTTTGATTGCCAATACACAGCGGTCTGTTGTGATAATTTTAAACAGGTCAGCTAGGCAATTGATAACAAGTTTAGTGTTTTGCTAATGAGTCGATACTTGTTTTCCTGATACATTTGCCGCATTTTATAAGCAACATAGGTCTCGAACTACAGACACTACATCCATTTTTTAGACAATCTGATTACGAAAGGAGGCACAATTGAAAAACTAATGTGTAAATTGTACATTGATACTAAATTTTTTTTACCATATGATAGTCTCAAACAATGCTGATAAAAAATGGTGCATTACATTCAGTTATGACAGTGGAAGCTTTCCCGAAAAGTCATGACGATTAATATTATAACACGCTGACATTTTGTTTAAATTAATGAATGAATTTCATACTGGGCCCATTGATAGTGAACTCGGGTGGTTTAATCATTCAACATGCAATTCCACCCAACATAGAAACTATATATAAAGGATGATAAAAAAGCATGAAATTTCCTTGGAGCCATATATCTAATAACATAAGCTCTTCTGAAAACTATCAACTCAAATCCATGCTAAAGCTTACAAACTGCCTTGCAATATGAACGAACAGGTTTGAACATTTGACCAGACTTTAAGGAAACATTTACAGGTTATATAAAATATATAACAACTCATGGGAAAAGGCAAAAAAAAAATAAAAATCTTGGCCTCTTTTCTTTCACTTTTTGCAGAGGCAGATAAATAAAAACTGGAGATCTAATATGTAAACTATCACTGGCGTAATGTTTTGAATTGTCTAGATATCCTAAGGTGTTGGTTCCGTCAAGTCAGGTATACACTATCTAACACTGCAAAACCAGCTGCAACACCACCTTCATCGGATGATGATATTTTTGTACGCATCAAATAACCACTTTGTTTGTTCATGATAATCTTATCCTTATTCCTGCAAATTCCAGTCCATGGATATCAAATTTTGTGCAAATATAAATCAAAACGAAACTGCAAAAGATATTTGGCCAAGCAATGTACCTTAAATAACTACCAAATATCCCAAGTTCTGAAATGGCACGATCCTTGTGCCAACAACCATTACGCATCAAAACTGCTGCAGAAGTAGTTGGAAATATCCTCTGCATAAGGATATAAGCTGCATCTTCTTGAGAACCTGCTCTCTGCAATTTTAGGAGTGTTTCCCTCACATCATCACCATAAATATTGTTTCCTGAAAAATAATCATAGCTCGTTAGGAAAGTTTATCTCCCTCTATTATTGTTCGCCCCCAACAAAGTAGGGCAGTAGGTTGAATCAAAGTTTAGGTGGTATGCAAGACCTCCTCCTTCCCTTTGGGGCTTCATGACAAATAACTCTGGCCGTTCAATCACTTTTCTAACAATATTTGACTCATCCAAACTCCACAGCCCTGCAAAGCATTTACGCAGTTTGGCAATATCGTCTTTATCTTCAAGGAACCTGCTTACAGTTTTGACTCAAGGATTTAGGGAAGGGATATCAAAAGCTGAAAAAAATTATGATTAGCCAAAATGTACAAATTAGTATTTAGTCATAGAACTAGTTTCCAAATGTAAAAATGCAAGGGGATTGTTAAGCTTCAGCTTCGGAACAGATTTAGCACATACAACTAGCTCCTAATTTCTTAAGCCAAAATAGATAAACTTGTAATTACTTAAACCAAAATAGAAGGTACGAGTGTATCTTGGAGTAAACATGCATTTTTATCCATCATCCCAAAACCCTAAACATGAAAGCAAAAAAAGAACAAACCTCCTGATGCTGATGATTTCTTGATTTCCTCTGTTACCTTTGATCTCCCAGATCAACATCTAAATTCAAACTCTAGGAATTTATTTATTTTTAATTTACATCTCTATCACTAGCCCATTGAATCTACTACTTCTTCCCCCTGGTCTACTTTTTCATCCAAACATTCTTAAATTAAGACTTGCTCTATAGACAACATGAGTTTCTGATAACAAACTCTTTTCTTACATTTTCATAAAAAACAATTCCAAACCGTCAACTTTCCCCTCAAAAAACTTCAATATGATTTCAAATTTAAAAGTATCTCAATTTTCAATCATTAACCATGCATTCTTGCTACCAATGACCAACAAAGGTTGCAGGCACATTCTCTCAAGGAAGCCACCGGATCAGATAAAAACTTTCTAATTACTCAGGAAGGGAATCCTACCGATCATTCAATCCTAAACCTATCAGTCCTAGAGGGTATAATCATATGATGATCAACCAACTAAGCCAGGCACGGATTGGAAAGCAGATCCTTAAGAATATAATCTTACTTTCCATGACACAACTGTTCATTACACTTTTCTCTTAAACAATGACATAATACCTGTGAATAGATCAACTTCTTTCAATGTAGAAAGGATAAAATAAGCTGGGAAGATATAAAGAATATTTATAAGAAGATACCTCTCAAGAACACCAGGCTTCGCAAGTTCCTGTTGAATCTTTTTGGTGCCAACCAAATGATAGGATATTGAAGGACATTTGATGGCCGAAGATTGTTCAATCAACAGCCTAGCTCTCCATTCCTACATATTGAGCAAGATATACTCAAACCATAAGAACTCAATGTCAAGATAGAAGGCACACTTGTGTATCCAAGATAATGCTCCTAGAGCAGGAAACAATATTATGGTAGAAGACTAGAAGATATTCCATGGAACCAGAACAAAGGAGGTAGAGAAGAAGAAAAGAAAATTATATTATGTTAGTATTAGGGGGAAAAAAAGTGACAAAAATGCATCAGAAGTAAAATGATCCAGAAAGTCTTCACATAGTGATGTCAAGAAGAACCCATGTTATAGTGAGATATCACCAACAAATTTTGGCTAAGAAACTCAACTCCTTTTCGGGCACAATCGACATAATTTTATATTAAAGAATTTAATATTTGTAGGGCCCGAAATCCCAACTACATAGCTGCCAAGTGCAAGCAATCTCACAAAACACAAGAGATTGCACGCAAATTCAACGTTTATATGACCTTATCTCAAAAGTTGGATAAGTTTGTTCCTTTTTCTTAAAAAATGAAACAGCATTCTAAGTAAACTAAGCAAAATCATAAAAAATTATATTTAAGCAGATACGTTTTCCTTTTTTTTTTTTTTGGCAGTGGATGTGCATAACTAGGCTCTACATCTAGGAAGCCTGACTTCACTTGATAGGTGGTCTTCAATTCCTTTTATCATGCAAATCTTGAAAGAAACAGAGTAATCAAATATTAATTGACAATACAGTACCATTACCTAACACTAGCAAGAGGGAAACTTTTTTTTTTTCAGAGGTCATACCAGATTCAATGGCCTAAATTTTGCCAATGCTTAAGAAAAGGGGTTTGAGTCAAAAGAACACAAAACAGATAATTCTACATTGGAAAAGCACAGTTCTTTTGAGCAGTAAAAAACTGAATTCACGTCACTCACTGATTCTGAAGGATAGTCAACAGGTGTATAGCCAGCGCGGAAGTAAGCAACTGCAATTGCTTGTCCATGCCTGCAAGTGCCAAGAAATAATTTCTCTGTACTGTCAGAGACAAAGTAACTAGGCCACAAACCTATGGCAGAGGTCAAATTTTCAAGATAAAAACTACATACACAGAAAGTGTTCCATCTGGTAGAATTTCTCCTTCTTGATCAACTTCTGCCAACGTTTTTCGTATGGTTGTAATATTATGCGTGTTATAACACTAAGGACAACAACATCCCAAATATGTACTGAATAGAAAAAATACAGGCGTTTTCTTTACATAAAAACATGCCTTTATATGCATTGATTGGCATTTAATAGCAGAATTTATACAAATAAAAGAGTCTGTTCATGTCTATGGGAAAAAATGAGTGTTTTTCTTTTTGTATTATGATTAATTATGTAAAGGATATCTATCTCTTAGAACTGAAGAAATAAAATACTGGTCATACATGTTTTGTTCTTCAGCTTGAACCACGAACATAATCACAGCCCTGCATTGATCCATTAGAAAATATAGCATGAACCAGAAGCAGCAGAACTGCAAAAGAAAGAAAAGATTTTTTTCCTAACTGACCTCGGGTTATTATGCTCACTCCAAGCATTAGCCAAGGTCTCTGCAAACTGATTGGCAGCATTGTTGGCAGGAACCCTTTTGGAATCTAGTCCAACCAATTTCCCATGGTGAGAAAGTATGTGTCTGAAAAAAGACCAACTAATCTCAAGATATTTCTTCATAAATTTTTTCCTTAAAACAAAAATATATTACCAACAGAGTTTATATGCGTTATTTCAATCATAGTTATTAATCCCAGATAACAGCACAAAGTGACCAACCCCAAAACCACTATTGTAGAACATTGGATGGTCATTATATAATATAGTTACAGGAGAAAACTTTATACTTCATATATATAAATGGTTATATTTAAATTAAACAAGTGCATAGCTGTTGTCATACAAAGACCACTCAACATTATTAAGAGATTATAATTAGCGATGAAAGCATAATATGTATATTTTGCAGCAACAATTACCTATGAAGTTCAGTCACAAGATTACCAAGACCAGCAAATGAAGAGGAAATAGTGTTCAGTTCGATTTGCAAAAGTGAGTTAGTTTTCCCATCAAGCATATAATCTGAACGATGTAATCCCAATCGTATTTCCTATTAAAATTAAGGCAGGAGCAAATATCAGTAAATCCCTTGACTCACTTCATCAAGACAGGTAAACAAGAAAAGCAAAAGGAGGAAAACTTCAGAGTGAAGGTACTTGTATGTAAGATTCCTGTTTTCTATAAAAAAAATTGTGAAAAACAAAAATTTAGTCATGTGCTATGATAATTCCACTCTATCTCTCACGATGAGAATATGGGATGTGTTTGAAAGATAAAAAATAACTAGGAACTCTCGTAAGCTCTTTTCAGCTTATTTCAATAAACTTCATATATCTTATGAAAATAAGTTAGTTTTAGTCTGTCAACAAGTTTCACGGTCAAATTTATAGTATAAAGCCTAAGAACTTATTGAATAAGCGTTTAATTAAGTTATCATCCAAACACACCCATGAGCACAAAATGAGTTCTTATGAAATAATAATTGAAACAAATAACAAAACCAGAGCATGCATGATGATCCTGTGGTAATACTCATGGCAGTACAAATGTCCTACCAATAACACTCACTCACTTCTTTTTTGTTAATCTCTAGCATCTTGGAATGAATATCTAAAAGTCTAGAGGTGAACTCGTCGGCTTTCTTAGTCCTGCAAGCAGAAACAGAGACACATTACATAAAAAAAAATTGAAGTATTTGTGACATCCATTATTTAATGCATTATATAACAAGATAGAAACGCTTAGAATTAGGAAGTAACCTTGAGAGAGATTCCTGAAGAAAAGTTCCATCCAAGCTAACCCTATCAACGAGTTCATTGAATAAAGGAGCCAAGTCACAGGCGTGTGTCCAGTGCTTTTCAGGAAATGGCGTAGGTAACAAGGAAAGGGGAGCATGCACGAGGCCAACACCAGGAACTGTTCCAGATCTCTGTAACAACAACCACATGCATCATCGTCAACACAAAATTCAACTTATCAACACACGGAGAGAGACACTAATTTCAATATAGAAAAAGAGAGAGAGAGAGAAGAGAGAGTAACGTGAATGGATTTATCGGCAACGAGGAGGCCGTGGAGAGAGCTCCAAACGAGAGCATCGTAAGCGATGGTGTTGAGTAGTTGCTGATCAAGGCGATGATAATCGAAAACGTCTTTTTCGACGTTATTGGAAGAGGCGAGAGTGAGAGGTTGACGTTGAGCCATGGTGAATTTGGGGAAGGGAATGGGAGAGAAGAAAAAACAGAGGGATTGTGAATGGTAACGGCTGCAGAAAGAAGAAGAAGAGGAATATAAAGCAGTGTTAGTATATTGCAACATCCCAAACTACGAAAACCAGCGCCCATTTTGATTTTCGCCTCTTTCAGCCAGCTTTTTATTATTAAATGAAAATTCCTACCAATATTGGATTTTTTATATATATAATATTTAAAAATAATATATACTAAAATATGTGATTTTGAAAGAAATAAAGGAAGGATAGGAATTCAAAATTCGCAATTGGCATTTTTTTAAAATTTTAAAATCTAAAAAATTAAATTATCTTTTTAAAAATATGTGGAAGACTCCACGCCAGAGGAGAGATTGACGTTGACATCGTCCGGAGGAATCTCCACAACAGTGACTGGCTCACAAATCACAAGGGCCCCTTTCTTTATTATTATTATTATTCTGAAAATACTATACTTAAAGAATTTATTCCTTTTCAAAGTCCGAGTCTCCGAGATGCATTGCATGACGCTTAACCAAGTTATTATGCTTTTGTTTAAATCTGAGACTTTGTTTACACTAATTTTGGTTCGTATATAATTTGTATTTATTTTTTTATTTGAATCTTTTAAATGTATCTTTTAAATAATTAAATGGAAAAATTATAATATTTAGAGATATTAGATTAAAAAATGAATGAAAATGATTACTTTGTAACAAAAAAGTATTTATCAGGGATTTATTTAGAAATAGATTCAAAATTGAGACATAAAAAATTAAAAGCAAATTTAAATTAATTTAATTAAAAATTATATAATAATTGATTTATGTAAGTGTTGAAATCTAACCATTATTTTTAAATTAATAATTATATGTTATATTTATTTTCAAACGTGTCATTTTAAAAGTATTAAATAAATTTTAAATTATTTTTTTAGTCATTAAATTTTAAATTCGTTATATTTATGATTGATATAACTTTCCAAGAGAAGGCATTTTCGAAATGGAAATACTTAATGGAACGAATCTGTGTAAGTATGGAAACTACAAAAATATAATGATCGCCGTTGATTTCTGTTAAACATCTCATTTATTATTTTAAAATTTAATATTTCCAATTAAAAATTGACACGTACGTTCATATCTTATTTGTGAAAAGTGATTTTGTTGTTAGAAAATGGACGCAACATTTTTAAAAGCATTGCAGCATCCCTCAAGTGTTCGAATGCGAAGCAAACACTTCCACTTTTTATTTACTATCCAATTATGTATTGAAGTTTGAAAATTTGTCTTTCTTTTCTGTGCTAAAGGATGATGTATTCTTTATTTTTCTGATGCTGTGTGACGATTCTCCGGATACTAATAAAAATCATATAATATTGTACTGTTCTCAAAATCGAATTAAACTGAAATGGGAAAACAGAATAAAAAGAAAATTGAAAACCAATTGAACTGAAATTCGTACAAGTTAAAAATTGCTTAAATAAAACATGTATATTTTTTAATTATTCAAAGAAGTTAATTAATATATACTGATAATCTAAATTTTTAATTGATTAATAATTTAATATTATAATTTTTTTACACTAATAATATATCAAAATTAAATACTTTTACTAATATCATTAATGAATAAAAGGTTTTAGTTACCTTAACTTTATAAATAAATATTCAAATTCTTCAATCAATAATAAACACAATAAAATATATTTGTAAATTATTATTATAATATTTTATTTATTAAATTATATTTATGATGTTTTACAAAAAAAAAAAAGTTCATGTACGCAAATTTTAACATTTCAACTTATGAAGTATTATTATAATATTTTCCCACTTTAAAAATAACATTTAATATTATTAATAGACTGAATCATGTCATATTTTATAATTTTTAATAAAAGTTTATTATATATAAACTCTTTTTTTCTGTCATTATATATAAAATATTTCTGTATCTATTAAACTATTATTAATTTTTTTTTATTTGCAGTTGTATTTCAAGCCCAATGATTAAAAAAATAAAAGTTGGTTCGAAGTACGTTGATCAGGATTTGGTTTTTAATTGTGCGTGTTAAAAAATTTGGGGAAGGAACAAAGTTCGTTTCAAAGATGTCTCCATCTTAAAGGGATTGATGCATGAAAAATCTGTTAAGAAGTTGAAAGCATTCAGAGTCAGCGAGAGACTTTAATTTTAAAGGCAATATTGAATCTCTACGGAACAAATTCGTTCAGTTCAAAAGAATTCAATGATTTTGAAAAACTCCGGAATTTCCATGTGGAAAGTCAGTTACGTTTGGTATTGCTGTGACCTGGACATGACTTTGAAAAATAAGAGCATTTTTATTTCTATTTTTGCTTCATCCTCATCACAAATTAAGCAAAATCCATACCATATCATACTTGACTAATGTTGATGCTTGTTTGGTTTAAATTTGAGCAGAATTAATTTTGATGAAATTGATTTCGAGTCATCAAGATACAAGGGTAAGTTAATTTAAAGCAAACATTTTTTTATTGGAACATGTTTTTATTTATTTATTGGATGGTCCTGAAATTATTGATTCAAAATCTGAGGAAAGGGGCGAGAGGCTCTGTCAAGTGAGGTACACAGTATCTACTACTCCAAAACCAGGTAAAACTCCACCTTCATCAGATGATGATATTTTTGTACGCACCATATAGCCACTTTCCTTATTAATAATAACCTTATCCTTATTCCTGCAAATTTCATTTCATCTATGTCAGGCGCATTGCAAATTTAAGTTAAAATTGTGAAAGATATGTAGCCAAGCAATGTACCTTAAATAAGTACCAAATATCCCAACTTCTGAAATGACATGACCTTTGGTCCAACTACCATTACGCACCAAAATTGCTGCAGAACTTGCTGGAAATATCCTCTGCATAAGGATATAAGCTGCATCTTCTTGAAAACCTGCTTCCTGCAATTTTAGGAGGGTGTCCCTTAGAGCATCACCATAAATATTGTTTCCTGAAAAGTTATTACAGCCATTAAGTTTCTCTCATTTGATTTGGAACAAAGTCAGAAATAAAAGTTTAAGTGGCATGAGACCTCCTCCTTCTCTTTGGGGCTTCATTACAAATAACTCTGGACTTTCAATTGCTTTTCTTACAATTTCCGAGTCATCCAAACTCCACAACCCTGCGAAGCATTTGCGCAGTTTGGCAATATCCTCTTTGTCTTCAAAGAACCTGCTTACAGTTTTGATTCAAGGATTTAGGGAAGAGATATGAACCAGAAAAACAAAATATGATACGCCAAAAATACAAATTAGTCATGGAACTAAGACTGTTTGGTTTTAGAAAACGTATTCTGTTTTTCAATTCTCAATGATCTCACAGAATGAACAATTTTTTTTTTCAATTTACTAAGGAAGGGAGTTGTATCAACCCTTTAAAACAATAACTTACCACCTATCAATCCTGCAGGATACAATTATAATCATATCATTATTAAGCATGAATTGGAGAGAGAAGATCCTGAAGGATGTCAGTTACATGATAACTCACTCAAAATTGTCCATAGTCGACTTTCTTTTAAAGGTATATGTGAATTGATCAACTGCTTTCAAGCATGAAGGATTAAATAAGCTTATAAGACATAAAGAATAATAACTTGCAGATACCTCTCAAGAACACCAGGCTTTGCAAGTTCTTGTTGAATCTTTTTGGTGCCAACCAAATGATAGGATATTGAAGGACATTTGATAGCAGAAGATCGTTCCATCATTAGCCTAGCTCTCCATTCCTAATTATTGAGTAAGAAATACCCAAACCATAAGAACTCGTTGTCAAAATAGAAGGCTTGTCGATATTAAAAGATGAAGCAACTTCAGCAGGACACATAATATGTGGCAGAAGACAGTCAATGGTAGAAGATAATCCATGGAATAGTCCGGATGAGACAGGTAAGATGAAAAGCAAATCAGGTCTTGTTAGTTTAAGAAAAAAATCCGTTATACTGACCAATCTCCAATGAATTTTGCTTTTGAAACAACTTTTTTAGAATCCAAATATTCAACCCTATTTTTCTACATAATATTGAAATAAGTTTGGTTACCATAATCAAATATCAATTGCCTATACAACACCATTTCCTAACAGTAGTCATATATTTTGTTTTTGCTACAGAGGTCATAACGAGTTCAGTGGGGTAACCTTTCCTAATGTTTCAAAGGAGTGTACGTCAATAGAAAACAAAACAGATGTTTCTGCATTAGGTCACAGTTTTTCAGTAGAAATAAACTGAATTCAAGTTGCTCACTGATTCTGAAGGATAGTCAACCGGTGTATAGCCAGCGCGGAAGTAAATGACTGCAATTGCTTGCCCATCCCTGCAAGTGCCAAGAAATTATATTTCTGCTGTCAAACAAAAAAAGTAATTAAGCAACAAACTAGCAGAAAGTCAGTTTTTCAAGATAAAGGCTACATACACAGAAAGTGTCCCATCAGGCAGAATTTCTCCTTCTCGATCAATTTCTCCCAGTGTTTTTCGTATGGTTGTAATATGATGCGTATTATAATGTTGAGGATGAAAAACAACCCAAACATGTACCAAGAACAAAATGCTATAACAGTTGTTTGTTCTTACTTCTTACAGAACAACGTAGTTTTTTATCCTTTGATATTACATCTGATGACCATAACTATACAAATCAGAGAGTCCACTCTGCTAGATAGAAGAAAAAATGAACATTTTTCCTTTTGTATCATAATTATAACTATTATTAAGAAAGGATATTTTTCTCTTAGAACTGCAGAAACAAAATGCTGGTCGTACATGTTTCGTTCTTCAGCCTGAACCACAACCAGAATTGCTGCCCTGTACAGAGCCATTAAGAAATATAGCATAGAACCAAAAGCAGCATCAGGACTGCAACAGAAGGTGAAAAGAAAACTTTCTCAAAACTGACCTGGGATTATTATACTCACTCCAAGCTTTAGCCAATGCCTCTGCATATTGATCGGTAGCATTATTGGCAGGAACCCTTTTGGAATCTAGTCCAAGGAATTTTCCATAGTAAGAAAGTAGGTTCCTGGAAAATGCCAACTGCTATAATGATACATCCACATAATAAATTTTCGTCAATGCAAATAAACCATCAGGGTCCATATGAATAATTTCAACGGGAATAAAATATGCATTAATATCAAAGCAACTGCTTTATAATCGCCAGATAAACTTTTTTTTTTTGTGTGTGTGTGTGTGTGTGTATAACAAGGATAACCCCCCAACAAACGACTTGAGATTAATCTTTTATAGACACAGAGGCCACCAAAGTGAGTTTTGCTTTTTCTATCAAAATATTTTTCATACACAAGGCCAATAATTAAATCCCTATTAGCCTACTTAAGGGATATAACTATTTATCAACTATTATTTAAAATAAGCCCATAGTTGTATTATTCCTAAACATATATGCATCTGTATTGATAATGAGAGTTCATATATTCACTAAAATAAACCCATTGTTGTAATGAAACAAATACCTCAAAACATTATTAAGAGATTATAAATTTGAGATGACAGCACAATATTTGAAATTTACAACTACACTTACCTATGAAGTCCAGTCATAAGACAACCAACAGCAGCAAATGATGTGGAAATAGTGTTCATCTCTATTTGCAGAAGTGATTTAGTCTTCTCATCGATCATATAATCTGAACGAACTAATCCCAAGCGTATTTCCTATTGAAATTATGGCAAGAGAAAAAATAATCAGTCCCAACTAAATATATGAGAACAAATAGTTCATATGAAATAATATTGAAACAAATAACATAGCTAGAGTAAGCACAAAAACTGATCCTCTCTTAATACTCTCAGCGGTACAAATGTCCTACTAATATACACCTACCTCTTTTTTGTGAATCTCCTGCATCTTGGAATGAATATCTAAAAGTCTAGAGGTGAATTCGTCTACTTTCTTAGTTCTGCATTGAGATGAACAGAGACATATTATATCTAATCAAAACAATAAAATAAATTGAACATTGTAAAATAAAAAAGATTTTATCCCTTAGGACTAACTTTAAGGATTTAAAAGGAATACATTTTTATTGAGAAGGAACAAATTTATTGTATTAAAGTTATAAAATACAATAAATATATTTTTTTAATGAAATCTTACTATTTTTTGTTCTGTAAACTCAATTCTAAATATTGGGGTTAATATTTTCTTAAAGAAAAAATATTAGGCAACTAAAGGTAACTACAAAATTTATATGATAGAAAGAAAGACTCCAATGGAATGTAACTGCTCATGGCATCTAATGCAATCGATCATTGAAAGCTGAAGTTGAAAAAATGGATTCAAGAACCAATGGATGTAGTAAACCGTGTTGGAAGTATCTCAAAAGGAATAAGTCCCACATTGATCATGTAAAGAGCCCTTAAAAGCTAGACAAGATAACATAAAATAGGATTGTGAGAAATTTGAGTTTGAGCATATAAGTTTAGATAAAATTTGTGTTTGGTAAGAGTAGAACTTGTATGTAATTTATTGACTTGGTCAAGTCAATAAGTTTGAAGAACTGGTTAATAAATAAAAAATAAAAGAGACTTTCGAAATTTAGAGCTTTTAAAAGAAACATTTAACTTTCAAAAGACTATTTACCCTTCGCACAATTAAAACTCTACCTAAATATGTTAATCTTATTGACTTTGTGTTCTGTTCACCTTCATAATAATTCCTTTCCTTTTTTTTCTCCATTTTTTTCATATATTTCATTGTCTCTTTTATCCAGATATATGTTATATTAAAAATCATTCCTTATATACGTTTATAGTTAACTTATTGTTTTTTTATGGAATTAGATTTGTATTTTTTAGGTAGTACATCCATGAGGGATAAATATTTATTGCATTCTTATTTTTTCTCAAGAGTTATTTATTTTAAGATATGAATAAAAGTATATTTTTATCTTTCAATTGTTCAAACACTTTTTCTTCAACAAAACCCTTAAATTTAGCTACTCTTCCTTCTTTAGTTTGAAAATTGTTTTGCTTGGCATTGAAAATCAAATAATTATTTAATTAATTTATTCGCAATAAATAAATAAATAAAATAAGTAATATCTAATTTTAATAGTATATTTTTTATGCTAAATATCTAATTTTAATATTATATTTTTTTAAGTCATTTAACATAAACAAGTTATTTGTACAACTAGTTTATAATAAATAAAACAACCTTAATTCAATAAGCTTTTATTTGATTACAAGTTTTTAACAACAAATTCATATCTTTCAAATTGTTTTTTGCTGTAAAAAATCAGAGTTGAGTGACTTGATGCATAATATAGCAGCACGAAAATAATATTACCTGGAGAGAGATTCCTGGAGAAATTTTGCATCCAAACTCACCCGATCAACAAGTTCATTAAACAGAGGAGCTAACTCACACGCTTGCCTCCAATTACTTTCAGGATACGGCGGGGGTAATAAGGCAAACGGGAGGTGCACCAAGCCCACACCAGGAACGGTTCCTGATCTCTATAATTGGAAACATTGATCGTCAACATCAAATTCAGTTTCTCAACGAAGTATCTGTGTGAAGAAAAGAACAATCTCCAATTTTGATATGCCAATGCCTGTAGCACTCGTAAAACTGATATTATACCAAAAACTCTGTAATTTTGGACAGTAGAACCCAGTACAAATTTTCCTTCTTTCTCTTTCTTTTGCCCAATTCACAATCTAGATATTTCCCAACACTAACGTCAATTCTTTGTACAGTAAAAGATAATTGGTCAGATGTAAATTTAGCTCCATAAAGTAAAATATTTGTCTTAAAATAGACCAAGCACAAACTATGACCACGAGTGTATCTTGATAAGATTTTGTACTAACTTCTAACTTATCTTACTTAGAAAACTTATTTAATTAAATTATATTTATTTGATAAAATATTTTATTTTAGTAACTTCTTGTATTTTAATAGCGCTTTGTAAAATATTACTTTATCATAATTCCATATTTTAAATCATTTTATACTTACTAGCTAATTTAACAGTTAATTTTACTATATACTTCTAATTCAATCAATTAGCCTGTCAACTAATCTTGTCCATCACAACCTAAATGAAACGTGAAACTAATCATACTGTCTAGAAGGACAACAGTACCGCTAACGAGTAACCTAATCAATATGTAAATATTCTTAACAATAACTACTTTTAATTAAATCCTCAATATATGGTACCATTTTTAAGCTACTAAGTTATATTATTTTACTATTTTATTAGATATCAGTTGCAATCTACTAATATAGTAAAATGTAAAAATACAGAAACAGTGTATTGGTTAGACGAGTTTACTTTTAGGGCGTGACAAGCGATGGTAAGTTATTTTCAGCGATGGAATCCAATTATGCAGAAAGAAGCAACAGTAGAGTTTGACCTGAACAGATTTGTCGCCAACAAGGAGGCAGTTGAGAGTGCTCCAAACAAGAGCATCGTAAACGATGTTATCGAGCAGTTTTTGCTCAATGCGATGATAATCGAAGAGGGAAGGTGAAATGGAAGAATCATCAACCTCTTCACCAATAGCAGAGGTCAGAGTCAACGGTCGAGACATAAGTTTGAGAGGTTTTGGTGAAGAGAGTACCTGTGATTGGTGACGGAAAGTAAAGGAGAAGGATGGAAAGGTTAAAGTACGGAAGCGAATCACAGTAACCGGACAAGGCACGCAACCAGATCTACCTCCCATTTTCATCTTTTTTTCACTCTTTATATTTATATAACACCACAGCCACACATAATGTTCCAGTTTAAAAATGGATGGACTGCTCGTAAGTTTTTTTTTTTTTCAATATATTTTTTTAATGTGTATTCAAAATTTCACCCCAACAAAAATTGTAATCTTTTTTTTATATAAAATATACAATAATATTAAATTTTATAATTTTAAAAATATTATTTACTATCTTTTCATTGTATATCTTTGAATAGAGTAGCGGTTCTTTATTGCCTATGTATTGAGCCTTTATATTTGTTTTTCTCCTTATTTAAACAAAGCATGAAACACGCTTCTAAAGGTTGTTAGTTAATTAATCGATTACATACATTACAAAAGGAAGATTAGTTATAGTTAGATTTATTATTGAAGCTCGAAAAGTTATTAAAAACAATAAAGACGAATAATCATATAAAAAAAATTATGATTCTTAAAGATTGAAATTTTATTTGAGTTTTTTTTTTTTTGGGGGGGAAGTTTTGTGAATTTACTTGTCATTGGTGTAGAACAAAGTCAAATATTTTTTTCGTTTTATCTATGAGACGAAATTGAAATATGAGCAAAGATAGTAAAGTTATGTTTAGTACCTTCTAAATTTGATGAGTTGCATTTTAATTGTTTTGTTTTACTTGCATCATTATAATTGGTCTAATTTTTAGTTTTTCGTTCATTGATTATGAAAAAGAAACGTGTGTTTATATTATTTACGAAGATAGAGACAAAATAAAATGAATGACGTGATAAAAATATATAAAAATAAACAAAAATGAATGCTAGAAAAAATAAGTATATAATATAAGAGTTGATGGTTATGTTAAAATTACTTAGATTGAAGTTAAGTGATTTTCTTATAATATGTTTGAATACGCATTAAATGAATAATATGTGCATCTAAATTTAAATTTAAATTTAAATATTAAGTTTTAAATTGTTAAATTAAACTAGAAACTAAGTTAATACAATATATATTAAATACACATCTATATATATTTGTCTATTTATATTTATATATAAAATTAACTTCAGTTATTTATTGTTATATGTATTTATAATAAAGTTTATAATTGTTATAATTTAAAATGTTTAAAATTACATATAATTAAAAATTATAAAAATTGATTATAATATTTTATATTATTTTATAATTATTATCTCAATATTATATTTAATGAAAGTTTATTAAAATTGATTGTAGATAAAAAAAAATTTGGTTATACACCACTAAAAATAACAATAATAAACTAGTTGTGAACTATATTTAATAAAAATTTATTAAAATTAATTGAATAAAAAATTTCACCATAAAATATTAATTAAAATTATACGAGAAATAATCTTACAAAAATGAAATAAAATTTTTGATTTATTAGTTTTTTAAAAAAAAAATAGTAATATTACTCTTTTTTTTCTCATCTAGTTTAATCTAGATTCGATTCGCGTTGTACACCTATATGTGGTGAGTGAATCTACTACTGAAGATTTTTTGTATAAACAAAGACTTAAACCTAATACCTTACTTAAGAGATACTAAACCATTTGCTACTCAAATCAATCTCTAATAATAAATAGTATTGTTACTTTAGATTTTATTTACTTTTAAATTATATTAATTTAAGTGATATTAAAAATTATAATATATTTTGAAAAAAACTATATATATTTATAAAATTATTATTTTATATATTATTAATTTAATATTTAATGTATATTTATATAAATATAAAATTAATATAACTATCGATTAATTCAACAAAATTTCAAACAAATAAATTATTACAAATAAAAAGATAACTTTTATTATATTAATATATATTTTTTAATATATTACTAAATAAGTCTTCATCTTTACTTATATAAGTTATTTTTATATAAACATTTAAAAATCCATTAATAATATTATTTATCATCTTACTTTATTTTTATATTTTTATTTTATTTTGATAAATTATATTAAAATTTTATTCTAATTTACTGTAATAAATATAAAATTATATTATTTTATAATAATATCATGTATTATATTTTTTTTTTTTACTAAATTGTATCCAATTTACCAGTATTTTATCAACTGATAAATTTAAAATATATAAAATTAAGTCACGTAGTTAGCATATCATATATATTTATATTTTAAAAGTTATAAAGAAAAATATTTACAAAAAATATTTAAAAAATAATAAAATATTATTTCATAGATATATTTATATATCTTTTTATGAAATTTTAAATATATTAATAATAAATAAAATACAAATAATATAAAATTAAATTTGTTAAAGTTTGATTAATTGTATAATAGTTATGGTATATTTTTATAATTAAATATAGTTAAAATGTCTAAATTAATTTAATTTTTTATATCTATATTATTTATAGTTATATTTATATAATAGTGATGATATATTTTTATAAAAATCATATTCATACGTGAATTTAATTTATATTCATCTTTAAAATATTATCAAAAAATTTGAAATTAATCATATTATTATATTTTTTAAATTTATTTATTTAAATATATTTTATAAATATAGTCCCTATCTACTTATAATAAATATGTAAATACTTGTATTATAATTAATGTTTTTGTTTTTAAGTCAATATTAATATAGATTTATATTCAAGTGTGAAAAATTTATTAATTTTTTCAATTATGGTACTTATTTACTATTTTTTAATTAAATTTTTAGTTATTTATTATCACTTTATTATAAATATTTTTAAAATGTACAAAATATAAAAACTATTAATGTTAGAATATCTATGATTCTTCGTAAGGGTTTTGATAATATACTTACTATAACAAAATTAAATAGTGATATAGTAAATTCAAGTTCTCTTGTACTTAATTCTTTCTTATTTTGTCATTTAAATAAAATTATCTATTCAATTAAATTTTATAATGACACTATTTATTATTACAACTATAAATGATATATTATAAAAAAATAGTTAATATTATATTTTTTATCTATATTGTAAAAAAAATATTTCTTTCACAGTTAAAAATTTTAAATATAAATATTGCTATAAAAATATAAAATATCAAGTGATAAGGTAATTACTTTTTTTTTATAGATGGAAGGTTGTATTTTAATTTTTAATTTCAATCTTAAAATTAATTAAATTATATATTTTTAAATTAATTATATAAATACATATTGATAATATTAAAATATATAACTATTTTTTATAGTAATTTATTTTATTAAATAACCATGAAGATCTAAAATTGTCTTCACAGCTTTTAAAAATATAGATAATTCACATTTTTTTAAGTAAAAATAAATATTTACTTTAAAAATTGTAAAAGATAGTTTTACAGTAAATAAAATTTTAAAATTAATAGTGAAGATAGTAAAAAATAATAATTTATTTTATTATTTTTATTTATAAATATAAAGAATTTTTTTATTTGATATTTACATTTGAAAAAGAAAGAGAGTTTAAACAATTTAAGTATCAAAACGAAAGAAATTAACTTAAAAATAATTTGTTCATGAAGTGAAATTTTAACTATAGGAATACTGAATTTTTTTTAAAAAAATAATTAATGTATAATTTAATTTATATTTTATTTGTGTTTATTTCTCTTGGATTACAACTAAAAAAAAATATGTAAAACAAAAAATAACAATGAAAGATTTAAAAATTGATCAATTTTTATTATGTTATTATAAAAATATCTTTAAAATTTTATAGAATTTAAAAAATAAAGTATACAAATACTTTGTAAATTTTAAAATTTTTCATTATATTATTCTTTCTTTATTATTATAATATATATTATCATCTTAAAATTGATTTGTTATAGTATCAACATGTTATAATTTAAAATAATATAAGGAATAAATCTGTATGTTAAACAAAAATATTATTATTTTTTACCTTCTGTTTAATTTTTAATTCAATATTTTTAACTACTTTATTTTTACCCTGCTTTCTCTCTCTCTCATACAGTTTATTTTAAAATTTTCAAAAATAGATTAAAATTTTCAATCATTATTATTATGCATAATTTATTAATGTTGATAATATTTTATTTAATATTATAGTTATGATAAAAATTGTAAAATAAATCATTAATAATAATTGATATTTGATGATTCTCACTTATTTTATTTGTTATTAAATGTTGTAATAAATTAATTATGATATACATACAAATTTTTAAATTAAAAATAATGAATTATAATCATTAAAATAAATTAAATATTATTAAACATCATAATAAAAATAATAATATATTCACAAAATAATTGAATACTATTTGTTGTTAAAATTTTAAAATAACCTTCTAATTTACATATTTAATATTTTAATATCATAATTAATGAATAGGTATATAAATTACAATGATTTAAATTTAAATTAAATTTAACTGTTATAAATTATATTATATTTATGAAAATTTATATTTAATTATAATCAGTTATATATTACATGATCTAGAATAAAAATTATTATTGAGAAGATTAAAAAATATATAAAATATACAAAAATTATTATGTATAAGGAAGTATTTTATGATATTTTAAAAATGATTATTTTAATATAATAATAGTTATTATATATTTATATTTAAAATATAATTTTTTATTTATTTTAAAATAAAATAATTTAATAAAAAATAAACAAATTTATGCATCGCACGATTATATTTATTAGGAACATATTTACTAGTTTAATTAATTTTAGCTTGAAAATTTAGGATATAATATTCATGAGAGAGTAATTTTCGTGTGAATCAAAACTATATAATTTTGGTTATTCATGTTGTGATTCACATACATATTTTATATAAATTATAATTTTTTAACACACATCATCACATTAATAATAATAGTGAAGACCACATGCTCCTGAATTATACAACAATCCTATAGGAGGTAGATTAGAAATTGTAAAAAAAAAATATATATAATTATTCTAATACATATAAAAATTTACAAATATTATATACACACT